AGACTCCTGGCTTTGGCCTTGGGACATATTGACACCAACTGAAAAATAGCTGTAGAGAAAGCGAGACATATTAGGAGAGAACATACCTTTAGCAAAGAGATTGACTGAACAGACAGATTCTTCTAAATCCAGCTGGAAAAGGGGATAAGTAAAAGCAATATAGGGAAATGATATTTTATTGGCTATGGGCACAGATCTGATCCACTGAAACCCATCACCAACCCATCAAGCCCATGTGATATATCGAAAGCCCATCAAAAACCCATCGGAAACCCATAATACCCATCAGAAACCCATTTAATACCCATTCCCAACCCATTTCCCACTTTTTGGGTCGAAAAAGATTTTGACCATGGGCAGTTTTTGGGCGAAAAACCATCCCACCTATAAGATAGACTCTTTGTCTCTAAAAGCTCTCTATTACCTGGGTATCTATAGTAAAAATGAATAAATAAATACTAGTAGACTTTATTCTCTATGAGTATTTATTAGTGCTCTAGATTTTGGTAGTTCTTGAAGTGAAAAGCATTTTTGATCCCTGTTATATTGGAGTATGTATTACCTTCCTAGAGATATATATCTCCATGTTCTTCCAAGGTTAAGCGTCAAAACAGCCAAAACATTACATACTACAAAAATAGAACCACTGCTACCTAAATTTAACAATTTGATCTGAAAAAAATAAATAATTTGATTCAAAGATTCTTCTGCTGATTTTAAAAAATGTATTTTGAGAAGAGACTGTAACTATACAGCCATGAAGTCATGAATATCAAAATTACAATGATCAGTCAGCTGAATTATCCATGCCAAGCCTCAAATTTATGCACAATATGGGTTTTTTGTACCCATATGGGTACCCATGAAAAACCCATGGGTACCCATCGGGATGGGTGCACCATTTTGAAAAAACCCATAACCCATCATGGGTTGGGTATGGGTCCAAAAGTTGGACCCATTTGGACCCATTGCCGAAGTCTAACTAGGATATAGTTCTCTATAGATAAGTTTAAAGTACTTTTAGTAATTCTAATACCTACCTCTAAACTAGAATTAATATACTTTATCTATATACTACTCTTCCTTAAAGTTTATATTCTAAAGTAAATAGACTTTATTATAATTATAAAAGAAACTATAATTTTAATAGATAGAGATTTAAAATAAATAGTTCTTAGATTTAAATAGAAACCTTAGTAGGAAAAAGTATTCCTTTAAACTAAGTTATTTCTTAAACTAATAGTATTATTAGAAGAGAATAGTAATATCTAGTATTATCTAGTAATAGATATATCTAATTAGGAATTAGAAGAAGTCTTATTTTAGATCTATAATTATTCTTAATAGTTATTTAAAACTAGAGAGTATTAGATTATTAAAAGAAAGAAGGAAATCTTTCCTAATATATTATAATAGAAGAAGTAGTCTAGATCCTATATAAACTTTATAATATATATAGTTACTTTATAACCTAAATTATTTTAGAGTATATAATTAGTTAATATTACTAGCCTATATAGTATAAGAATACTAAGACTTATTATTTATTATATCTATATTATTAAGTTATTAGATCTAACTTCCCTTATTAGAAACTATTAGTTATAGTAGTCCTAGAACCTATAATAGTATTTATAATAGACTTTATTAGTCCTTTTAGTCTATTAAATAGTAAGGGCTATAATTTTATCTTAGTAGATATTAATTATATATTAAAATATATAATTATAATACCTATAGTAAATCTAAACTAAGAGGATATTTTTTTATTCCTTATATACTAAGTAGTCCTAGACTTTAGATAGTTAATATTAGTATATACTAATAATAGTTATTATTTTATTATAAAGAAATTATATAATTAGATCTTATAATATAGTATAAAATTTATTAATACTCTATAAAAGGCTCTCTAGAGTTTTAGTCTTATAGAATAAGTAGTCTAAATAATTATAAAAATATATTAAATAGTTATAGTTAGTAATTTTATAGTATTTACTAAATAGTATTAATATCTATAACTTATAGTCTAAGTAATTAATTTATATCTATTAGAAGACTATAGATATACCCTATATTAAGTATTCTTAGATAGTTAACCTTAATACTATAGATATTTATCTATTAATTCTTTACTATTATAGAATATACTTAAAGAAATCTTAACCTTAGAAGAAATCTCTCTAAATCTCTATATAACTATTAAATTAAATTAACTTTAACTAGAATCTACCTAAGAGAAGATTTAATAAGTATTTCTTAAAAGATAATAGAAGATAGTAGATAATCCTAGGTACCTTTTCTAAGTAAATAATCTTATTCTTTTAAAAAGAAGAGAATTAGATTTAATTTATAGATAAAAAATAGAAGTATAATAGTTTAGACTATTCTAAGTTACTTAAGTTCTTAGCTACAATTATTTAGTAATTCTTTATAATCTCTTTTTAAATTTAATATATAGAAAGTACTATATTAATTATATTAAGATATTTATCCTTTACTAGAAATCTAATAAAGATACTAAAGTACTAATTCTATAGAGTTAGATTAAGTACTAAGTATAAGTAGTATAAAGTACCTTAAGAAAAAACTATAAGAATTTCTCTAAATAATTTAAAATTCTATAATCTAATTATTTTTTATATATTTATTATTACTATTATCTATTACTATATACTATTAAGAAAAGTACTAAAATACTTAGTAAAACTCTTTCTTTCTTTTATTCTCTTAATACTCTTATTTATTTTCTTTAATCTAATTCCCTTAAACTCTAACTTCTCTAAATCTTTATATTACTCTTTTTAATACTCTTTTCTTTATTAATTCTTATCTTATTTATAATAGAAAGAGAAATATTACTAATTACTCTCTCTCTTTTCTAAAAGGATATTAAACTTATAGTAATCTCTTTAGAAATTAAAATTTAGTATTAATATCTCTTATCTTTTTTTACTTTTCTTTTAACTTACTTTCTTTCTCTAACTTAACTTCTCTATCTTTAACTATAATTTCTATTAAATTATTACTTAAATCTTTCCTTTAACTAATAGTTATTATATAAAGATAACTTTAACTTCTCTAACTAATAAATAAATATCTTAGAATACTTCTAACCCTAATACAAACAATCTAATATATACTAAAGAAGTTAGAACTTATAAGATTAGATTTCTAATTATTAAATTAAGTACTTAGGGTATAGTTCTTATTAAAATCCTTAAATATAAAGATATTCTTTTATCTAAATCTAGTATTAAACTAAATATTTTAGGACTATTTTAATCTAGTTAAGAAATAGTTAAGAAATATAAACTAACTTAAAAGAAAGTTTCCTAGTAAGAAATTAATAAACTTACTAAAAATTCTAAAGTAATAAAAATACTAGATTCTATTATAGTAGAAGTTCTATAAAATCTAGAGTTTAACCCTAAGACTAAAGTAATTTAATTTAAAGAAAAAGAACTTAACTCCCTCCCTATAAGCTTATAGTCTCTTAATAAAAAAGAGTATCTTAATTTAAAACTATTTAACTTATTAGATATCTAATTACTTATATAGTATAAAAGAAAGGTTAGATAAATTTTTCTAGTAATTTTTATAAAAAATAGAACTATTTAAGTAGAATTTAAATATATTATTAATATAATCTAGAATAGAATATTTATCTTTTCTCTTAAGATTTAATAATTAAATATTAAGACTTATTTTAAATAATATATAATTAAATCTACTCTCTAACTCTACTCTACTAAAAGTTATCTTTAAAAAAAAATATAAAAGATTATCTCTAATACTAGAGATATCCCTATAATAGATATAGTAAAGAATTAAGGGAAATTTATAAAATATAATAGAAAAATCTCTCTTTCTAGTCTAACTAAAATTTAGAGTATAGCTACTACTATTAAGATTTTAAAATTAAAATCTAGTAGAGGAAAGAAATATAAACTTAGGTTAAAGAAAACCTATACTCTTAGGATTACTAAAGTAGTTATTAAGAAGGACTATATTAAGTAACAAACAATAAAATTAGTTCTAGTATTAAAAAGGGAAATTATAATACTCAAGGAATATATTATCAGTAAGAAAAGATAGAGTAACTTACTTATACTAGAATTTATTAAGTACAGAAAGGAAGTTCTATCTAAGTCTCTTAACTAACAGTAAGTTACAGCCCTATCTACAAAGGTAAACAAGAATAATAAAGAGAACTATAATTCTTTAGTTAGAGTATAAGGCAAAGATAATAAGGAGATTATAATAGATAACTTATAAAAAGGGATAAGTTTTGAGAGTTTGAGTTTAGGCGCTATTTATCTTTATCTTTCCTTCTTCATTTAAATATTTCTTGTGGTAGGACTTATTATTGATACCCTAGGGGCACTACGGCCACTACTATTATTTGTTTTCTATTATCTAAGAGGGCTAATGTATAGAATTACTTTAGTGATTCTACGGGGCTCAGGCCCTATGGTGTGGTGGGTTTCTTGGATAAAGAGGTTTTTTCTAGTTATTAGTTAAGGTGGTCGGTAACATCACATAACGTTCTAGCTTTAGTTTTGTCCTTCCCGTTAAGGGAAGAACCTACCGAATATATCTATCTCTAAGTTATCTTTTGCGTCTGTTGAATCATTAGTTGTATGCCATACAGTCCACCCAGCTGGATCAGGAGTTCTCAACACGACAATTCTGTTGTACAGCAGGGCGTGCTGAAAGCGGGAGTTGACTGTAGTGAGGTATAAAATGGCACTTATGTCCACTTGTTTTTTACCGTGGGAGAAGTCATCATTCACTTCGCCAAGACTTTCAAATGCACGAAATTTTGTTTTTTTCTTTCTAGTTGTGTGACTATATCTACTAAAGTATCCTTCTTATTCAGGGTGTAGGCAGCTAATTTAGCCATCAAATGATGAATTCCATTTATTATGTTGGGAAGAACGAAATTTTTCACAAGCGATCAGTTTAAAACAAGTTTCTTAGATCAGTCCACCGTCGGCTCATCGCATAGCCTTTGGAGTTTCGGGGTAGATTCCCGGCGCAACAACTTGCACTGCGGGGTTGTGCACAAAAGACTGAAGCAAGCCGTAGTAAGATCGAAGGAGCATCTCAGCATGACCCATTTCATAGAGGCCTTGCTGGACCGACAAAAGAACAAATGTTTCACCAGTGCTGAAGTTGCCTACATCCAAGCTGAGATCAAACGCTGTCTCGCCGCCGCTCCACAGGTCACCGTTGGCCACACACCCACAAAAGCTTCTCGTCTGAGCAATCTTTGGACGGTAATTGAAAAGTATTTGTGTAAGAGGGTTGTGGGATATAGATCGAGGAATATCAAGCTCTGACACAATGACGTCGAAAGGTACACGAGAATAAGAAAATGCGTCTTGTGTGCTAATCTTGGTTTCTTTCATGGCTTCACTGAAGGATTGACTTGATCTCAGGTAGAAGCGGAGGGGTAGAATGTTGAAATAGAGTCCGACGCTGTGCCGCACATCTTTCTCGCCTCGATTTCCATCTCCAAATCCAATACAGACATCATTGAGTTCGAAAAGACGAAGCACCATAATCTGCCAAGTTGTCAGATAGAAGTGCATGGGTGAGGTTTTGAATATTTGGCAACATTTTTCAATTGCCTGTGATATCTCGGTATCAAGTCGAATACGCGCAGTATGACACTTGAATTGGGCGACTGTAGGCCTTGTCGAGCGTAAAGAAAATGGAAGCAGCGGAATCATGGGTAAAGCATCATTGAATCGTGCTCGCAGGTAGTCCAGGTCCAGTTTCCAAGCCCCGTTTTTGTACTCCCTTAACTGTCTCAATGTGTAATCTGGGTACTGGAGCGTATCCTGGGCAACATGAGCCCCATTGTATGAATCTTCAATGCCTGATAACAGAATTTCGAGGCTAATACCATCCATATTGATGTGATGAAACCCAATGATGATCCAATGCTGATCCTTGGTCAAGGAAAGCAGCTGTATTCGAAGTATTTCACCTTCACTAAGATTGAACTCATGCATCTTCAACTTCCTAGAAAATTCCTCGACTTCACTAGCATGAGTAATCTTGATGTGCTCCAACTGTAACTTCGACTTTTTCAGGACACCTTGCCTGGGCTTGCCCTCGCTGGTAAAGAAACAAGTCCTCAGAGCTTCATGATTTGCTCCCAATGAGTCAATGGCCTTCTTGAAGTCGTTGACCCTCAATTGGCCCTTAAGGTTGAATGTTATTGTCACGTTGAATGCAGTCTTGTTATTATCTAAGAGCTGCAAGGACCAGAATCGTGAATGTCCGAAGGATATTGGCAGTGTTCGTTCAACATGAGTCTTCAGCTTCACGATAACGTCATTACCTATTTCCATAGATGAGATACTCTCATTTTCCGCATCTGATTCAGGGTCTCCAATAGATATTGACGTCGTAGAGCCACCACTGTGATACTGAGACAAGATCCAACCATCAGATGTCAGGCCTTCTTTTTCGTTCTCTATCGCAGGATCTGTGACATGGACTGCCCCCCCCACTTCAGGAGATCTCGCAGGCCCTGGTATAAGGGTTTGAGATACCTTTTCACCTTCTAGCATGGGGTCGGCATGGCTTTCCAATTTTGGAATCAATGTCCCAGGCAAAGTATTGGCAGCATACGCGAGAAGGTCCCGGATAGAGCGTGAGTTGAAAATCTTGAGCACTGGAATATCTAGTGTTAGTTCCTTGAGGAACCAGGACCTAAGGTCAACGGCAACCAAAGAGTCAACCCCAAGCTCATCCGGACTCATGTCAAGCATAGGTTTGCCCGGGTCAGCTTGAAGTGCGGATTGTAGTTTCAATATGAAAGCATCTATGTCAAAATGAGTATGTCGAAATCTGAAATTCAGAAATATCGTTACCTTCCAAAATGTTGATCACCTCTTGATGTGAAGAGGCCTCTAATAGTCGTAACTTGAGCACTACCGCCCCTTTATCCTTACTCTGCTCTGTAGGAAGAATGCTTTCCTTGAACACGAGATGTTGGAACATAGGGCTGGTGACCCAGCCCTTCGAGAGGTCGTCGTCAATCCTGAGTCCACTGCAAATTTGGGAACTCTCTCCGTTATCTGCGGACGTAAGAACGCCTTCCGCAAACACTTCATGGAAGTCTTGCTCGGACATCCATGTATGTCCCATCCGGTAGAGGAATGTCTGCTGCGCCATATTTAATTCTCGTGTCACATAACCATTACCAACTATAGCCCCAATGTGGATCGCCTGGCCTCGCAAGCCACGTTTTTGGCGCTGGGAAGCCAAGCTAGTCATGAACATATTGGCTGCATTATAGGCCACCTGGCCTTGATTCCCCGTTATCGCCGCCATGGAGGAGAAGAATATAAGAAAGTCCAAAGTATTGTCTGAGAACAACTCATCCAATATGATGCTGCCTTCTACCTTCGGGAGAAGCACCTTTTCAAGCCGAGAGAGATCAAGATCAATGAACATCGTGTCCTGCAAAACCATCGCACCTTGTGCAACACCAGCGATTGGGGGCATGGATTTAAGAATCTGTCGATGGGTTGCATGGACCGAATCTCGATTGGTAATATCACTCAAAAAGTCAGTCAGTCACGGTCCGGTCAAGTTAAGAAGGGAATGTTTAGCTCACGTCGAGAAAACTCTCACTGTGCAACCAGATGCCGTAATTTTCTCTAGCCATTTGTCGCTCACATTCGGATTACGACTTGAAAGGGCAATGTGTTGCGCACCTTGCCTGATCATCCACTTACAAAGAGACAGGCCTAGTCCACCAGTTAAACCCACCAGCCAGTAAGTCTTGTTTCTTGCAAACTTGACCCGCCTACTGGCCGGCTGGACTTGAACTGGAAGCTGTGAGTCACCCCAAGCAATCAGAGTCTGGTCGTCTGTTTGATGTGAACTTTTCATTAGGTGGTGTAGACTCAAAGTTTGCACTCCGTGTACGATGCCTTGGGTTACTTCACTCTGAACTCCGACCCACGCCGCTCGGAGTCGTATCCCAACCTCATACGTGGTTGGAGAACGTGACGATCCCAGGGGCCTGTTAGTTAGAGACACTTTATCTTCGAACTCACAGTCGAGTGGCAGACAATCTCGAAGGACCGAATCCATATCTTCATCTCCGCCCAAGTTGACAAATCGAGCAATCTTATGCGATAAAATATTTCCCAGCTCACGGCCTGTAGAATGCCTATGAATGCTGGTCCAAGGAGTTGTCAGATGTTCTTTTTTCGTTGATAGAAGAAGCAGATGTACTCCTTTCTCCTTTGCATATCTGGTCAAGATTGGAGTCAGGACGGTACTCGGATTCAAAACTGCGAGCCTCTGCTCTGGAAGAAGCCCATTCAACATGGAAATGGCTAAAAGATGGTCATAGAGCTCTAGCATTGCGAATATTCCTTGATCTTCCACATGGCCGGATTGTAGCGTCCAAGTCTGAGGCACATAGATTCTGGAGTCCAAGGAGTCTGAAAGAGCTATGATGAACCCACCACTCGAGTGAGCCTTCCCAAACACAAGAAACAAACTATCTGACGGTGTAATCCTGATCGGTTGGAGAAGTGAATGAGTGACATTGACTTCGATATGGCCTGCCCGACAAGCCTTTTCTTCTGAATGTTTTTCCCTGACCTTGTATCCTGTTTCTGTGCGCTCAATAGTGACTACAGAATTCGAGCGATCAACATTCTGAATAATGAGTCGCTTAGCAGAGTTGTAACGGCTGTTCCTAGTTTCGCTGAGCCGGTATCGTGGTACCAAAAACATTCCATTTTGTAAGGACAACTCCGGTTCATTGTACCACAGGAGGTCATTCAGTTGGTCTCTTTGCTCCCAAATATCTGCAATCTCAAGTTGAAGAGTCTTCTTTGCAATGATTTGTCCATCTGTGTCCTCGATGGAATGCAGATTGAGAAACTGGATATGAAGATGGGACATTTCCAATACCAGGGTCCGTCGGACACCTAGAAACATGTTACAGTAAGGGTTATCCCCTTGGGCTCCATGTGCTAACCAGAGGACATTCTTGCTCTTTTTAAATAGCTCCTGGAAGGAACTCAGCCTGCGCGGTGTCATGGTAGTGAAAAGCGACTCATCGAGCTCAATTAAGCTGATAACCGTTCCCATGACTGGTAATTCTTCGGTTACGAGATCATCCAATGAGACAACAGTTCGAATTTGTCGATAGTGACGTTGAAGTAGATCGACAGCCCCAGAGACTATTGAGGCAGTCAATTCTGTTTTACCGCCGATGATTGTTAAGGCATGGATGTCCAATGCCTCATGGGTAGAAGCTAGGGGCTCGCGAAGAAATCTGACCCGATGATCCAGAGCTTGAGTAGCCATGGCTGAGAATGGAGGCTGGAAGTTCGAGGTTGTTGAGTTGAGTGCTTCAAGTCCAGAAAACCCAGCTTGCTTCATCAATTCATCCCATCTGCTTTCTGATACGAATGGTGAAAGTGATCGACCCTCGTCATAGCCAAGCCAGCTGCTAGGCAGTGCACCCAGAACAAGGCCGAAACGCATGACATTAGGGCTCGTTATTTCGACCAAAAGAAGAAATCCACCAGGCTTGAGAAGTCGCCGAACGTTGGAAAGAGCTTTTTCAATACTTCTTGTAGCGTATAACGCGAAACAGGCGATTACAACATCGAATGACGACTCTTTGAATCCCTGCTCCACTATGTCCTTTTCTATGTCCAGTGTTTTATACGACATCCGGGACTGATACTCCGATAACCTGTGACGAAGGTCATCAAATTGCATGTCCGTGATATCAGTATAGGTGTACGATGCAAAGGCTGTGTCCATGGCTCGCACCACCTTATCAGTCACAATACTGGCACCGGCTCCTGATCTTTAGTAAGCTTATAAGGTCAACAATCTTCGTGGATAAAATATCATACCAATCTCCAGGACATTGACATGTGGATACCGGTGGCTGACATGCCTTGCCATTACAGTGACTTCCTCAAGGTAAGATTGAATCCCAAGCGTTCTAGTGTAGAAATCCGACAACATTGTGTCTTGCCCTAGAACTTGGTTTAATTCCATTTCACCTTGAACAATACCGGGGATTCTGTCGCCAATTTTCGTCATGACCTGCACGTCAATACTCTCAGAGTAGCTGCGGTTATTAGCAATTTTGAAGTGGTCTGGGGGTTCTTGGAAATCCTCACTGGTTCAAAATTGCAGTTATATCTTCTTTGGTATCGTGAGCCCATTCAGGATTGGCGAAAGGATGGGTCCCAGATGCAACAACTGAAGCACAATGTTCTGCATATGAAAGGAGATGGCTATGATTCCAAGCTATACTGGACAACTCCGAATGCTGAATTGACTTGCTGAGATTTTTAAGATAAAAGTGGGCGACCCTTTCCAAATCAGAAAACATGGAGAGCTCCTCTGAATGCCGATCATCGTCAGCATATGATCTGAGACGAGTAGGATCATCAACCGCCCAAGTGATTTCTGTGAACAAGGGAACATCATTGGCCGCAGTCATTGGACTCAGTGCTTTTGTATGCATTCCTTCAAGTTGAACAAGGGTACATTTTCCGTCTATTGAATATATATTGACGTCACCATATAATTCCGAAAATTCACCATCTTTCGAGGAAGAGTCGAATTGAAGAGATGCCCCGGGTCTCGCAAATTTGAAACAGGCGGATGGGTTCAGACGCAATCTATCGATTCGGGTCGGAAGGTAAAGTGTGCGTAGCCTTCCGTCTCCTGGGAAGCAATATGCGAGCATCGTGGATTGGATTGCAGCATCTAGAGGAGCTGGATGGATGACCAATTCCCCGTCCTCGCTTGTTTCCGTTGCGACTTCAATCGAGCCAGTAGCCTCATCCATTTTTCTACTCAAGCCCGACAACGCTCGAAACGGACCAGTATATTGGAATCCGAGCTCGGTCACTGAATTGTAAAACCTATCCGTCTCCAATGCAAGGTATTCACCATGGGTTTTGGTTCGTGACGGGAGCACATGCAGAGTCGGCTCACCGAGAAGAATGCATAGCTCGCCGGAAGCATGGAGGGACACAGACGATCCCTTGTTTGTGTGTGAGTAACATGAAAATTCTGCCAAAACGCGATGGTTCTGTTTTTGGAGAATAGAAAGCGTGAAACTTGTCTCCACTCCCGTATTTTCCTCAAGTACCAGGGCTTGTCCGATGGTCACGTTACGAAAATCAATCAGCTGGACCGAGTCTAAGCCAAAACTTGTAATAACAGACTCAACAGCTGCAGAGATGTAGGCGGCAGCGGGAAACACCATCTGGCCTTGTACTTGGTGGTGCATAAGCCAAGGAAGTTCACGAACATGGAGGTAGTTTCGCCATCGAAGGTTTTTATCTGTTCCATCTGGACACCTCGTGCCGAGCAGTTGATGAAATGAGTCGTTATCATTTAAATAAGCATCTGCAGACCGAGACTGATGCCAATAAATACGCTCATGATCCCATGGATAAGAAGGAAGGTCTTTCAGGAGCTTAGGTCTTCGATTGTTGCCAGTCACCATATCCTCAAATTTTGAAAATTCCACAGTGTAACCCCCGAGCGAAGCCCACAGTGAGCCAAGAGCGGATGCAAAGGCTTGTCTAGCATTCATTCCTCGAGTTAATGTCCCAGTGTAAGGTAATAGATGACCGGATACCTCCTGGATTGTTTGGATTGTCGGTCCTTTGAGAGCAGGATGAGGACCAATTTCCAAAGCCATGTCAAAGGGACCAAGAGTGCTAACCGCACGTTTCACCGCCTGGGAAAATAGAACTGGATTGACCATGTTGCTGCTCCAATATGTGTCTGCGAGACTGTCTTTCACATCTTCAATGGCTTCACCATACACGCTGGAAATCCAGGTCGCACTGCCATTGGGCCGAGGTTTATGTGATACTCCACAGTTTTGCAGAGCTGTAATATAGGGGGCTGAAGCCGGGATCATGTGGTGTGAGTGGTAAGCTTTATCGACATTTAGCACCCGAGCAAATTTCTTTTCGTCGTCGAGGATTTCTTTGGCTTCCTCGATCGCATCCGCATCTCCAGAGAGCGTGACACTAGTTGAGGAGTTAAAAGCAGCAAGGCAAACCCGGTTTTTCAACAATTCCGTCTCGCACAGCTCCTGGGCATCTTCATAAGATGTACCCACTGCCATCATTGCACCTTTTTTGCCATCCTTGTCTTTGACATATTGCAAAGACCATCCCCGATAATACGCAACGCGAATAGCATCCTCCGCGCTAAGATATCCTGCAGCATAGGCTGCAGCAATCTCCCCGGATGAGTGGCCAACGACTGCTGTGAATCGGATCGATGCGGCAGAAAGAAGCTCAATCAGGACAATTTGAACCGCAGTGCAAAGCGGTTGTGAGAATGCAGCTTCTCCAACCCGGGATGATTCCGAGTTCTTCAGAATCTCGTCCCGGAGGGACCATTGAGGTCGGTGCTCTTTGGGCAATGTCTGTAACGACCTATCCAAACGACGAATACATTCTTCGACTAATGGTGAGCTTTCTATTAGCTCAGCACCCATCCGAGCCCATTGTGCACCTTGGCCAGTGAAAATTCCAATCAATTTGGGATTTTTGGTGCTTTTAGTCTGTGAGCCCGATAATATGTTGGAAGGTGACTCTGCCGTTGCCTCCAGTCTTTTCAGTAGATCTGCCTTGCTTGGTACAGATATTGAAAGCCTCACAGGTAGCGTAGATCGCCGGGAGTTTAGAGTCCATGAAAGATCGTGGAGATCAACATCGGGGTGTGTTTCGACGTATTTTGAATAAAGACGTAGCATGGTAAAAAGAGACTTTTCACAGGACGCGGAGAAATTAAATGGTGATATAATTTCGTTCCTAGCATTCAACATAGAATTGGCCTCTTCTTGGCCGTTGAATGCCTCCAAAATTGCGTGTGCGTTGGCTCCACCAAAGCCGAAGCTATTGACACTGGCACGACGGACGGAATCTTTTGGAAGTGGTGGCCATTTTTGTGCCTTACTGACAATCTCGAGGTCCTTATAAAATGGCCGAACCGTGGAACTCAACTCATTGAGAAGGAGGTTCGGTGGGACAATTCCATTTTGCAGTGCTAATGATACTTTCAGAACACCTGCCAGCCCGGCCGTGCCCTCGGTATGCCCGATCACCGTCTTGATAGACCCAACATACAATGGATAGTCTTGGGTGCCTCGACGGTAATTAGCCGTGGGGCCAAAGAAAGCCGTACTGATGGCTTCTGCTTCGACAGGATCACCAGCGGGGGTTCCTTGGAACGTTAGTAAACTTCGAGGATGAAAGGGCTGTATGTCCAGTTGTCACAGTAAGTCGACTTACCAGTTCCATGGGCCTCAAAAAATTGGGGCCGGTCGCATGCTTTGGACAAATCCAGTCCAGCGCGAGCATATGTGGTTCGAATTAGATCCATCTGAGCCATGGGACTTGGCATTGTGATTCCTTTGGTGTGACCATCTTGGTTGATGCCGGTTTCACGGACAAGGCACTCAATATGATCACTATTGGCCAATGCATCATTGACACGTTTGAGTACAACCACTGCAATCCCGTCACCTCGAGCGTATCCATCAGCATCCTTGTCCCACATTCGTGACCGACCACTTGGAGACAGCATATTTAACTTGCTCTCAGCGACAAACTGCTCAGGTGCTAATAAGAGATTGGTACCCGCTGCGACTACCACGTCACTCTCGCCATTACGCAAGCTTTGCACAGCCTGGTGCATTGCGATTAGACTCGAGGAGCACGCTGTGTCAATAGTCATAGAAGGTCCCCGCCAGTCAAAAAAGTACGAGACGCGATTCGAAAGGATACTTCGAGCTGTTCCGGACGCGCAGTATGTAGGAACGTTTTGAATGTCTCGGGCCACGATGCTAGCGTAGTCGTCTGTCATCAATCCAACAAAAACACCAGTGTTGGAACCTTGTAACTGTTCCATGGGAATTCCTGCCCTTTCGAGTCCTTCGTAAACTGTCTCTAATAACAATCTTTGCTGAGGATCCATTGAAATTGCTTCCACCGGTTTGGTTCCAAAGAACTGAGCATCGAACAGACGGTGATCATCGGACAGCAGATAGGAGTGGCGAACGCTAGTTGTGCCATGATGACTACCATCTGGGTGGTAAAATTTCTTCAAGTTAAAGCGGCTTGGTGGAATTTCGCTTAAGACGTCTCGTGGTTCTCTCAGCAGTTGCCAGAGGCTGGAAGGTGATGAAGCATCTCCAGGAAAGCGACAAGCACTTCCAACGATGGCCACTGCTTCACCAGGAGTCTGATGATTCCCCGGCATTTCGCTGATAGAACTCAAAGTTTTTTCACACTTGCAGCTGTCGATGTTTAATGGAAGCGAGAAGGGCACGAATTGTAGATGAGAAACGTTCCTCGTATTCTCAACTAGAACCGCGAATCTGTGACCGGCTCATATATTTCTGAGGATAATTCTGTTATCATTCGGGTATAATTTCTAAATGAGCTACGCAAGCTCAACTGAATTTCAGCTGAATCCGACTCCGAACTCCCACGTCTCTTTTACAATATGTAAGCCGATTCTCCACGCACGACAACGCGATCCAAACAGAACTCAATTACATTCCCGTAACATTCGAAACGCAACGTGGCAATAAGGAATTAATCATAATAATATCTAGTTCCAGATTCAATTCCCATCGCGCCACTTGCATCGATAATGATACGAGACAACTTAAACGGTCAGCCAGTCGGCTACCCACCCACGATCGCGTCTTCTCTGCGTACCTTAGCACCTTTAGCCATTTACCGTACCACTAAAACGCAGTACCGTGAGCGAAAATGTAATAAGCAGAAACCTGTGGCCTAGTTGACATGAAACTTTTCAAAACAAAGGAATTCAATCTTTTCGCGAAGTAGTACGCCGATCCAATATTCCGAACAGCCCCTTGTCGTGCTGTCTTGATGGGCAGTTGTTTTTTCCATCACATCTTACGCGAAAAACCCCAAAAGCTAAATGATTGGAAGATCCATCATTACAGGTGTGCATACTTTCTCTATGGAAAGTGGAATTATAAGCGATAGCACTTCTATAGGATATTGTTTGAATCACTTTTGGAAGTTTTCGAGGTGGAGCATGCTGTTCTCGACAACAATCCTACTGCCCAGATTGTCATAGGAGTATGAAAACAAGTCTTCACGGAAAGTAATATTTGAATTTTTGCAGGAACTGTTTCAGTAACAGGGTAATTGCGATACGTGATGGTAGTCACGGAGCTCTCATATGTTGTGATTTCGAGTTTGTTTTGTCGTCAGAGGTTAGCAGGTCCAACTCTGTACAGTATACGCACATAAACCGTTCGGGTAATTTATTTGAGAGATGTAACTTGTTCATGCGGGCCGATTGATCCTCCGGAATGTTTACAGTGCTCTCGCTTTCAATATCAGGTCTGTTGCAGCGATCCTCCCTGTCCAGCACAATGTGAACCACGAAGATTCCTGAGTAGGATAGATATGGTAGAGCTCCGCACTGGATCCGGCCTAGTCGGAGTCCGAAATTCGTTTTAATGCAACCCTAGCGCACACCAAGAGTCATTGATAAGTTAGTGTGTAGTTGTTATGAAATTCGTGAGGCATTTTTTTTGGTGCCCTATGGCCCAGAACCCTGAAGATCCGGCGGTGAGACGGCACCCAATTCCTAGCATCTCCATGGGAGGGCTTTCTTTATCCGTGCGGCAACTTAAGGACTCAGACAATTTAGAAGCCTACAGTCAAAGGGAAGTATTAGTGTTGGGTGGTTAAAAGCATCTTCATTTGTATTCGCTATTGTATTCTCTTGTTATATCCTGCTTTGAAAGATTCGCAGATTCTTTCAGCTCAAGCAGACGGATGAATAAATTGACTATCTTCATAGGCCGAAGTAGTGCCGGCGGAGACGGGGTTTGAAGAAGTAAAATTCGGCTCAAGGCGTTCAATAAGGGCAAGTTCGATAACTTCACCAACTATTAAGACCAGAATAGGCTACTCTAGTTTCTGCACTGGTCATTCCCTTATCGATGTCACGTTGTACCTGTGCCTGTGCTGTTCGGGCTCGGTGTCGGTGTGGGGCATGCATGGGTTCAATGAGGGCTAGTGTTCTTATGTTTCGATATCGTAATCCACAACACAACCAAGTTGACCTCCTATAGATTGGACAGTGGAGTACCGTAGTGACAAAAAGTTGAGAATCGAATCAATCCTTGAAGAGGTCGGTCACGGGCTATCTAATGGTCGCAGAAGCGACGTCGATAATTATCTATCCGAATATTGTGACCTTCACGGCCGACTGATCCTTGTTGAAAGTTGAGAGGTATCCAACTAAGTTTGTAATATCCTTTAAAGGGAAGTAGTATTCTTGTGCATGTGAGTGATTTCTCTGGACAATACAGGGCAGCATTTAAAAACAACAGAGACATGAAGGAACCTGCTTCCCTTGAGTAGGAGATAACTAATCTGTTAGCCATGTCACGGAAATAATTTAGGCGATCAGAGGAAGAGAAGGTAAAAGCATAAGCTGCATATTTCATACTCACAAAACTCTATAAAAGAACATATGTGAGTTCTCATATCGTTTCGGTGTTTTGCTAGGCGGCGACTTTATAACATGACTGACTTAGTTACTGGACTATTTCGGATTCTGTTCAAATATCTTAGTTTTAAATAAGAGGTCAAACCATGCAGGACTCCATCATGTCTTTTTCTGTTTTCTTTTGCGGTTGGTTCACAATACAGAATAGCCTCGCAAATATATCTCAAAATATTAATTCTAGCTCTGCTGACGTTCATCTTCGCTCTCATACAATACTATCGTTTTGAGGAATCCGGGAATTTCATAAAATGAAAGAGATTTGTATTTTCTAAACTTTAATTATTTCTGCAAAAAAAAGAATCCAAGAGTTATACAGGCATCAGGAAGTAAGGAAATAGTATATTCGTGAGCGGAGTTTCCTGTCATACTTATTATCTTCTTTGCTGTTAACCTGGACGCGCTCTAGTAGAGACATTCAACCAAACTCAACTTTGAATAAATGTAAGAATATATCAGAAGAGTTTGAAGTCGGTACAATTAATTATTTGAATACAACTGTGGAGACTCGAAAGAGATAGCGCCATCAATACAGTCAGTGTCTAGCCCATGCAAAAGCATTTTCTCATTGTCTATTCTTTGGAGATATCTGTGGTCGCATGTAGATGATATCCATACATCCTGAGCAATTAAATGCAAATCTCGACGTGCCACCCCACAAGTATGGGTGGGCAACGAACATCTTCGCGGTGCTTACCAAGGCTTCCTTGGTTGGATAGGGAATTTCCTTGTCAGTGTCATAGAGGGTCAGGTCGCTCGTGGGCAGGTACGCCGATCCACCACTTGGAAGTGGCACCTGAACAAGGCCACCTGTACCTAGGATGGTGAGGCGTGTGTCGTTGCTGAGTTCAACGTACTTCAATTTCATGTGTGTGTCACAATAAAGCGCGGGAGTGAAAATTTTATCAACTATGGCAAATGGCTTGATTGACTGTAATACCCCATAGCCTGCGTCAAGCGACACTTGATTTGCAAGGATCCAGACAGGGTAGTTGAGCTTATTCTTTGGCGTCGGCTGTCCGGGAACAGCCACTTCGTACCTCCATCCGGGCAGTTGAAGATGTCGACGTGGCCATCGTGGAGTCTTTGTGTCCGGGTGCGTCTATGATCGTTGAGATCGCGAAACTGCGAGACGTTCATTTTATGAAGTCAATTCTGAATTTCCACGGGGTTGTTAGGATCTGGCTCGTCAACTGACCGTGACTTGGCTAAAATCGATCAGTTAATGTCGCGACGGCAACATCTATAAAGGCAGCCTGCACATCCGCACGAGGAAGAAGCTCAGGACCCTCCCCGGCCCCTCTCTCGGCCATTGCAGCCACAAGTGCAAGCGAAAAGATAACTACTAACAACATGCTAGCTTTGGATAACTATACGCTATACGCCAACTTCGGCATGGAGCTAGCCGCTATCAGCATATTCTGTATCGCAAGCCATCGCCGCACACGTGGACATAGTTTCTGTAGCTGTGTGGCCTCACTTCAACGTCAACACGATTGCTATTTATCAATGTGCGGAGAATTTATGCTCTCACGTGTAGCTCTCTCTCCCATGGAAAAACTCACTGCGGGACAAGCGACCAATTGCCTCATTCCATGCTGATTTAATATTGAAGCAAGCCGTCATTAGGCTGTCGGACGTAGCAGACGGGTTGGTGAAGACCAAAACCAATCGCCCACCAACCGCACACTTCCGGAGTAAACGTTGAGAAAAAGCATGCTCTCACTCCTGTGGCGGTCGCTGTAGCTGTTACGCTCGGTCGGTGATATTTCCAAATGTCAACTCTTTTCAAGCTTTTGGAATGCAATATTACAGGACACTTTGCCCGCATGCATCTCTCCGTCATTCCAGAAGCGTGTGGTAGGTAGGCGATTGATTTTGATCTTGATCAATTTCTCTCCTTCGTCAGACTTGCCTGCGAGCGCCTTTCTTTATCACTTATTATAAAAGCGAAAGAACAATTTTTCTTAGACATTCTGTTATTCCGATACGCTGGTGTGACCAGGAATCCCAATGTGAACTCTAAAATTCAGGTCCATGTAGGATAAAGACTCCGGACATGTATCTTCCAAGACCTTGTGTACTGTAGCTATATCTGAATTTGAAGGCTTTTAATAAATCCTAAGATGACACGGATGTGTGTCGCAACGGGAGTCTACATCACGAAAACCCAATCATCTAGTTCCTAACTTCCAGTAGCGGCAAATTCAGCTGCTAGCCATATTCACAGGTTTTCGGAGTGCTGGCGGCATTTACGCAAGGGCAAATTAGAAAGTAGCCCGCATAAGCCTGGAAAATACGTGGCGTAGAGAAACATGTAGCACAATGTAGATTATAATCGGCCCAGGTTAGTTGCTAAGTCCGCGCTATGCAATTTCCAATGAGGCTGTCTTATAAGGACAAGGGCGCCCTTCATAAAGGACTTATCCTCGCCAAGCTAATTTCTACCAAAGACGAACAAACGGTCATAAAAAGCATCACAGCTCGAAATACCTGTTGCTGGACCTCAGAAAATTATTTTCTCGGTAGAACATCGGAACAAATATGGCCTCGTTTAAGGTGATCGTCGTTGGCGGCAGTGTCACAGGTATGGTATTAGCTAACATGTTCGAACAATATGGTATCGACTATATTGTGCTTGAAAAACATCACACGATTGCCCCTCAGCTAGGAGCAGGGTTTGCATTGCTGCCAAATGGATCACGAGTTCTCGACCAGCTAGGCTGCTATGACGTGCTGAAGAAGTTGAGCGCGCCTGTTAATTCCTTATGTGGCTACGATCAAAACGGTGATCTTAGAGAGGACCGGCCTGAGATCGGACAATGGCTTGAAGAACTGTTTGTCACTTCCTATGGTTTCCCCTGCGTATTCCTACCAAAGATTAATATTGTGGGGCAGATTCGGATATAAAATGCGGTTTCTGGAGCGACGACAACTGATTAAGGTATTATTTGATAACCTGAGTGATAAGTCTAAGGTTTATACTTCATGTGGTGTCATAAAAATCAGATATTGCTCCAAAATGGTCAAGGTTGAAACGGACGGTGGCACTATTTTCGAAGGCGATATTGTGGTCGGCGCAGATGGCGTCCACAGTCGTGTCGCGCAGGAAATGCAACGCCTCGCTGGTGAAGATATACCTGGGAAGAAGCTTTTTCAGCAGGAAAACGGCAAGTAGAGCATATCATACTGTGTATACTACTAACACTGTAATAGCCTTTGTATGCACTTACAGTGCTATCTTTGGTATATCAATGGCACCAAACGGGATGGTCGAAGACCAAGCGATCAAAAACTACAGACAAGGCCGGAGCTACCTCTGTGCAGGTGGCCGTGAAGGAAAGCTGTATTGGCTTGCCATGATCAAGAATGATCATAAGACACAGGGAGTAAACATTCCTCGATACAATGACCAAGACAGGGACATATTTGCAGCCATGTGCGAGGCAGATCTAGTTATACCTGGGGTCACATTCGGTGACATATACAAGAGACAGCTTGCGTCCGCGCTTGTACCCCTTGAAGAGGGCGTCCTTGAAGAATGCTTTTATAAAAGAATAGTACTTGTCGGCGACTCGTGGCACAAGGTAAGCAGGCTTTACATTGATAAGGGCCATCATCACATATACTGAAGATCTTGATCAGATTCATCCTTTGAGTGGCCAAGGTGGTAATAACGCAATCATTTCAGCTGCACATCTGGCAAATCAGTTGAAACATTTTACTCAGCATAATATGAGTTCTGACGAAGCCAGTCTCAATTGGTTGTTTCGCGAATATAAACGCACTCGAGAGCCTCAAACCAGAGAGTTGATGCAGATGAGTCACCTATTACAACGAATGGAAGCTCTTGAAACGCCTCTTTTGAGACTCTTTGAGCTCAAATATGTCTGTCAGATGCCAATAGAAGCGCTTTCTGGTGTTCTGGCACGGACATACACTCAAGCTGTTTCTTTGAACTACCTGCCTCCTCCTCCACGCCACTGTCTTGTTCCATTCAACGAAGAGGTCGCCTTGAAGCCCCGAGCTCGATTCAAAACTGTTACTGCTTTTTGGCTTTTAGTGCTTGCTCTTGTTGTTTTTGGGCAACAAACTATCCCTTGGGTCTGGAAAGATGTAGTGGTGCTGTCGTCACCGACGCCTATGATCCTCCAAAGCAGCTTAATTGCGCCAAGTGCCAGCATGGCTTACCAGAGGGCAATGTCTTTATATTTCAATTTGTCCCTCACAACGGTTATCAGTATCATGTGCATTGAGTCCTATCGCCAAAATATGTTCATGAGACTCATCAGCAGGTGAGTATAATGTGGTCTTCTTTAATACAATAATGATCTAACGAGTCTAGTGCAATTACATGCGGAATAGCCTCACTTTTTATAAGTTGGGAGGTCATATGTCCTATCTACTTTGCCGTGTTTATCCTCGTCTCGGGGCAACAGCTCTTCTACTACCCTTCACCAAGAGCTGTGGACCTGCAAATAGCGAAAGCGATCCGATTCGCTTATTTAGCCACGTATATTCCCGTTATCACCTTGACGGTTTTATGCAAAGAATCGCCAAGCAGAATGTGGATAGTGGCCCATGCGACATTTCCTCTCGCAATAAAGCTGGTGCAAGTTTTCGGCCCGATGCGCTCAACAGTCATCATAGACCCTGCGGTATTATATGGAAAGCAAGATATTAAGATCTTGGAAAACTTCTTGCATCTAGTTTGCACTGTCCAGCATTTAGCATCTTTGTTTGTGGGAAGAAGCTCTCTGCAACAGTTTCTTGAAATATGTATCGCATGGTATCGGAGTGAAATCGCTCATGACAATCTCAAGATACTTCTCTTGGAAATCAGTATTGCAGTCTTCATCTGCTTCACCTACTGGGACCTTCGAAGGGTTCATGTCATTACTGGACCCGTGAAAACTGATCTGGGCTCGATAATATATCTTGGTTTCACTCCACCGGCAGCTTTGATGTGCGTGTGGGCATTGCGAGAATCTAAATGGGAAAAAGCGCGAGAAAGGCTGTCGGCCGAAAAGATTTGACCGGAAGCTCCCGAGAAAACCTCATTTGATAGTCTTGATATTGGATCCGCGCTTACCCTCAGGGTCAAGAGGTAACAAGTATCTGGGTCTCAACATGCTAGGTCGCATCTAGACTTGACATGACATTGCGCTAAAGTCCTAACACGGCTCTAAAAAGATGACAGCAAGCCTAAGGCCGGAAAACCTAATTATCAGCGCGTTGATGAACTATGGAATGTGGCCAATATAATTGTACAGACAATTAGCTGGATTTTGTTTCTGTCTCACCCAGGAAATCTGCTTCAGAAAGGAGAGAAAATGTAACGATCGAAGCTCTCTCGGTGCCTGAGCACGTGACGCAGGCAGCCGCTCATGTGTAGATAGTTGCGATGGGAGCTTCTCTCCTTGTCCTCTCTTCTCTCTCTCAGCTTAATACCTTCGCTCAATACTACTGCTATTATTTGGCATCTGAGTCCTTACAGGCGAGCTAAAGCAGCGCAGATTGAAATCAGGGATCACGAAGATTTTGAGTCGCGCCTGGCATAATAGGGGTGGTGCAGCTCGACGATTCGGATTAATCGGAAAAATACCTCAAAAACATAGCACATAGAGAGATGAAGTGAGCCGATCAAAAGAAAAAGCAACTCCAGGGGGCAAAAGGTGCCGTTTATCGAACCACGCGCGGGACCCTGAGGGCTTGTGATGCTGAATCGTAAATGAAAACGCTAAACCACGAGGTTAACACACCATCGATGCTTGAAGCTCGCTAGATATTGATCATACGGATCTGGGTCTGGAAATATTGTTATGTGAAGTACTGCGACGGCTCGTAGCTTCAGACTCGCGCTTTTCACATTTGCTCTCAAGACCAGAACGCTTCTTCGACATACCGAACTCGCGCCTTGGCGCAGCAGAAGACCGGGTCAATTATGCAGTCAGCAGTCGATTAGTAGCTTCCGGGGTTTGGTCGTCCACATTCGAGCACATGACTCTTTGCCTGCGAGTGGTGGGGGCTTAAAAGACTGATAGGAAGATAGGTGAGAATCAATCTCGACTGTTCAAAGGATCGAAGAACGTAACACACCAATGAATATGAGCTGACAGGAAAGATCTTTGCTTGATACTTTGGGAAGTATTCCCCGTGCTACAGAATGCAGAACGCCTCCACATTTCAGGATGGACTGCCGCGCTGGGGATACTTATTCTAGTGTAGCAAGAACACTAGTTCGAGAGCTAATCAAGAAAAGCAAATTTCCAGTGCGAGGTCAATACGAGAAGGGACCTAAAGGATTGACCACTTTACTACATGGATGCATCAAATTTATTGTAGAAAATATGCCTTGAATGGCTCTTGATACTTGGGCTCCAGGCGGGCCAAGGAGCCGTGGGCCTAATCAAAATAAATTGGTTTCTTGCCCTTCTTCAATCATGTCCACGTGGGTATGCTTCCTGTTAGAGGTCTGTGCATGGCCTAGCTGGGCATGTAATATTGAAGACTCTGCACTTCGATATATACCTCTTTTAATTCAATAATTCATTCATTATGGAAATTTCATATTGATTTATCTTACGTATATTTCGTCAGGTCACTCTTAATCTGGGCAATCATCATTTCCAACTGATCCTGAAAAATTATCACTGTGACCTAATCAATACGGTCCTTCTCACTATGGTGCTGTACCTGCTACTTTTAGTGCTTTATGCTACTCGTATAACTAGTATTCAACTTTGTCCCCTCCTTGGACCTAGCTGGCCTGCTCCCACAGATCTCCCAAGCGATCCTGCGTTCCAGTCGGCGTTGCAGAACATCACGACGAATATTCAGGATGCAGTTACCGCTGGAAACTTTTCTGGAGATTCTCTATCTTTGATGATATTCGACACAAGTGATTCTAGTTCATTGCTCAATTTGTCTAACACGGGCCAGACTATAAATACAACTATCGGCGTCAGCAAGGTTGACGAGAATACTGTGTTCCGCATTGGCAGCGTTTCCAAGATATATACTATGCTTCTACTGCTGATTGAAGATGGCTTCAATCCTTTTAACGATCCAGTCTCTAGGTATATCCCGGAAATCCGCGCGGCCACTGTCGCTCTTCTCGAGAATTCCACGAAAAGGCATGACGGAATCGACTTTCTCAAGTGGAATGAAGTGACGGTTGGAGAACTAGGAAGTCACTTAGCCGGTATAGCAAGAGACTGTGAGTACTGCCGTTGCCTTTGTGAAACGCGTCGTGGGATTCGTTTTGCAAGAGACCTCAGCTAAAAACCCGTAGATGGTATCCTTGACCTCGCCCAGCAGGCTCCTTTACTTGAGTCACTAGGATTTCCCGCTCTGCTCCCAGCGCAGATTCCACCTTGCGGTTTTCCAAATCCATGCAGCAGGAAGCGTATGCAGACGAACCTGTTTTGTATATTGTGATTTGCTGACAAGACTACTGATAACAGAGTTCTTTGATGGTCTCCTCCAGGCACATCCTATTGTTCCCACATCGGCAACACCAATCTATTCCAATGCTGCCTTCCAGATCCTTGGATATGTGGTGGAGACGCTTGCTGGTGAAGGTTTCGAAAAAGTATTAGAGAAAGAGATTATCAAGAAACTGAATCTGACCCATACCTTCTACAATACGCCCAGAACTTCGCTTGGGGTCATCCCTATTCCACAGGGAGAATTCTGGTGGAATTTCAATCTTGGCGACGAGGGTCCGTAAGTAGCTTCACCTCACCCATAGACTCTGGATATATGATAGTAACACCTTTCCAGTGCGGGTGGCCTCTACTCATCCGCAATGGATTTGTCTATCCTTGGCCGTGCCATCCTCAATAGCACCCTTCTTCCCCGGTCAATCACAAGAAAGTGGATGAAACCACTCACCCACACATCATCCCTGAACTACGCTGTTGGTGCACCTTGGGAGATATTGTCATTCGGCAATGAGCGCCCGATTGACCTCTACACCGTCTCAGGGGACTTCAGCACATACTCATCTGTGCTGGCTCTGGACCCAGACCATGTTATTGGCTTCAATGTACTTGCTGCTGGTAGCAACACCCATGAGACAGTTGCGCTCGCCTCAGATATCGTTTCTGAAAGCCTACTCCCAGCACTTGACCAGGCCGCCAAGAACCAAGCGAATGGGCGCTTCGCAGGGACATACGCGCTCACCACCACCAACTCGTCAATAACGATCGACACAGACGATGGACCTGCTCTGGTTGTCACAAACTGGATCAACAACGGCACCGACATGTTTCCAAGCTATATGATCCTGTACGGCATCTCCGATCGCTCCCAATTCAGCATCCGGTTATATCCTACCGGTCTTCAGAGCCCAGGACAGCTTTCCTTCCGGGCTGTAATTCCGCTACAGTTTCCGCCCGGAATTGGGCCTTTCACCTCATCTTGTATCACCTGGGCGACTATTGATTTACAGGTGTACGGGAACATAGGTGTTGACGAGTTTGTCTTCGATTTCGATGAGAGTGGCAATGCAGCTAGTGTGTCTCCTAGGGCTTTGCGCACTATCCTTCCAAAGATTAGCTGATTATACTTGTGAGCTTGTGGTCTAGACTCCCGAGGAACCATGCGTCAGGAGATCACACATGGTTATCCATCGGATCATGTTGGACTACAAAACTGTCATCAGAGTCACAAATTACCTATAGGATTACCCCGCACTCCATGTAGCAGTCGGTACGGTACTTAATTTTATGACAAAGAAAACCATTTGAGTGAACCAAAGATGTTTCATCTGATTATCTGGTCAATCAGGATTGCCCCAGGCTATTTCATGATGTCTAATAAGGTTGCCATCGCACCTCGCCGTCGTAAAAGTTGGCAATGGCGAGTCTTGTGCCAAGAGCATGATGATTTCCTGTTCTAGATTAGTGGAGGGCCACAGGGGTTGACTATGTGTCCCGTAGATGCCCACCCCATCAAAATCCTCGACAGCCGATCGCAGCGAGTGTGCCCGGACTGGCAGGGACAAGCTCGACAAATATTGAGGCACAGTCAATCCATCATATTCAATTCTAAATAATAGAAAGCATATTGAAACATAACCCCCAGACTCAGGTTCACCCACTGCTCGTCTATTCTTAGAGACTGTCACCCTGCAAATCCTATATCAATCTATAGTTATTTCGCATCTCTGCAAGATATTCGACACAAGTGATTCTAGTTCATTGCTCAATTTGTCTAACACGGGCGAGATTATAAACAAAACTATCGGCGTCAGCAAGGTTGACAAGAATATTATTGTCCGCATTGGCAACGTTTCTAAGATATATACTCAAGATGGCGAACAAAATAGCTAACCACTCAGTCACTATCGGAACGAATAATGTTTTTGCGACGATGAATAACCTCTTTTTGAAGGACCACAACGGCCAAGATTACTACCATTACTATGCGGATTTGGATTTGTGCAATCTTGCCTCGCTCATCGCCATTGGTGTTTTCATCGACAACAAAAGCATGTTCGACAACGCGGTCAACTATGTGAAGACTGGACCTTCCAATGGAGCTTTCCCTGTCTTTTCTGTTGCAAACTTTACAGAGCCGGGCTTTGAGAAGGTCCTGATGCAAGGTAAAGAGGCCGGGCGTGACCAGTGTCATGCTACATTAGATTTTGCGCTCTCAGGCATTGTCGCGCAACAGGCGTACAACCAGGGGGTGGATCTGTTTGCTACTTACGAGAATGAGATTCTGAATGGGTGCCTTCAATCGAGAAATTATCTTCTTGTTTTGTTTACTGATAATTTCTAGTGCTGAATACGTTGACAAGTACAGTGTCGGTTGTGATGTGCCCTACACCCCATATTTAAGCTACCAGGGCAACAAAACCGTTATTTCCAACAGCTCGCGCGGAACTATCTGTCCCGGGTTTGAGTTAATGTCTGCTCATTATGGCCAGCTCAAAGAGCTCAACTCTTTTTGGACTGATGAATATCGTGACTAGGTTAATATCCACTCGACTAGCGGCGTTGAGGGTGGTGGTGGAAATTACGGTCCTAACTCGGGTGGATTTGATGCTCTTGGATTTGGTACTCTACTTTATCGTCTTTCTTGAAGTGTCTCTCATACCTCAAATTGCTGCTACTGCTTCCCTCACTTATGTGGTTTTTGTTAGTATGCTATTGTGCAGCATCGATTCATTCTTTTTTTGGGGTGGGCTAAGACATCCATCAGATTCTATCTTGAACAAAATTCTCATTATGGAGCAACATGGTGCCGCTAGCTCACGATACTTAAGCCCAAGCTTCTGATCATGCCCCTTTTATGAACTTGATGTCTTTCACGTGCTCGTTGACAAACAGTGGAACGAAATCCGATACCATATACCATCGAGGCTTGTCCATTGTTTCATGGATCTCCTTCCCATCGACTCTCAAATTCTCGAATGTAATCTTTTCGATCCCTCGACTTTGATCATAGCCAAGTATCATCGATGGATTGACGACTTTGGAATTGTGAATGTTCACAAACAGATTTTTGAAAGTGACGTTTCGAATGCCTCGCCCCGGAGCCGTAGTCCACATCGAATTCTGCATCACGCGGATATTCACGAGCTGGCCGCGTGTGATTCGCTCAACCCGCACATCCTCGACGTGAATATCGTGGAACAAATTCTCATCTGCGACATTGATTGCTATGCATCCCTGATACCACAGCTGATTTTCCTCGTGATCTAGGATATCGATATTTCGGATTGCCACGTTGCTTGTAGTTTCCGGCTTTTCGGGATTGCCGTGTGTTCCCATATTGATGGCATGGGCCACATCAGGAAGCAAGACACAATTCTGAATGAGAATGTTCTTCGAGTCGCCATACCAGTCCCAACGGTGTGAATAGAGAGCAATTGTATCATCCGAGCTCCGCAGAAAGCAGTTCTCGATAGTGATATTTGACGAGCAGAAGAAATCGATTCCATCCCCATTACCTGCGGACGAGAACGATCGGTATCTGTCGACGGTGACATCTTTGCATTCACCTGCAGAGAGGCCGAACCCCATCGCACCGAGTGAGGTGACACCCTCAACCCGAATATTTGAGGCCCGACTCATATGGATTGCGCCGCCCAGCTCTCGTTGAATGTACCCGCCCTTGGGCCCCAAAATAAATCCATGACCCCGAAGAGTACTATTCGAAACGTCGACGAAGCTTATGCGGAACGTGATGAAGGCGCCACCAGCTAGATAAACAGTTTTCCCTGATGGGACTATAAGATTAACACCGTCGGTGACCCAGGATGCCGCAGCGCCTTGATTGATCCCTGGCCCAAAATACCAGACATCATCACCGTCTTCGGTCGGCGCCGCAGGATCGATCGCATTCGTGAGCAAATGAAGGGCTTTCCACTTGTCACCGTCAAGCTCGAGCATCAAGTCTCGAGGTTGATCCAATGTGAAGGAAATTGTGTTTTCATCCAACAGCGTCTCGATTAGGGTGGAACGAGGCCGGATAGCTGCAGTATCAACCCGGTTTGCGGTATACGTGACCTTAATCTTGACTGGGCCGCTGAAATCAAATGATGCAACGGCGATTGAATGACGATCAAATCCATTCACGCTGGTATTGATACTAGCCACATCAGTGGCATATGCGGGCATTTTGGACCATTGATGAGGATCACCTGAGTTGATAGACTGAACTTCGATGAGGAAGTCCGGATTAAGGGCCACGCCCTGAGGAGAGTCGTATACTCGAATGGAAGACATGTTCGTGGCGAAGTGGATTGTCCAAGACAAGTTCAATAGGTCCTCAATAATGGGTTGACCTTTGTGCAGGGATTGAAGCTTCTCATTAGCGACTAGCGTCTCTCCTCAAAGCAGTTGTTTGGTCATGAGCCCGTATCGGAGCACGGGGTAATTACCGGAGAGCCCCGGTAGAACTTTTGCAATGCACAGGACTTCGGTCAGTTTGTTCCTATACGTAATTTCCTAGAGTACCAAGCTCTGGGTCATTGAAACCGAACAAATTAGAGCATTTCAGCCTCACAATCCAAAATTATCATTCAACATCTAACACTTCGGGAGAATTGCCGGCGCTCTCTCCGGTGCCCCCAGCGGGGCCTAAATCAATCGACTCGGGGAAATTCAAATCCTGGGGTTTGCGGGCAAACTTGCGGCCTGCCCACATAGCCACACCATGCGACACCTTGAGATAGGGAAGGCGGCCAACCCTACAAATACCTCGATAGAGAGCAATATGAGACTCTAATCCAGAACATTCTGATTCACAATATCTTCTCACGCCTCTGCACTTCAACGCATTATGCCATCCAAGAAGTTCGAGATGGGAGCGACCGTTGATCATGAGGAATTGCCCCCCCGACCACAATACGGCATCTGATACCCCGGAGGTGAAGGAGAAGGCGGATCCCCTTGCAGCGGATCCGGGTCTCGAAATTGATGCAGTCACCAACAAGCGACTCTTCTGGAAGATCACTCGGCGCATTCTCGTCATTCAGGTGATCACCTACTTCTGCCAGTCGCTCGACAAGGGAATCTTGAATTATGCCTCTATCATGGGCATTAAGACCGATGCCCACCTTGTGGGACAAGAAGTGGGTCATTTCTATCCTCTGCCTCGAGATTAGTCGCTGATTATCACACGAGTAGTATTCATGGCTCGGGACCATCCTGTATATCGGCATTCTTGTGGGTGAGTACCCTCAGAATTTCCTGCTGCAAAAATTTCCCTTAGCGAAGATGCTCTCCATAAATGTGTTCCTTTGGGGCGCTGTAGTGGCATGTTCTGCTGCCTCGACCCACTTTAGATCGTTGATGGCTGTTCGGTTCCTCTTGGGTTTCTTTGAAAGCTGTGTTCAGCCAGCTATGATGCTTCTGTAAGAAAATCCTATGAACCAAAAGTCGGAAGATCGCCTTACTAAGTTTCTTTTTTTTTGTTTTCAACTAGGACTGCGATATGGTATAAGAGGGAGGAGCAATCAGTCTTGAATGCGATCTGGTATTGCATGTCCGGTGTATCCTTGATGGTAATTGACGCCCTTGTCTTGAATCTTTGAAGAAATAAGAAAGCTCATAGGCACTAGATCGGTGGCCTTCTTGCCTTCGGAGTATCGCATTTCAAGAACGGTCCGATCAAGAACTGGCAACTTTTGTTCCTAGTTCTGGGTCTGGCCACATGCGTCTGGTCCTTCTTCATCGCCACCCTTCTGCCCGATAACCCCCTGACAGCAAAATGCTTCAGTGAAGAGGATAGAAAACTGATGATTGAGCGGGTACGAGAGAATGAAACCGGTATTCAGAATAGAGAGTACAAGAGATACCAAATTGTCGAGGCCTTCAAGGACCCATTTGTCTGGTGCTGCGTTTTGCTTATCACTGTGGCTAACCTCGTCATTGGTGGCCTCGGTGTATTTTCCAACCTCATAATCACCCAATTCGGCTTCAGTCTCTTGCAAACTCAGCTGCTCAATATTGCCCAGGGAGCATGGACCATTTTGATCATGCTCGGATCTGCATGGGCATCTCAAAGATTCCAGCAGACCTGCTTCGTTATGATTGTAAGGTCCAAAGGTTGAGTGGTTGAAACGTGAAGCGGTGATCACTAACGGCGAGAATAGATATGTGCAGTTCCTGCTCTGGTCGGAACGACTGTGATCCTAGTCGTTACCCCGACTGCTTCCAATGCAGGCGGCATGCTCATCGCTTTTTACTGCACACAATTCTTCCTCGCCGAGGGCAACATGATTATCTCGCTAATTACTCGCAACGTGGCGGGTCAGACCAAGAAGGGTATTACCATGACCATGGTCTTCGTTGGCTGGGCCGTCGGTAATCTCATTGCTCCCCAAATCTTCCAAAGCAAAGATGCCCCCCGATACCTGCGTGGTTTCCTAACACATATAGTGGTTTACGCTGTTTATGTTGCTCTGGTGCTTTTGACACGAATCATTTTGATGGCGCGGAATCGCTGCAAGATTCAAAGTTCCACGGAAATCTCGCATGAATTGGCATTCCAGGATCTTACCGATTGTGAGAATCCAAACTTCCGATATGTATACTAGCAGGGGTGGGTTGTTAAATACTGTAGTGGGAAGACTTTGATTTAGTCACACTAAATGCGTCCCAACTAAGAAGACACATGTGAATAAGTTCCAACTGAATGAGAAATGATATTATCCTTGCGACTTAGCAGCTCATCTACTGCTTCATTCATTGCGATCAGTTAACCAAAGAAACGCGTCAAAGCCTGCAAGTATACATCAACATCACGCGACGTTGGTCATATCTGATAGGGGTGGAGCATTGGGACCACCTTCCATCAACTGGAAGCATCGACAAAGGGCGAATATTTCAGAAGCCGGGAGATTCCCTTCTGAATCCAATAAATGAAGAATATTTTCGCAGTTTTTGTAGGCTTCACGTTATGCCTACTTCACCTCAGCCTTTGAAGTTGAGGTCTGTTGTCGCTCACCTCTTTTCATCAATTCATATCTTTCTGGCTTTGCCAACACCTCAACAACTGAACATCTCACAACCTCAAATTTGAGCAGTCCCCACGCTCATATCATCCTCTTTCCCTATTCAATCGCGAGACTTGAGAACCTTCAAATCTTCAAAATGGATCAAACCGCCTATAGACAGAAACCGCTGGAAGCGGCCATCTTGGCCTCGCTTGAAGGCCTCCAGAGACAGAACAAACAGTCTCCCTCCCAGGTCTCTCCGCCATGCCAGAGCCAGAATAGCGTCGCTCAAAGTGCCTTAGAATTCCCCAACCGAAGGGTCTTCTCAAATGCCCAGTCTTCCAAGATGCCCAAGGCAGCATCACCCCAGCCGTCCAAGTCGACCTCGACTCAGCTCGTCGACCTCACGAACGACTCTAGGTCGGGCTCAGATTAAAAAAGGATCTTCTCAAAGTTAAAGCCTGTTATTGGATCTGATACTGATACGGAAAGTGTGAATAATGCAACGGATGACGACAGTGACGAAGATCTTGAGAGAGTGATTCCCAAATCCCTTGAGGGTGTTTAGCATGACGCCGAGGTCTCTGACCTCCAGGTACCGTGGTCTCATTCGGAGCCAGTGGAGACCCCAGCAACCGCACATCGCGACCCGCAAGCCTTAGGGAAACTTCGGTATTGACCGAAAACAGATGGAACAGGAACGACTTGCCCGTCTCACTAAGCGTAAAAGTGGCAGCTCCCATCCTACCCAGCAAGCCCCCAAAGCTTCCAGAATGGCCGAGCCCAATCGCTCTTAGACTGACCAAGTACTATCGTTACATCCCCCTTCTAATTCGTATGCCTGCAACGGTTTTCCTGCCAGTAATCCTGCCAGCAAGACCCAGCCAACAGCTCGGCCACTCATGTAATACCCCTGAGGGTCGTTAAAAAGACGCACGTCGCAGTACTAAGCTCATTCCTGTGGGACATCGAGTGGCTCTCTTTGGAGTTCGACACAAAATTCGAAAACATTTGTGCTCCCATCGATTTACATCTAATGCTTGTTTCCTAGACTGGTGGACAAAAGCTACGCCAAAGTTGACGCTTAAACAGAATGGGAAATATAGCGAGTGGGGTAAATCCACAATCCAAAGGAAGGAAGAGTACCTATGAATTTCTCCGCATTGAGTGGAGGTTACCGGAGACCCTCCGGTAATTCCTCCGTACCCAGATTTCTCCTTTCGTACTGCTTCATCATTTGTTCACAAGCTTCGCGCTCCTAACTAAAGTTCAACGGATTCAGGCACGCTACGTGCATGAAGTGTAGCAGGCAAGGTTCCCCGTGGGGGGAGGTTTGGAGCCGGGATCGCATGATCCTTGACTGCGGGGAGAGTCAACCGCCAAATTGTGTCGACCTGCATCACTCCCTCACTACCAGAGCGTCTTCGCAGGACCACAAGAGCCACACCGTGGGACTCCTGGACTGTACAGAAGCAATAGTCGCCTCTGCCACACATGATGCCGCCAAAATCTAACCGTACCAGTGGCAGCGAGCCTAATAGCAACGGGCAAAATGGCATAGAGCCATCAGACACGACCAAGGCCGAAGACGATGTACCGGCTTGTCAGTCTTGTCGCAAGAAAAAGGCGCGATGCGATCGCGCACAGCCATGCTCTCAATGTGTCCGGTTTAAGGTCACTTGCGTCTACGATGACAGGAGAATGAAGCCTGGTCTCCGCGCTGGTGCGGTTGACCAGCTCTATCGCCGCGTCGAAACCCTCGAGAACATGTTTCTTGGACAGGAGATGCTGTGGCAACAAGTATGGCAAGCGCTTCATCCAGATCCATCTCTCCCAGAGCAAATCAAAAACGCGACCGGCGGTACAGATTTAGAACAGCGACGAAAACAGTTGAAAACCCGTTTGCTGGAACCTGTGCCTTATACAGAGCGTGCAAAGGGACAACAAGTCCGGATTGAAAGTATGAAAGATGTGGAGGCAACAACCTGCGCAGCAAAGCGCCGCCGACTAAATGAGAACGCCTCTTCGACCCCTTCCATCGACGTTGACGACGATCTGACTGCGATCTTGCCGCCCGACGTCATGGATGAGTTGGTTGATTTTTACTGTGTCAATATTCACCCCTGGATTCCGATCCTACATGTGGCCAAGTTTCGCGAGCGCATACGATCGCCGAAACATCGCTCGCGAGTTGCTTGTATTCTCCATGCAATTATAGCAGTCTGCGCCCGTTTTTCACAAAGCGACTTCCTACAGAACGAAGACTTGAAAACACGAATCGCCGTAAAGAGTCGCCAAAAAGTCATTCTGAACAGTACGGAGTCTTTCTCTGTTGAAAATTTGCAAGCTCTTATCATTCTTGCTTTCGAAACTGTGGGTATACTTATCCAGCTCTGTGCTTTTGCATGCTGAATCGTGTCGCAAAAATTTAGATCGGTCGCGGTCGCGGGCCTTCATCATGGTCAATTGTCGGGAGCATGGTGGGCACGGTAGAACAGCTGCAGCTGGGCGTCGAGGAGGATGCACTTTACCGAGGCACAAATCCAGGGGAAACTTTGATTCGGCGCATGGTCTTCCTGAGTCCCTCAAATTCTTGGAGCGAAGCAGAGGAACGCAGGAGGGTTTTCTGGACCGTTTTCCTGATGGACCGATTTTGCAGTGTCTCTACCGGGTGGAAGATCAGTCTAACAAGTGCCGATGTGGAGCGCCGTTTACCATGCGAAGGTGCTCTGTGGGAGATGGAACAGGCAGTTGAAGCACCATACTTTGGAATTTCAGATTCTAGGGACCATGCATCAAGTAGCTCTATCCTTAACGGAAATAGAGTATCAGCAAATGCGGAAGATCAAGATGCCATCGGTGGTTTTGCCTACAATATCGAAGCCACCGAATCACTCGCTTTGGTCACCAACTTTTTCCTCCATCATGCCTTCATTGTCAGTGATGCCGAAAAGGCGCAGGTATGGCTTATGAAGTTTAAAGAATTGGATTTGCGACTAATCCAGTGAGTACCCGTGGAGATTACCTTTGAACGTTCACATACTGATGTTATCTATCTAGATGGAAAATGTATCTACCTTCGAAGTGGCGGGAAGCTTCAGTTTTAAACAGAGATGGAGTAATGGACCCTAATCTCACGCTGGCTCATATCACGCACAACACCGCTGTAATACTTCTCCATCAAGGAATCGCGTATCCTCCAGCTCATTGGCAAGCCTGTCCTATCAGGCTCCCATCCGCTTCTTCTGCAGAAACCTGTTTAGAAGCAGCCTCTGAAATCGCGACCATTGGCCATCAGTTTTTGACCTTCTCGCCAATTTTTACGAACCCTCAATTCTCGTTCTGTCTTTTTATCGCGGGGAGAATGCTTCTAGCTCATGCGAAATACAACAAAGTTTCTGTACCACCGGCGTTTGACACGCTAATCGCAAGCCTCCTGGAAATTTCCCAACGTTGGATGGGAAGAATCGAACCTTCAAGTTCACATAATGAGAATCTTGCCTCCAGTCTTGCCAAGCGCCTGATTGAGGCCCAAAATAACTCAGGCGCCGCTCCTCGACCAAGTCTGGATATCCGCCAGACTGCATACTCGGACGAATCGAAAGGGCAACATACATTCGGAGCCTCGCCCTCACAAGGCTCGCTGTACTTTCCAATGGCTGCAAATGCAGTATCTCCCGCAAGATATATGAGCAGAGAGGGATTTCAAAACTTGCCTAGTCTTGACCCGTTTAGTCTGGCGTTCCCACCTCTTCCTCAAGCCTTCCAACAAGACTTTCCCGTGTATACAAGGTCCGATTCCTTGTCAGTCTATGCACACGCTACTGGGGATCAAGCATCTTCACCTGTGATGATGGATCCTTCCCAACAAAATTTCAACATGTGGCACGGTTCAGGTATAAATTTCGGACATGGCATTGTCAGCCCTCAAGAGGACTTATCGCAGGTTTTTAGCCTAACTCCAAGCCCCGGCCAAAGGATCAGTCGCTATGGCGGCGCACAAATTGAGGGTCAAGTGGGGAATGCCAAAAGTCCCAATGTCTAAATCAATCTCAGAAAGTCATGAGATTGACTTTTGATGCCAGTCGACCCTTTCGACTCTTTGATCCAGGAATCTGGCCCAGCACTAATTTGGGCCGGTGATCAGAATATCTTACTTTCGAACGAAAGGGAAGGGGAAACAGAAAACATGTGGCCATATATCGTATCTTATGTGTCATTGTATAATGGTTCTATGCCATCGAAAAAGCTCACTACCTATTCAATCAATGCATTGAGATTCCCCGTTCACCAAATCCAACTCGAGAAGCATATTGCCAAAAAGTAGGAAGTAGTAGTCCGCGTAGACAAGTCCATGATTAGACCACCGGCGGGGCGCGAACTCGTAGTTGTTGATAGTGGCTCCATCCAGAATTGTATCACGCGGTTTCGAAGTTAACTGATCCCCAACAGTCAACTTATTAAAACCGTCGCTATCGTTCTCATCCAAGCAGCCTTCCGGGTAAACAAGAACCTTGGATGTACATTGAGTGGTTTGGAACTGAATAGTTGGCGGATTCAAGAACTTCGTGACCGTGGCGTCGACGAGATTAATAGCCTCTCGCAGGTAGTGGTCTCCATCCGAGGTACCTTTCAGCGCCTTGTGAAGAAGTAAAAGACCGCAGCCAGCAACCATAGCTGCTGAAGTATCTCTTGGGCTCGTGGCAAGAACGGGCGCAGTGAAATCCCAATAAGGAACGCCATCAGCTGGGAGATGCGCCAGGAAATAATCAGCCAGCGCCTTCGCCGTTTCGAGGAAGGACTTGTCGCTAGTCCACCCGAAGGTCTGCATGAAGCCCAGAATCCCCCAAGCCTGACCACGCGCCCAGCAACTATCATCACTGTAGCCCTGGTTCGTGAACTTGGCTTTCACGTTTCCAGTCTGAGCATCAAAATTCACCACATGGAATGTAGTATTGTCTTTCCGTATGTGATGCTTCTGTGTCGTCTTCGCATGCGCCCGGGCAATATCAAACAGCAAGCTGTTTGAGGTCTCACGGGCAACCCAAAACAACAGATCCAAGTTCAGCATGTTGTCAATGATGACGAGAAAGTCTTTCGAAGGATCTGTGAAGGAGTACCGATTCGTGACGCAGACGTCCCAGCTTTGCAGGCACTGAGTGGTACTGTTGAAACGACTCGCAAGGGAGTGTGCTGCCATTATAAGACTATTGTATGCGGCCGCATCCCGCTGAAGCTCCCAGGCTTTCATTGCCCATGGTGCGATCATGAAGCCCAGATCATGGGTATCATGCTTGAGTGCGTTTTGATGCAGATTAGCTGTCCACCACTTGCACAGGTGCTCAAGCTGAAGCGGATGCGGCATTAATGAGTTTCCGTCGTTCTTGGCCTGCGATAATGGTGTATCTTGAGGGTACTTCATCAATCGTTCGAGAAGGAGATACAGAGATCCTGGGAAGAAACCAGAAGTCCAGAAGTCGAGGCTTCGGTAGACATAAAAGGCACTGTCGTTGCCAGTATACTCGGGAAAGAGAATCGGAGGGTTGGCCTATTTTCAAGAGGTGAGAAGCTCGAGTCGGGCTCGATAGTGTGTGAAATGACTTACGCTTCCCAGTGCCTTGGCCGCTACACGCCATAATCTAGCCACCACGGACTCCGAGTAAAGGGCTTCTATCACCCATTTCGTCCGAGATTGAGTCTTGTAGGTTCCATTCGTATCCCGTGACTCAATTTTCACTCTTTTCGGGTTGGGTTGCTGTATCGCACATTAGCAGCGGAAAATATGAATGTGGACTCGAATTGGACGCACCATAATTGGTTGATCATCTAACGACATGATGAAGGTTAAATACGTAAGGAAAGGACAGAGTGTCGTGGCGAGAAAAACAAACTGAGTTGTATCAGGTGGTTTTTGACGATTACTCTTCTATTGACTATGCTTCCTACTGGAGTGTTCCTCCGCTGCTTTGTGGCACTCGGAGGAGGTCCGGCATATTCCCCGGTTGTGGTGGTATTGAGACAGGGTGGAGACGCGGGCCAGAACACCGGGCAGTTCCAGAAGAGTGGACCGTCATCGGTTAGAGGCTTTAATAAGAAATCACCTGGAGGAAATTCTTTTGATTGTGTCTAACATGACTATCTCGATTATTGTTTGGGGTGTGCGGAACATACTTCTACAGTACTACCTGTGACCATACTCTACGATGTGATCCCGATTGGAAGGGTTTAGACAAACATGACTGTGCACAATATGAAAGGTCTTCCACTTAGAAGTATTGGAATGCTCCGCATCGTCGAAATCATAGTTGTCATTCTGCTGTGGTATGAAACACACGAGTTCGAGAGCTGGCAACATGAAAATGTGTATCACCTCTAAAAATGATGCCTACTCTAAGAGACTTGTTCGGCATCATATATTAATTAAGATAGAAATATAACTCCCGTAGGTAATGTGTTCATAGTTGTTATGTGTCGTTATCAAGCCAGTTAAGTCATATATTAAGCTCTAATGAGTAGTCAACTTGTTGAAGGTCTCGAAAAAGGCTTAATGAATGAATTGAGGCTATAGTTCTTGCCGAGCAAGAACGCTTTCCGCTCTAGAGTTGGTTTGACCACCTTCTCAGAAGTATCAACTTTCACCCAAGGGGGTTTGATGGTGTTGAACCACGTAATAACAAAGAATTGTCAAAATCACAGTTCACCCAAAATAACATGAAGGTAAAATATACCGTAACAGGGTTCTATGGGTTGAATCTCTGAATTAGAAGAAAACAAAGTCACACAGCGATCCGAAACAATAATTTTTCACACGCTGCGATGGAGACGATGTGGTTCAAACAATGCTCTGGATTAAGCGGCAAGGGCGTTCAATGCGAAAGGAGCGAGCACATTCTCTGGGTGATTTTGGAACAATACTACGAAATCACTGTCAAACTCGATACTGGCTATCGTCCAACATTCGGATACAAGTATTTTTGCAGGTTCTTCGAGAGTATAGCCTCACACATACTCGTACGGTAGAAAACCATATCCTGCTTGACCAAACCTTGTGGCCCATGCATCAATTATGGTGTTGGATCGGTCCCAGTGGCCTTGGTTCCTCGTGATGTACCCTGCACACAAGATTGTCAGAGCATAGTTCATAATATACTTGTACCACGAACTCTTACACATTATGGCAATCTGGTAAGCCGCGCGAGCATCATTGGCAAAGCTGGTGTAATTGCTGATCGCGCTCCGACTGATGACAGGATTAGGACCTTGCATTTTGTAGGTTGACAAAGAGTAGGAATCATTCGAGAATCGCGAATATGCCGATGCCCATGGCTCGACTCCACCCAGAGCATTCTTTCGCATTGTCTCGAGATCTGCATGGCTGTGCCAAAGACCTGGGTGTTAGAATTCCCGGGGTCGTTCTTTCGAACCCTCCGTCGAGGGGATAATGGGGACATGGCCGTTGAAATTAATGACAGTATTTTGTTCCAAGTACTTACAGTGAGTAGGGTACTTACCATTCAATGACGGAACATCACTGACTAAGGCATTGACAGCTGTTGCAGCCACAAAAAGAAATTAAAGAAGTGGCATGTTGCCCCTATCATTCAAATGCCCGTGGTGTCTGTTCCATCACTGTTGACGCCGAGGCACTGATATAAGATATACCGTTGTGGATCCGCACGAAATAATTCGAGGAGAGGGGAGCATTAAAGTTAATTCCACTTGCTCCTTTTCACTAGCCAATAGCAATCCTCTTCCAAATATTGGCTTGGAAATAACCCCGTGGGGTAACTTGTCGGGGTATTGAACGGACATACACCGGCTCGGATTTTCCGATTCGAGATATCTGCCGGACGATCCCGGCAAGTTGCAGACTATGATCAGATGGAGAATTATCGAATACCTCTGAACCTTAATTGATTTATTTTCACATTACAAGCTACCTTGCGCTGTTAGCTTGGCTAGAATGATAAGTCTGAAGAAGGAGGGTAATAAAATCCATACAAATAAAACCAACGTACCCACGCCGCTAAGGGTCCCAGCAAGTTACCTTCGAGACTTTACTTAAAATGAGGCTGCTGCTCAACCGAGTAATTATCATAAAACTGTGGGTGTTAGTAGCACTTGCCATTAAAAATCCTATCATCCCAGGATGGAATCCAGATCCTTCTATCATTCGTGTCGGCGAGGAATATTTCCTCGTGACTTCGTCCTTCGAGTACTGGCCTAGTACTCCAATTTACAAATCAATGGACCTTGCCAACTGGGAGCTTTACTCACATGCTTTCACAAGGCCGAGTCAGGCTCAATTATATGGCGTTCCAACGGGCGCAGGTAAGTATATTATTTCCTTATGCTACCGGGAAATTTTGTGATATCAACAGACTGGCAGGTACATGGGCTCCCACATTGTCTCTTATCAACGGCAAATACTACATGGCATCCATGACAAGGTGGACATACGACCCAGTTGCGCGGGTGTGGCCCCGTGTCATGTGGGTGTCCTCCCATGATTTGAAGACATGGTCTGTTCCTATTTGGGGTGATGCGTGGGGAATCGATCCTTCATTGTTCCAAGACCCAGCTTCTCAGAAGGTTTATTTGAATCTCATGGCTCCAAACAATAATGTTGATAGAATTTGGGGTATTTACCAATGTCAAGTCAACGTGGATAGTGGCCGGTGCATTGGCGAGTACCATTCTATATGGAATGGGACCTTGGCGCATAATTCATCTGCCAGACCTGAGGGTCCAAAGATGTTCAAGCGCGACAGTTGGTATTATCTTCTTATCGCTGAAGGTCAGTTCGACTTCATCCAAAGTTAAAGCCCTATGATTCACACTAATTTCCGAAGGTGGAACGGATGACCTTCACCGAGCTTCTATTGCACGCTCTGCTTCTCCTGAAGGCCCCTGGGAAGCAGCCCCAAATAATCCGATCCTTTTCAATGGTGCATATGGATATGATAACCTCACCGTACAGTCGACTGGCCATGCAACTCTATTTGATACTCCAAATGGCGAGAGCTATGTAGCATTCTTGGCCCGGAGGAAGATCAATGGCTCGTCTCCGCTTGGCCGAGAGACTTTCCTTTCTCCTGTGCAGTGGATGAATGGATGGCCTGTTGTCAACGGGGGAGAACCAATTCGACTCAGCCAATCGTTCGGCAATACAACAGACCAGGTCTCACCACCAAAACTATTTTCAGATAACTTTGACCGAGCAACTCTCGATCCATCTTGGTATCAGCTCCGAATCCCTTACACGCAGAACTTCCTACTGAAACGGAATGGCGCCAACGGAATCACTTTCAGACCAAATGTGTTTAGCCTGAGTGATAGAGACACGCCTGCGGCTATCTTACGGAAACAAACATCATTGAATATGACTTTCAGTGCGCAACTTTTACCAACAAAGTCTGGTCTTGGATATGGAGAGACAGTCGGTATTAGTGCCTATTTGAGCGAGCTGCAACATCAGGATATTGCAGTTTCCGGTTGTGTCAACAGCACGGGGATGTGCATATTTACTCGCTTGATGAAAAACAGTACTATCGAGGTAATGGCCCAATTTCAGTCTCAATATTTGCATACTAATATAAAATGTCAATCTAGTACGATCAAGTGAAACTGAATTCCTCAAACATTCCATCTGATCTGACGCTTCACATTCGAGCCGAACCGATGTCCTACACGCTCGGGTACAGCTTCGGTATGAATGATACAATTCATTGGTTGAAGGAACTATCATCTTCATGGTTAGCATTTGCATCCACCAATTGGTTTGTCTTTGAGGGTGCGAGCTTTGCTCTTTTCGCTACAGGGACTGGTCAACCTTGGCCACCTCATGCCCCTGAAGTGGGATTCTTCAGGGTGACGGAGAGATATTACGAGGAGAATATTCCCGACTATGATAAGTGGCAGATCGTGGTACAGGAGTAAAGTTCAACGAATGATTCTTCCCTTACTTCGTTCAATCTGAGACTATCGCATCTGGGGCTTAACTAGTGTAGCAAAAAGCCGAGAAATCTCTGCTTTACTCCGCCGAATACGTAATTCACATGCGAACCGCCCACACAAGCGAGCCGCCCACACCGCCTGGTACTACATTTTGGAACTAGAATTTTACCACCAAAACACCATCAAATTTAAATATCTATCTACTGGGGCACCAGGTAATTGAATGACCTATTCTCTGACAGCCGCTGTACCTTGCCTGCTGCCTTTTGACTGGTGGAGGTGGTAGAACAGGCGGCTCAATAGGCTCTGGTAGAGGTTGCTTAACAGGTTCAACAGCCTGAATTGGCTGCTGAATAACCTGTAATACTTCTTCAACGGTAAACCCTCCTTTGTGTGGTATTTGTCGATTTGATTGTGTACGCTTTTGTCGTTTCTTTTTATTTATAGTACGTAAATTAGTATTTTCCTTTACTAGAAGCGTAGCATTATATATTGAGAGATAGCAGTCTTTGATAACTTGATTAAGTATGATTTTAGTTGGAGTTAGAGGGTTTTTTGAACGTTTATTAAGTAGGGCTTTAAGTAAAGAGGTTTACTTTTTAAGTTAAAGAACTATTTGTAGTGTTTTTGGTATAAAATTACTTAATCTACTATTTGGTTAGCTTTCTAGGGGTATAGGTATTCGTAGTAATATATTAAGTTTTAAGAGTATTTGATCTGGGTTTATTAGTACTAGATCTACTGTTATAAAGCTATTTTAAATAGTCTCTAGTTTAAAGGTCTCTATATATATATAAGAATATACTGCTAGAAAATCTAGCTTATTAATATAGTTATATTCTGTATGTACTTAATTCTTAATTAAGTATCTATATAAGTATTTAAGAATAGTAAAATATCTAATATTAAGAGACTGAAGAAGATAAGATAAGTATACTAGTATATAAAGTAGTATAATAAAGTTTTTAGTATAAATTTAATCAAATTAAGGTATAAGGTAGCTATTATAACTATCAAGAATAAGAAGGTAAAATTTCCCTTTTATATATAGAGTTATAGCTAGAATAAATAGATTTTAAGCTATCATAAGCTAATCAGATTTATAGTCTAGCTATTTTAAGAGATCTTAAATCACTAGTCTTTTAGAAAGTTATTAAACTAGCTTTTAATATAGACTTTACCTTTAAATATAATATATAGAAGTAGAATAAAATCACTTATACTAATTATTTTGATTACTATTACCTATTTACAGTTTCTAGATTATTTAAGTACTCACTGACTGTAGTATTTAGTATATATTACTACTTTAGCAGCTACAATAAGTCCTATTGTAAAGTTAGTCTTATTAAAGTTATAGATATCCTCTGGTTAAATACTATTCTTATCAATCATATATTAAACAGTTTTAAATCACTTACGTAGAGAATTTAGATCCTTATTTTAAGTACGTTGATAATTATAATGTTTTGAAAATCATGTACAAAGCTCTTTATAGTATTTGATAAAGTTTGTTAACCAGTTTACACTAACTGTGGATAAGGGGGTAGATCTACGCTCTATAAGTAGAATATTAGCCATTTCTCGTACAGTAGATAGCCTAGGTGCTGCTCCACATAAATCTATAGAGAGTATCTATTGAATAAGTGAATCCTCCTTATTTTGTGTCAATTTATGACTGTTAGCGCGTACGTTCTCTCGATTTACAGTACCCTTAAGCCGATCACGTAGTATAGTCCAAGGAACATCATATATCGCTGCAGCTGCACGGAGAAAGCTTGCCGATTTATTTTAAATAGCCTTAATAGCTACTAGTATTCTTCCTTCCTTGCTAGCAGAATTTCTGCTATTTTGAGCGCGTTTTGGTGGCATGGTGGGTGGTTGAAGATGGTGAGTACGCGTCGGGACGCGATCTGAGGCGGTCTGGGCGGCTCGCTTGTGTGGGCGGTTCGCATGTGAATTACGTTAAGGTCCGAGGGGTTGTTGCCTGAGGCGCAAACAGGGGAGGTCCTGTGAGTCGGAATACTGCTTAGTAAATCATACTGCGCATCAATAGGATATCAACGAGTCTGAATTGCTACAGTATAAAGCCCCTTACTGGCAATTTATGTGGGCATAATAATGATCAATCTAAATGGGAGATAGTATCTCCGTTCTTCGGTCTCCACTGCTGCTTTTGTTCCGACACGGTGGGCCGGCTAGTCACATGTTGTACGCCCTCGGCATGACGCACCTTAAGCGTAGCCTGATTATTGTGAAGCTGTAACACTTTGGACATCTCGAACCTACAACACTTTGAAAATGTCGACAGCAGCTGTCTTTGGCTCCAATGGAGCAGTGGGCTCGGAAATATTCGCAACACTACTAGCCTCGGACCCGTTCTCCTCCGTCAAGACAGTGTCAAGAAGAATCACAAGCGCACAGTCTCCAAAGCTCGAAGCTTTGCAGGAAAGCGACAGATCAAAATGGGCCGAGAAGCTCGAGTCTTTGAATTCTAAGCCATCGGTGGTCTTCAACACTGTTAGTACCACTCGGGCTGCAGCTGGTGGCATACAGAATCAGGATAGATCGACCATGAATTATGTATCGAAAATGCCGGGCCCGCCAAAGCAGCGGGGGTGAAGACATACGTCTCTATATCTAGAGCAGGGACTAGGGGCTTCTTATCTAATCATGTCATCAAGTAAATTGCCGCCATCAAACCATGACTGAAATTTCATGCCGTGTTTGATTTCAGCCATGCGGCAGTTGCCCTCCACTGGTTCGTCCTGCAACATGAGGGCTCACATTGTTTGCCGAGCTCAACTTCGCATAACAACAAAAGTGCGTGTTGTCCAGGCCCAGCCCGACAGTTACTGTAATCCTGAGGCTGGTTCTGGACTTCAGAAATTCTCCTCAAAAGTGCACAAGCAGTGTGCACGGAATGCTGGGTGGATGTTGCTTTCTTCTGTAAGAGTGGGCTGAGTTGGCGGTGTAGCAGAAAGCTTCGACGAGGGGCAAGTTGTCTAAATTCACAAGTTTCGCAAACTGCCGACAGAAGGTCTTCGTGGCTCTGGTCTGCCTCGTTCTCAAAGTTAATGAAGATTGCCTTCTTGTACTTGGGTAGATTGGTGCGTTGACTCCAGGGTAGGCCAGTGGACAACTCGAAGTTTTTTTCGACGGTAGCAAATGCTTCCTCCAGACGACCATTTTCCGAGCGTGAGCAATGGAGTCTGCGGCTCGGGGAAGTATGGCGTACCAGAGTGTAATAGTTAGGCATTTCGGTGTCAAAAATCACTCGCATCCGAGTTATCCTCGCAGCGCATCCCTTCCACTTCTCTCCCGGAATTCCATACAACGCCGAAAGGTCTTCGACCATTGTGGCATCCCAAATTACGCCTTCCTCTTCCTTGAGGATGGCAAGCTTTTATCCCTTAGCTGAAAGGGTTAAGGATCACAGTTTTAACAGTCAGAACATCATTGGATAGCAGAGGGCACTTACCCTCTTCTGCCTTGTGGCTTGCTTTGTCTACCATAGCCGAGACTGACGAGAGATTGGCCAGAATCTTGGCAATAACTAGCTCTGTGGACTCGCCAACGTTCTCAATTGATCTTGAGACAGATCTGGTCTTTTGTTTCCTGTGGGATTGGGAATTTGATACATTGCCACTGACTTGTTACGTGGTCTCGTCATCGCTGCGACCTGACGCTGATCTGGTCTTGCGTGTCCTGTGGGATTGGGAAGTTGATTCACTCGCGGCAGATACAGAGCGCCTTAAACGCCTCTCGATCGAGAACTCTTCAGCATCCAGATATTGTTCCTCGCTGATTGATCCCAATAACCAGTCAATTGAGACAATCTCGCAAGTAGAGCCTTTAATAGCCTCCTGGACTAATGTATAGATTTGAGGCATTAGCATCTGCAAATATAGGCATTTCGCCGACACCGACTTCTGATGGTGCGCGTGCTGCTTGCGTAGCACTCAGCGATGGTAATGAGGTGTGTACTTTCGTCGATCTTATTCTTTACGAATGTTGCACCACGACACTCAACCATTGCTTGAGTTTGCTCTGCAAATCACACGAAGCGTCAGTGTATTTTGAACATACGAGGCTTCTTCAATCAGCTCTGGGTGCCGTGATTGTAGCCAGGAACCTTTCCACTGACTGCAGGTCGTATATCCTGCAGAAAGTTAGGATCCGATCAAGGCACCACCGATGATGAAGAAGATATAAGCAGAAAAAAGAAAGCCAACAGGCCACCACTTGGAGATAGTCTTCCGGGGCGCGCTGATAGAGGAAGAGGCGAAAATACGAGGTCGCTAGTCGGATAACTCATCGATCCGCGAGGCCAGTATCCATCAACATGAAATTGGCGTTAAGGGTCCGTAGATTTAATTTAAATGAAAAATGGCAGCCAACAGGCTTTGAAAGATGGGCTTATTTTACAGAATAACTCACGAGCTAGAGATATATATGAGAGCCAAGATTCCTGGCGTGCTACCTCACAAGAAGAATCTACTGAGGCCTGAGGCCTCAGGCCCCAGGTTGCTGAGTCAGCCGGTGCCCACCGTGCCTGCCATGTAGATAGCTTCGCTCCATAGCATCTTCATGTCACCACCATCTTCAGTCTCTCCATGCGAGTATCCTCATTCCTGTGCCTCCAGTAGGTTATGAGCCCGGCTTGCTAGTAGTCACCCTACAAGCAGCTCATTTTTCTCTCCCCTTGGGTGATACTCGCACCTTTTTCGCATCTCCCACGACGTCGTCAACAACGCGTGGAATACAGCGAATTTTTCGTCGAATCTGGACAAAATTTTTGATCTGTCGCCATACAGATTCATCTCAAATTCGGAGGTTTCCATACCTCTCAACTTCCTGTGGTTTTCGCGCCAAGAAGTCGATATCGACGCCGCGACTATCACTTGTGGGGCCGAGGATCTACGCCAAGACCCTTGCCACCCATCCACTTTCGGGAATTCCATCCTGGAAGCAAGAACTAGAGCTGAGCCGCACTCAGTTTCCTAGTGTTTCGACTCAGAAAGAGTTTTCAACAAGTTGTGGCTGAGAAAAGTGGTTTTAAAGACGGAACCGAAGCCCAACGCTCGATCCTACGATCAACAACTTTGACTTCAAAGAAGTTAACAAAGAGTCACGATGAGCGATAATATCAACGACGCCGCTGGCAATCGTCCTGCCGGTAACCCTCTTGCAGGCAATCCATACACCGCACTCGCAGGGCAGCCTCCTGTACCTAATACTGGCAACATTCAGCAAGCCCCCGCTTGTACCAAGGAAGAGCTCAAAGCCAGATGGTGTAATACGTCGCGAGCAGAGACTATTCCGATCAATTAAGCCACCGATCTCCCCGACAAGCTGAAGCTTGGCGAAATTGAGCTCAAGCTGATAGGCGAGAGCAACTGGACCGAATAGGAACGCTATACAAGAGCTATTCTTAAAGGTCGTCATGTCGGTGCCCTCATCGACGATGAACTTATACATCCTGATATTGACGATGCTAATACTAACCTGTGGCGCTCTCACAGCGAAGCAGCCGCAGTTATCCTCCTGAACGGCCTTTCGAAAGACCTATACAACAAGATTAAAATCGGCCGTGATAAGGAAGATATTCGCTTTACAGACGATATCTGGCGAATTCTCCACAATACGTGCAAGGGCTACGGTATCTATACCGGGACCACTACATAGTAAGCTTATAAGAACGTCTAAGAGTCAACCTACGAGACTATAGACGGATACATCAATGTATATACTGATGTGTGCTTAAAGGCAAAAGAAGCTGGCCATACGCTTAGCGCGTTTACTATACTATCTGACGTCTTAGTAGGAATTGCAACATTCGACATAATAGTTGCCAACTGATGGCTTCAAACCCTCCACACATCGAACTGCAAGCCCAAAGACTATACTAATACCTTATACAATAAGGTTATCCACGATATCTAAATAACTACAACTGTCCGCCGTCGCACACCTGTGTATGCCGGTGCGACCGTCGGTTCAGGTTCTAATAAGGACAACAAGGATAACAAAAAGAATAAGAATAAGAAGTATAAGCTTCTATCTCTCGACAAGTAAAAAGGTTGCCTGCCTAATAGTACTTCCGATACCGATTATTACAACAAGCGACGGAAGCTTAGAAAGAAGGATAGGAAATATGGTCACTGTAAGAAGGGATCCTATAATACTGATATATACTTCTGCCTACGTCCAGATCTTAGATATAAGGGCCTCAAGACTTCAGGCAATATATAGACCTATAAGCGTGGTGAGGATAATGGGCAACCCTGGCCCCTACAAGACGTAAAGCAAGATACTGGTGCTATACTAGATTTAACGAAAGTAACCGGCTCTATAGCTATAACTGCAGCTGATCTCCCAACCCCAATAAGTAATATCTACAACTAAGGATAGTTAGGTATAGCTATTACTGAGGATGCTGCCGATCGATTTACCGGTATTTACAAAGATTAGAAAGAAATCCTTAATGCTATAAACGACGGCTAAAACCCTATAAGGGAGCCTAATTTTCCTGCAGGAAAACAATCTCACCCTTCAAGCGTGTTCTCTGACTCGAATCAGACTGTTGCTAACTTCTCCGAGCAGCTAGGTAACTTAAAAGAGACTCTTGAGATCCTAGAAATCACGCTACAGCTCCGAAACAACATGGCGATCGACCCAAATATCGTCCCCTCCGCACTATACATACGCTGTGAAGGAGGATTGTCCGATGATCAACTAATTAGTCGCTTCCAAAGCAGTATAATAGCAGTTGTAACCCGTAAGTGTCCAGTTAAAATCTGTCCTACTGAACCGCAGATTCGTATTAAACCTCAAGATAAGAAGCTTCAATAGCTTATGGATACAGGCACAGGATTTCACGTCTATATGAACCGAGAGTTCTTCACCGATTACGTTGCTCTTAGAAAAGAGGCCTTCACATAGTCTATATCCGGGGGAGTCGAAGGCAAAGTACTAGGTCACGGCAAGGTAACAATTACTATGATTCAAGATAATAGATTACTCTATAATATTGAATTCTTCGCCTATTATATACTTAGTGTTCGTTTTAATATTATTAGTACGTGTAAGTTTTGTAGAGATCTCGGAATATACTATAGTGACCGAGATTTCTCTATATATAAAGTAGACTTAAATAATCGTTGCGGGAGAATATTTTTTTTATACAAATGTACCTTTCCTGTTATACACTAAGAGTAATCAACTAATTAATCAGATTGTAATAGAAGCAGTTATGATGGACGTTCTCTATCGTTGTCTCGGACACACAGATTTGTCGAAGCTATATGTAACTACAAAACAGATGGGTATTAAGGTTACTGATAAAGAATTTCACTATCCTTCTTATACTATAGCAAAGTCCAAAAAGAAGGTCTCCCGTATATATTAAGTGTGTATAGAGAAGGCCGGAGACTACTTTTATACTGATCTATAGACAATTAGTCCTAAAGGATTTAATGTAGATCACCCTAGATACTATAGGGGTCTTAAATACGCTATAGTCATTGCTGATAATAAGACCTAATGCCGTTGGGTTATCTGCTTGAGAACTAAAGATAAGGCTACTCAGACACTAATCGATTTCGCCGAATCTGTTAAGAGCTAGTGTGGCTTATATCTAAAAGAGTAGTACCTTGATAATACTAGTGAATTTTAAGTATTTACTCACTAGTGTGTTGAGAAGGGACAAACCTATACCTTTATTACTCCATACGCTTATAAAGCCAATGGTTTAGCGGAATAATTAGGCCAATATCTTATCTAGATCGCTAGGACGATAATAATTAATACTAATACTAAATCCGATTTGTGGCTAGAAGCACTACGTGCTACTATATATATTACCAATCGTCTAGTTAAACCCGGTGAGGTGTAATCGCTAATACAACAGTATCAAGAAGAAACCAGCTCTCGAACCTATTCTACCTCACTCGATTACTTACAGATATAGTACTGCTACATATATATCAATGTGCCGCCAGAAACCTATATCAAGAGCTAAAAGATAGTACTAAGAGTATTTGTTGGTCACCTAGTCGGATATAAGAGTAAAAATAGATACTTGTATTGTGTCTATATCTCTAGGAGTAAGAATCAAAAGATAGTTTAGACGTAAGATATCTTATTCTGGAAGAGATATAACAACGATAACTTATATAGAGTTGTCTCTATCCCTATTACTGAGACTACTACTAAGCAAAACCAACCTATTAAGGTAGTAAGTAAAGGACTGAGTTAAGTGCCTATAGTTTATGTACCTTCTGTATCTCCCCCTACTACTATATCAGCGCTCCTAGTTCCGATAGTTGCCCCTATTCAAACCGTTATATTAGTTCTGCCTAAAGAGATAGTTGTACCTATACCTCTGGTGCCCCCAAATATCACTGTAAACACTTATTTTACTGATATTAATGAACTGAAGTGTTAGATAGGAGTCGTACGAACTTATTTAAAGCGATTACACAACAAAGATAAGGCCTATAACCTCTACTTTAAGCAGATTATAGGAGAATTCAACTGTATATACAAGATAACCGAAGTAATATATATAGTAATACTACAATAACTTTAATAGCTCAAAGATACTATTTGATCAAGTACCTAGGCGCCAACGATCGAGGTAACACATTAATATATATTACTGATACCTACTACTATCAAAGTTACGCCACTAGTTAAGTAGTTATCTATAATACTGATCAGACCTTTACCAGAGATAGAGATACAGATATTAGTTTAATCGTTATAAGATAGGAATACTTTACTCTCGCCAATACAACTATTACTACTGATATAAGTATTATCACCGGATCGAATTACTGAAGAGTCAATACTACCACCCAATGTACCTATACTACAACGAAAAACCGATTATACGCTAAAACTAATTACCCTACCATTACAAGTCTCTAAATACTTAAATAAGGGTGTCCCACTATACTGGTTTAACGAGGAATACTTTCTAGGTGGAAGAGGAGACACTAATAATATAGCTGTTGCGGAAAGTAATGGGGAATCTGATAAGGACAACTATATCTATATCTCACTAATAATTATATTAGTTATCCTAAAGGACACCAATATCACTATAGGACCTAGAGAATATGATGTTGCGAACCCCAGAAAGAAGATATAGTAAATCTCAATCCCCTAAACTATTGGAGAAGCTTGTTGCTTAACTGAATAGGAACACTGGTAACTTGTAATAGAGGAACAATACTATAAACTAGTAGGTACAAAAGTATAGTGAACGGTCAGCCCAGAAGTTACCTTATCAAATAGATGCCGAATTCTACTAGGTAAGTGGGTTTACGATATAAAAACTGATCTTGGAGGTACTATTCTACAGTATCGAGTACGATGGGTGGTTTGTAGTAATCGCCAAAGGCCAGACTATAACTATAATAAAGTATATGCCCCAGTCACCCTTAATTAATCGGATAAATTACTGTGGGCAAAAGTAGCAATCGAAGGTCACGATGTACGTCAATTCGATGTAGTGACTGCGTACATAAATTCGATAATTAGAGGACGTAAAGTCTTTATACGGATGCCTATAGGTTTCGAAAAGATAGTACCTAGAATAGTTTGTAAGCTTCTGCAGGCTCTCTATGGCCTATACTAGGCCGGTATACTATAGTATAAAGACTTCGATAAAGCCTTGAAAGGTATAGGTTTCACTTCCTTAATCTATGACCCTTATGTCTACATATGAGATGATCTCTTTTTAGAGATATACGTCGACGATGTCAATACTTATACCAATACAACGGTAGAGAATGATGCTCTAGTTACTTTAATTTCAAAACTATTCACAATCAAGGATCTAGGACATCTAAGTAAGTTTCTGGGGACTACAATCAGTTATTCAGAAGACGCTATTTCACTGGATTAATCGGAATACCTTTATAAGTTTACAAATAAGGAGGGTTTTGCTAACAAGAAGCTCTTATCGAAAAGCTTGCTGCTAATACTACCCGGTATGCCAGTCTCGAACCTCTATACAAAAGGGGAAGGGGAGCCTGATACCGAGGAGTTCACTGGTACTATATTAAGTCTAAATGAAGTCTTGTACTATGTATCTTCAGTTGGTAAGCTTAGTTGGATAGAAATGAAGACCCGCCCTGATATTACTTACGCTATAGGGTGTCTTCGTTGAGCTGTGTCACAGCCAACTGAGTAGGGAAAGACACTAATTGGATATATAATGTATTATATGCTGGCGAAATCTAAGATAGGATTGATCTTTCAACGTGTCCCTGAGGATTAGGATCGAGGCCTTATCGGTTTCGTTGACTTATCCTACGGAAACAGAACTTATAGTCGCTCAGTTAGTAGATATATCTACTTCTTCAACGGAACACCTATTTCATGGAGATCTTAGCAGCAGCGTGAGGTGTCGAAGTCATCGACATGTGCCGAATTCAAAGAACTGTCAGACGCCATAGATGAAGGCATGTGGCTTCGAAAGCTAGCCTCAGAGCTCAATCTCATGAAAAGCGATGATAAGATTGTGTTGAACACCGACAGTGACAACGCCAAACTCATTATCTCAGGCGTAGGATACAAACCGTCCGTGAAGACGGTCAGACTTGCCTATTTCAACACCAGAGAGGCCGTTATTAACGGCGACGTTGAACTGGTATTGATTGCAAGCACAGACAATACTGCGGACGGGCTTACCAAACCTCTTCCTTCTACAACATTTGACCGCTTCCTCGACAAGCTCCACCTTGCATGACGCCAGACAGCGACGCCGACGACGCCCCAAACCGCCGCCGACGACGCCTACGACGCATACAAAGGACAACGGGGATGGAAATGGATGGGGATGATGGAATCTGGGCCTGTTTTGTCGCGAATCCGGAGCGTGGAGATGCTGCCGGTTCGCCCTCGTTTTTGTGGCCTTAGTGCCTTGCTATTAGTTAACTGGGGAGCTAAACCTATTCGGGATGCACTAGTCTCGATGGGGAATAGCTTCTTTTTCAAGTAATCGATGGATTGCTTCTTGTTGTGGTGCACGCTGTCCACAGCCTGCGGGGGAGTACTGAGGCCTGAGGCCTCAGGCCCCAGGTTGCTGAGTCAGCCGGTGCCCACCGTGCCTGCCATGTAGATAGCTTCGCTCCATAGCATCTTCATGTCACCACCATCTTCAGTCTCTCCATGCGAGTATCCTCATTCCTGTGCCTCCAGTAGAATCTATGAGAGAGCTCCTCGTGTTGGGTGATCTCACTATTCAGTTCAGTTGGGTTCCAACATCAATCGGCTAAATTATTGATTTAAAACTCTGGCCTGGTGAGCAAACAGAAGCGACCAATTGATAGTTGTCAAGATATTCGATCCGCTGTCATATTCGAAGGAATTCCATCATTGGTCAGTAACGAACTACTTTATTAACTCTATCACATGCTTATGTTTACAATAGCTAGGTATACTGTATTTGATTGACTTTATTTCTCAATCCTGTGCAAAGACTGTCCTATTTCATTGCGATTTACCCGAGGGGGATGGGAGGGAAATGATTGTGTGTGTACCTCTGACCTGCCACGAAGGGGATTTGTAAACCCAGGCTAATCAATCTCCTCGGCAAATTATCTGCAAAGGCTCTGGTCTGAAGTCCCTGCTCTCTCCTTACTACTAACTCTGTACTTTGAAAGCTAGTCAAGCTCCCTGTCTTGTTATGGGAGAATGAGAATGAGGCATTGTCAAGGCCTTTCAAGCTATATTTACCCGCACACTAGGTATTTGCTCTAGGACTCAAATATTGCGCACTTGATTTCTAAACGGAAGACGAACAACCCTTTTAAATAAAGGTTCGAGAACAAAATTGTTTGCTCCCCCAGATCATGCATGATGTATTGCATACCTAAGTATCTCCTGCTACTATATCCTTCATTATCTCACTCCCACAATACATTCATTCCCAACGCCTTCCATCGTCCCTTAACTACCTCGCCACCAACACAATGGAATGTTACCTTAAATTTTTCCTCGCAAATGCCCCATTGAAACTCTACGAGCGGCGTCACCAGTTTCGCGAGTCTGACTCCCTAGACAGAGAATTGAGCCTGACAGAATACATCGTCAAAATTGATCCTGTTTGGTCTCCCACTCTGATTGACTGGCCCCATCGTCCAGTAGAGATCAGCATTCCAGAGTTCAATGAGGAGATTCTTTGCATTGTCCACGAACTACGTTCCACGTTGAGATCCCACGGGTTCCCAGACACGCTTAGGAAGTACACACACTTGATAACTCAGCTGTTCGACCCTCAGGACCCTGATCAGATTAGAAGACCTCCTCAAAAGCTTCTACGTATACATCTTGATGATTACTGTTATCTCCCTGCTCAGCTTGATGCAAGAACATCTTCGTGTATTTCCTCACCTCTGCCAGAATAAGTCGCCTCAGCCTAAGCCAGTTAGTACGACACAAGGGCTCAACAGCAACGACAACGGCGGGAACATCCAGTCCGTACTGACGAGTAATGTATGACAACAGATCCGCCTGCTTACCGGGAAGGAACCGCTCAAGAATCTCAGTGACTTTCGCATCCTCCAAACGACTCGCCGACCCTACCTTCTGGACATCGGAGATATCGACATTGGCAACATTTGACCCAAAGATGATATCAACGTGAACATCTTCCTGGCCGAGACGTCGAAGCATATCCCGAAGAGCATCTCTCCCGCGGACTATCTACGAAACGGTGGTTCTTATTGGCAAATTCTGACAGTGCTTTGTTTCTGAATTGAATTTCCTTTGAGAGCCTACAAGCTTTTTCAATACCTGTAGGCGCAGGTAAAGGGTATGACACCTCTATCTTTTGATAGCTAAATTATTCCAACTAAACAATAATAGCCTTCCGTATAGCATCCTGAAGCAACACCTCCCTCCTCGCCAGATCGAGCCTTAAGAGCCTCACAGCACACTCCTTAACCGTCACCGACCTCTCATTCTCCGACGACAACAAGTTCCTTCTAAGTGTGGGACCAGACCGCCACAGCCGGCCGTGACAATTCCGTCAAGATATGGCATTCACATGCAAGACTACCATCGCCTTGACATCCGCGGTGTCCTCGATTGAATTCTTGTCCTCCCGATATAAAAACAACTTCATCCTTGCTGCAGGTGAAGATAGCGGCGCGGTGTCTATTCACAGAATTGCTACCAATACGCTCAAGGCGCAACGAATTGTGACTACCGACCCGCTTATTGCTCCATCCAAGACAATCACTCAATTTTCATGGAGGCCCGTGCCAGCGGCCGATGTGGATAGTAGGACTCACTTTGAGCTTGCTGTGGCTAGCGAAGATATTTCTACTCGCATATACGCGATATATAACATACTCTCATGATCTCAAAGTATATAGACGGATACAGGTGCTTGCTCTGTCGGCTTTTACAATAAATAAAGTCAAATAATTACTTCCTAAACCCATCGCCCTTCTCTTTTATCTCTAATGATTTGCCGTTTCATAAGAAATGCCAGTACACCTGCGGGGTAAGTGATATTTGCATAAGGCTATATTTTGTTCAATAGGGATGAAGTTAACCATTGCCGAGTGAAGTTTAACAATATGAAAGCCTAGGATTCGAACAACTTCCAGGGATGAAAGCTTGTTTGATCCAAGGAAGATCAGTTTCAAAGATCTGTGCTGACGGGTCAAGAATGCGATCGATGATGTGCACCACGCCCTACTCTGAGTGTCAAAATAATATCCCCTTATAGTCAAAGTCAGATTGACTGGAACTGGGGTGAGTCTCACGCTTGTAACTGGGATGTCTGATTCCACCACTTTGGCGACCTTGTTGAGAACGACCGTTCCATTTTGCACTTGAGACCCTACATAAAGATAGGTAGCCGTCTACTCTAGACGTCAGCTGAATGAATAATGGCCAAATCATGTAGCTAATCCGGGGGACTTTTTTCACCTGGAATCGCTGCAACGTAGCATTAAAAATGGTTGATGTCAGCGCAGAATTCGACACATAGTGGTGCAAGATGGTGTTTCCCAACCACCATTTTCCTTTTCTATTCTGGGTTAGCAATGCTACTTCAAGTTAAATCGATGCTTGTCTGACATACGGAGCTATTTCAAATGTGTCAAAGTATGCCCCAGTATAGCTTTCAAAAGCATCATTATTCGGGGCGAAGAAGGTGAATTTCCAATTCGTATCGGTGTCAAACGCTTGAGCGAACCCTCCGAGTTCTTCGACCTTCTGGCCCAAGGTGCTCAACTCCGGTCGGGACTTGATTAGAGCTAGAGCGGTGGTCGCGCTTGAGGTGTTGGAAGCCACGTAGCCGGCGATGTTTCGGTAGTTCAGAGGGTCTGTTGTGGCTGTGACCAGACTGCCCAGAAACAGGAGTCCCGCCAATGGAAATGCTGAGAGTCTCATGATGCAACGGATAAGCTCGAGGAGATATTGTGTTAACTTGAAGTGTTTAGAAGAAGTAAAAAGGCTTAATTCATATTCTTCCTCGATCGTTATCAAGAACTTGTCGAATTACTAGGTTAAAGGTGATTTAGTTTCCGTCGATTAGCATCGGACGCCTGGCCGATGGATCGCCCGAGCCGTCTGTGCGACGAGGGCGAAGATATTTACTGGGGTAAGAATCCGGGGTAGCTCCGGGATCTAGGCCGGTGCGCACACATTGGGTTATTATCGCTATCTTGTATAAGTGCTGGGCAGTGACTTCTCAATTCCAACAAAATTGGTTTAGTATACCCACAGCAGTAAATCATGGAACGCAAAAATCAGCTCTCGTTACTCCTCCATATTGTGGCTATTTTGCCATTCGTGCAGGTCGTCTTTGGAGGCACAGCTCTGGGGCAAACACCACAGATGGGCTGGAACTCATGGAACGCATTCAAGGCGACGATCAATTACACGGTGGTTCAAGAAGTCATTGATCTGTTTGAGTCTCTTGGACTCAAGAAAGCCGGGTATAATTATGTGCTCCTCGATGATGGGTGGTCAAGCTTCAATCGTACTGCCGACGGGTATCTTCAGGCTAATGCAACTTCCTTTCCACGAGGAATTGAGGCACTGGCCAAGGAATTGCATGGTCAAGGCTTGAGGCTAGGTCTCTACGGTGACAGTGGACATTATACCTGCGCGTGGAGACCAGGAAGCTGGGGTTATGAAGAGAGAGATGCCCAAACATTTGCGAGTTGGGGCGTGGACTACCTCAAGTACGACAACTGTGGAGGATTTCAATCTATGACGGAGGCTCCACAAGTTCGATTCAGTACTATGAAGAACGCTCTTGCTCTCTCGGGTCGGGACATTTTCTATTCAGTGTGTGAATGGGGTTATCAGTTCCCATGGCACTGGGGAGGAGGTGAGATAGCTTTCGGAAGATTTCCTGATCTTTTTATCGACATACTGACTACATTGTTCCAGGCATCGGTCATTCCTATCGAATGTCAGGCGATATCACGACAAGTTTCACCAATGATACCTCTTGCCAGTGCAAGACTGCCTATTGTCTGAATACTGGGTATGCTGGTTGCTCTGTGCTGACTATCATCAACAAGATGAAAGAGATCAGTCAATATCAGACTCAGGGTCATTGGCTGGATATGGATATGCTCGAGATAGGAAATGCCAATTTTACGCTGAACCAGCAACAAACACACTTTGCGTTCTGGGCAGCGCTAAAGTCCCCTTTGATCATTGGGGCCGACCTCAGCAAACTATCCAATGACAGTGTGGCGATTCTCACGAATCAAGCATTAATTGCTCTCAACCAGGACGTGTTAGGGAAACCTGCTATTTATCGAGAGGAGTTCAGCAAGGAAGGCCTCTTTCAGGTATGGACTGGAAAAGTTGAGGGCGGTTTTGTTGTTCTTCTACTTAATGAGAAGAGTTACCCGCAGACTGTATCTCTTGCTTTATCAGATCTGGGACTTGGCTCTCCTAAGAAAGTTGTTGAGCTCTGGTCTGATGAAAAGTTGACAAATTACACCAAGTTCGATGGGATGTTGGAGTCTTATCAAACTCTGGTTTTCAAAGTTCAGACTTGAAAGGCCGGGTCACTATGTTGTATCCTTCAAAACCTTGCATATTCGTCATGATAAAACTTCAATGTTCGCTGTACTCATTAGTTCCAAACTAATCACTCTCGGAGTCAGCTAGACCTTGATGAAGAAGTCCGTAGTAGCAGCCGCACGATCAACGGTAGACTTTGCATGAATTTTGCCAGTACTGCATAAATCAGAAAACTGCATCATTCGCCCATCACCTAGATAGAAGTGAGGTGGACTGTCATTTTGGGATCATGTGCTTTAAAGTGATATTTGCTCTGCTACGTATCATGTCACTGTGATACTGTTTAGAACTTTAGTATCGGACTGTTATCACTGGTAGAAGCTCTATCAAAAAACAGTATTCCCCTTATCTGCTGAGTTCCAGTGACGATGACGGATAGCGGGCATCATGATTTGGTTATGCAACACATTCCGCAATCTGCTCACGATGATCATGGTATTACCCCAACCTCTCAAAACTGATTCATATATATTTAGAATAGAGAGCTGCCCTCCGTGGCTTTCGTACATGAATATGTTTTTTCTTACTGGCCTCACCAAGCAATACCATTCAACATGAACGAAAACTATGGTGGTGTCTCACTGGCAACAGCTTCTCATCCCTTCTCTAGTTACGGTAGCACTAGCTACTTCGACTGCTGGAATGTCATCATCGTCATATACCTCCTCCTCAAGCGAATACGCAGATGTTGGCTATCGCATCCCAGTTCCCGCGCTTATAGCTCACGGCTTCATGATTAGTTTTACCGTTGGCGTATTCCTCCCACACGGTGCCATGATCATCCAGGTAATGCCTTGGACCAATAAAGTGACTCGGCTTTATGCACCAATACAAGCGCTCACTCTTGCTATGATCTTATTTGGGATGGGCGTTGGCATCTACCTAAGTGTCACCACAACAAAGATAAGTTATTATCATCCCATCATCGGCTTCATTTATGTTGGACGGTTGTTGCTCTTCCAACCTCTTGTGGGTCTCTATTCACATCTTCATTTCCAGGGGACCGGTGCTAAGAGTGTGTTGGCCTATGTTCATTGTTGGTGGGGTAGGATTATGGTTATACTTGGCATTATCAACAGCGGCTTGGGGTTCAGGCTCGCAGGAATTTAGTTGCCTGGAACTCCAGTTTGGTGTGAATTTTGCCTACTCAGTCGTCGCGGGAGTCATACTAAGCGCCTATCTTGTTGTTCTTATCGTTGGTACTACCAGGCAGGAGGCTCATGCCAAAACATCAAGAAAACCATAATATCTGTAGACTATGAGGAATTGACAGGGAGGTTGGGAACTGAGAAGAATTATTTAATTAACAGAAGTTCTCTTCAAGATGTAATTTGTTAGCGCTCTATTCCACCAGTCCTTCTTGACTTTTTTTCTCCTTCCCCTCGGCTTCGTGTCTCTGTGTTTGGCACCGAATGCTTTCATCTTCCCTCAATTACGATAAAATATGTGGTAAGAATCCATACAATTGAGCCTTCGAGCAGTGTGAGACATATATAATAGGAGACGAGACAGCCTTAAGAGTACAGTCAATAGCGCAAACGGCTTCTACACCCCAGACTGATTTTCTTCTCCCAGGCCCCACTGCCAAAACCCTAGCGCAGATCATTTATTGAGCGTGCAGCTTTATGTTGGGGCTCACTGCTGCCCGTAGGTTTTGTCCGGTTTCTTACATTGAGTATTGCCTGACAGGATAGTGAAATGCATTTGCTTGTAAGATATGTACAGCGCACAACTCCATTACCCTTTGATACCCACCATTAAACAGGCTTGAGAAGTCATCGCTTTTGCCGGCACAAGATCTGCCCCGGTAATTGATAGGGACCAATGGGACCAATGCACTGACTTTACTATACGCATTCATATTCATACAATGACTACTGAAGAGTCGAAGGACCGTCATTCTGCCAACCAGTTCCGGCACGTCGAAATCGAGCCAGGGCGCCCGCAGGGCGAAGGAACGATCCGTCAGAATGATCTGGCGACGGCACGGTGAAGAAGCTGGGTAGGAGGAACGCCAAACCCACGGCCTACCGAGAGGTCGTGGACGAATATGTCCAACATCAGCAACGAACGCCACCAATTGAGAACGAAGCAGGAGGATGGTGTGGATGCCGGAGACGGAAGACGGAGATGGAGATGCAGAGGAAGCAGCGGGCTAATGTGAGGGCTGACTAAGAGATATATCGTGGGATTGAGGGCATTTAGGGCACTTTTGTATTGTTTATGGGCTGATTTTATATGGTAAGACGCCGTTTTCCTATGTATCTACTATTTCTTGCGTGTGGGCTGGCGTTCGGATCTGTCTTGCTTCCGCCGGAGGAAGCGCCTGCATAGCCATTACGCCACTAGTTAGGCTGCAACAGGTTAATAGAGAGGTTGATTGATTGATTGATTGATTGATTGATTGATTGGGGTCTATTTATTCATATATTGAAACTATCATCATATTGATGCGTACAGTAATAGTCAATGGTAACATACTGATGAAGCACCCGATCACCTTTGTAATTCATTCATGTCTCGGAAGGCCTGCTTATTCTCATGACTCAGTATCTCTGGGATCATGGCAAAATTACCAGTCTGTTGTATCTCATTACCCTTTTCTTTTTTGTCGAGACCATCTACTGTGCTATGTCAGAACAATTTCTCGAGCGCGAATTGAAAATAAAATCGCGCCGTATCAGAGACTACCAAAGTGAGGCACAAATCAGCGCAAGGATAGTCCAGGGTGGCCCATTATCTTGCGTCCTATTTTTTCGATACTTGGGTCTCCCAGGTTCTAGATACATGTTTATTAGAGAGATTAGTAGCTTAATTAATTAGAATAGTCTCTACTTATAATATATTATACTATCTAGTCTTAAGTTCTTTAGTATAAGTAGAGATTTACTAAGTATTAGTATTACTAGTATTAAGTATAGAGGACTACTCTATAAGTATAGTATATAGATTATCTATAAAAGAATTACTAGTAGAGTAATTACTAGTAGTATTATTAATATTATTACTTATTATAACTCTTTATTAACTTCTTTAACGTTAAAGTTATTAATTATAGAATTAAGTATTAGACTTTAGTTCTATCTTTAAAACTACTTTTCTTAGCTATAACTTATTAAAAACTCTTTCTAAGTCAAAATACTAGAAAACTGAGTATAGTTTAGTTCTAGTTCTTATTTTAGGATAGAATTCCCAAAAGTAGATAGATAGTAAGGGTCTTAGCGTAGATTCTCGGCCCTACAAGTAATAATTACAGTGTCGATATTGACTTCTTAGCATAAAAACCACAGGAAGTTAAGAGGTATAGTAACCTCCGAATTTAAGATAAATCTATATCATAACAGGTAAGGTTTTGTCGAAATTCAACAAAAAATCGTTATATTCCACATGTTGTTGACGACACCGTAGGAGATGCAAAAAAGGTACAAGTATTACCCAAGGGGAGAGAAAAATAAGCTACTTGTAGGGTGACTACCAGCAAAAACCGGGCTCATGACCTACTGGAGGCACAGGATGAGGATACTCGCATAGACACTGAAGATGGTGGTGACATGAAGATGCTATAGAGAGAAGCTATCTACATGGCAGGCACGGTGGGCACTGGCTGACTCAGCAATATGGGGCCTAAGCCCTCAGGCCTCAGTAGTTTTTACTTATCCCTAAGGCCTTTGAGTTATAATATCATTAGAAGTATATTATTACTTCTGATGCGGTCTTGGTGCGGTCTAAGCTGTCTCTTGGGAGGATTGCTAATAGTAAAGCAGATGCCAAATTGGCGAAAGACTGTAGGAGTTATATATTGGGTACTCGTTTGGTGCAAGCCCTGGAGTGTATTACCTGTAGCGACCGCATATGCTGTGATAAAAAATCCAATTCCATGACATCATTGCATGCTCAACCCCCAGTCAACTACCGCTCGGCAACCCAGTTATCTCCACGACTAAAGCGCAGGGTACCGTACGAGGCCGAGTCACCCATATTGTTCGTAGCATCGTTAGCCTCGATCTGGATTTTTCTAATCACTTGTTGAGTATACGGCATTGCCGATCCTTTGACCTGAGAATAATACCCATACGCAATTTCGTAGACCGGCCGGAATACTCCACGTTTTGTGGATGAGATGCTAGACCAGGGCCCACCAACGAGGTCAGCACCACACCTGTAAGCGATATTTCAGTAAGATATAAGGAAAGAGAGATTGGAAGGTGCTATTAAGGCTCTTCCTGGAAACCCACCGAAAGAAATCCGGATCATATTTCACTGTGTTACCCAAATTATATGAGGCCGTATATTCGTATCCAACCCCCAATCGGGATTTCAGAAGGTCCCAGTAGTTGTTCCCTTGGTTAAAAGCGGTCTGACACAACTCGGCCATGTTTCCTAGACTAAGCTGGACATGAGCCTGGTCACGTCCGGATTCGGAATTCTGTCCGAATGAATTGATCGTGTTGTTAAGATCTGCACAGGCAAAGTTCCGGTATAGGCTAAGGCCATAATTGTACCTGTGGAATGGCTGGTCAGAAATATGATAAGAGGTTTGACAAACGGATGCAAGTATACATTGTCACATTATTCAGAAAAATACCAAATGCGACAATGGCTTTTTCACCACTCGTTCCCCAATTCGCTAGACTGGTAGAACTTGTTAGCTTTTCAATTTCATATTTGTCTTTTTCGGGCTGGAGGAATCATGAACCTTACAATGGGTGCTTCTGAGTTTCAGATGGTGTAGTCTGCGAGGCAGGTGGGTAAAAAATCTCCAGGATCATTTTCTCAAACATTGTGATATTCTTGGCTGACCATCCGGAGTACGTGTACCGCATGATCTCGGCAGCATTGACGAGCTGTACACCATAGAGGCCGGCGGTCAATTGAGCATCGGTTCCATTGAGGAGCTCTAAAGTGCTCGCCCAAGCATTGAGGATCTCGACCGACTTCTCAGCGTATGCTTTGTCCCCCGTGATGTACCAGCTAACAGTTGAATAAATATGTCGATAATGATGACCGTCTGAAGTAGGACATACCTAAGGGCATTTAACAGAGACGCTACTGCATCGTGACTGAGTTGTGTCTTTCCGGGAGAGCTGCCGCTGACATCGCGCGTGACATATGACAGAGGGCCCTTCATGGTATACGATGAAGAAGCGAGAGAGTCGCTAGACATATTTTGATATGCCGTATACCATGGATCGGTTTGGTTACCGACTCCATACTTCATCCGATCAAGATCTTCTCTGGTGCTCAGTATGCTGGTACAATGCATTAGTTTCATCGCCTGGTGGGGGTGATACTTTTGTTCCGTTGGACTTACCCCGGATGGATAAAGGAGCTATTGCCTTCAGCTCTTGCATGCCATTGGTCGTTGCATAAGCCAACTGCCAAAAGGGGAAGCGGTTGAACCAAGAGTAAAATAAGGAAGGAAAGAGCAAACATATTGAAGTTCTTGTGAGAACTCAGTCTTGCCGATGAAGGATGAATCGGGCTGTTCTTATGTCCGGCGATGCGGGGCCCGCGTACGTAGTTCTTGGAAGCTTAGCTCTGAATTGCAGACAATTAAGGGGTGAGTGGGGGGACGCAGAAGTGGAGACGCCCAATGCAGGCTTGGTCATTTGGCACTCAATGGATTAGTGGGATCGGGTCAATGACCGGAGATGTCCCGGATAGGGACGTACCCCATGTTATGTGGTGATGTTCATTGCGCAGCCAAGGTTGCCCGCTTGTCCTTGAGAATCAATAACGAGCATCTTCAGCCACCTTTTCTCGGTGTCATGTGTGCTCCCCACTGATTGATATGCGGACCCCGCAAATTAACCATCGACGTTCCGGCATAGATCCCGGGGTAGCCCCGCCTCTTCAAAACATTTCGCTCAACCCGGAATGCAACGGTTTATGTTCTCCACCCGATGAAGTATAGCGGCGCCTGCCAGTCGGCGGATTTATAGGGGACCCCATTCCGCCATTGCTCAATGCTTCTATCAATGTGGTGGCAATTGAAGTCAACCAGATGAGGCTACATTTCATTCATTCACTCAGCATCCAGCTCTGGGTGCTGATGACATTGGGTATCAAGAATCCTATTATCTCTGGATGAAATCCAGATGCCTCGATTCTTCGCGACGGCGATGAGTACTAGCTTGCAACTTCGTCACTTGAGTACTGGCCGAGCACTCCAATTTATAAATCTCAAAATCTTGCCAATTGGGATATTTCTTCTCACGCCATGACAGACCTTAGCCAAGAGCTATTTGAAACCCCAACTGTAGCTGCTGCGTATGTACATGGGTAAGACTTGAACAGTTATTTTTCTCAGGTAATTACTAGGGTCGTGGGCTCCAACAATGTCCTATATCAACGGAAAATACTACCTAGCAGCAGTGACTGGGTGGAAATACGATCCTGTTGCAAAGATCTGGCCACGTGTGCATCTGTTCTGATGATATAAAAACCTGGTCGGATCCCACCTTGGGGGACGCATGGGGTATCGACCCCAGTTTTTTTCATGACCCAGCCTCACATAAGATTCAACTGAACCTGATGACCCCCAATAATAACATTGAAAGGCTCTGGGAGATTTATCAGTGTGAGGTTGAATTGGCCAGTGGTCACTGCATTGGGAATTATCGCTCTTTATGGAATGGGACGATGTCCCGTAATTCTTATTCTAGGCTGGAGAGCCCGAAGATATTTTTATTGCTGAAGGTGAGTTTGAGCTTCTCACAATCTCAACTGCCACTCGTATCACTGGTGAAGCTTCAGGGGGGGCGGACGAGGCTAGGCACCTACCGAGGAAATCAGGGGCATTGCTTTTGGTGCAGAGCCTACTATGACTCACAGTAGATAGGTGGCCAGATAGCCCGGGTGGCCGGGTTACCCATGAAACACGTTAATCACATGACTCAGGGATGCTGATGTTGAGAGCGGAAATCCCCATTACAATAGGTATTAGTGAATTATAATTTAAACCTCTAAAAGTAAATTAGGTTTAGTATAGTATAGGTCACAAAAAAAACCTATTCTGTATTAGTTTAGGTCACGAAATTCACCTATCTAGGAAAACAGTCTTTCCATACTCCTATCCACCGCTATTATATCTTAGCAGAATCAACAATAACTCACTAACTTTACAGATATATAACTCAACATTCAGAGAAGATAAATTAGAAAGTATTTTTAGAGTACTTAGAGTCTAAAAGAAAAAAAATAAAATAAAAAATTCAAAGCTAATAATAGACGTGGGAGGTTAGCTCAAGGTCGTGATTGCAGGGTATAGAATCTACCCCAAGTCTCTCGCCACAAGAGAAGTTGTTTCAGGTTAACCAGATATCATGGATATCCCCTCTAGTGGCACTTTGTCCTGGCCCCTTAATCTTTAAAGATTTTTTCTGGCATATAAATAACATGGATAAAATAGCTAGGCTAGAAGATATTACTAATATCTATTCTCTACGGTATAGATCTCGTACCTTCAAGCATATAATATTAAGCTAACACCTACTACCTTATCCTGATTTGACTAGACTAATACTATACTAGATTAACAGTTAGTATATAGCTCCCTTATTCACCAGAAATTATACTAATATAGAGGGGTAGTAAAATCTAGCCCTAGTCCGGTCCTTTCTATAAGTCCGATCGGGATAGTATATAGTGGCCGATAGTATCTAGACTATAAGTAATATAATTTGTGAACGTCTATCTTACACAAGCAGCTGAAAATAGGTGCCAGATCAAGTGTATCCAATATCAAACTATTTTGGCCGTGTCCTAATATAGACAGTGATTCCAAGCTGGCAAGTACGTTCTCATCACCAGGATAAGATGAAAGCTAAATAAACATGTTATCTAGTTACTATAACGAAGTTGGCTATTTTTCTGATACTATACTCAAAGCAGCCACAACCTGAGCAAGGTATATTACCACTCAGAAACTGACTGAGTTGCCCGCAGAAACAATCTCGCGAAACTCACAGCCAGCCCGTTATGTCAGGTGGTCACAAAATACCATTAACAATTCAAGAATTATTTAGTTAGTTTCTTATACCAGACGGGGAAGACCTACTAAGTAACGTAGCCACTGATGCTTCTTTCAGAGGATCTGTCACATGTGTACTACGCGACACGCTACGACGCGACAATGCATCCGCCCTCAATTTCCGGACCGCCGGTTACGATTTCGGCCCATAAACCCAATCGACCCTGGAAAATTGGTTTGACCATTCTCGGTTGTGGTGATCAACAGGCCAGAATCAACAGTAAATGGAATACTCGTAAGTACCTCGGAAAAATTCAATTGTGTTGTGATTTCGGGCAGACCGCATGAGCGTTCGGAACGTTCTGACTCAATTTCAACTGAATGTACCCTGCGTACAAGACCACGCAGGGAGACCCGCCGCCAGCGCAATTTCCGCTTAACTATACCCATCACCTTGTTAGTGTATCATTCCCAACGTTAATTTCGGGCAAGTACTCAGCTAGATCAGCGTTTTCAGCTCCACAAGTGTCATTCATCTGATCATGGCGATACATACTGATACTTCAACAGGATCAGAGCTCTCAGGAATTTCATCGCTGATACAACTACTCCGATGGAATGTTTTCTATCTGAACTGTTAGGACAATCCTCTCAGGGCGTCCTGATACGATAGGGATACGAGTGAAGAATGTGAGATATGCCTGATATGGGTATGATGATATTCAGACTAATCGCTGGTCCTCCTAAGAGGATCCAGCTCCTCCTTTTTGAGGGGATGCCTGCGTGCGTATGCAGGCAGATAAGCGAGGTGATGTATCAACTCTGGTGATACATAGGCACCTCTTCCGCATTTCCTATACCTCATTGTATGGTTGTCGTAACAATAATTCGCAAGTTTCCCCTGACTCTAGTGTTCACACTTTGACTCCGACCTGAGTTCAACTCAATATCACCATTCTAGGACAACACTATCCCACATGAATCCATGCCAAGTAGTGTTCCTCACCATATCGAAAGTAAGCTCATTCTCCCCCGTCTTCAGCAAATCTTTGTCAAAAGAGTACTCAAGCAAATGCCACTCTCCTGCACCCGTTGCAGAACGATATAAGCAAGGGTCGGAAGGTAGCAACGAGGAACCACTAGTCATGTTGCCAATCTGAACACCGTTAACGAGGATATTTATGCTGCTTCCTGAAGAGTACCCAGCCAGTGAAACGATCAGGTTAGGAGCCGCAGATTTGCTCGGAGTCGCCGCATTGAACAACACTGTCCAGTTACCCTTGTATGTCTGTCCGAAACACCAGTCACTCGGCTCCGACAATCCGATGGTGTATATTAGGTTGGCTGGGCACGAGGCAACAAGGGCGTGCTGGTGGGGTGCTCCACCATGCAAAAAGCCATAACTGTAGCGATCGAAGTCACCGATCTGGAATAGTTTCTTTTTCGATGAAACCTCCCAGGTAAGGGTGCCGAGGTTTGTCTTCGCTGATTTCTTTACGGTCACATCGTTTTGAAGGAAGGAAGTGGTCACATCTGCGATGGAACTTCCGTTGGACCAGGCTTGTAGACCGTACGTGGCACTACGGACGTCAGAAAATTCGAAGTTTCCATTCTTGTCGGCATATTCAGTATAGTAATATGTTGATCCCATATCCAAAGAAGTTTTATTCGGTTTGTTGTCGCCGAGGAAGACGACCGCATTGCTTGCAGGGCGTCCGTCAGAAAGCACAATCTTGCCTTTCAGGACGCCACGACTGTGATAGTCTTTGTCATCGAGCCAGGTGTATGGCCAAGCGCTGAATTCTTCCGTGGCTCGCTTGGCTGCATCCTGCTTGTCGCCATCGTTCTACAAAATATTCAGTAACCAAGGTTGCTGAAGAGTAGACCCATGAGACATACGAGATACCAAAGCCATGGTCCCCACATCTTGCCATCCGGGAATACGTCAGAGGACGAGGCCATGAAATGGGTGCCGTGAATCATGTTCAACTGCACGACATCACCGGTAGATGATTCTCGATGAACCTGAATTACAGTCAGTCTCAGTCATCTCCCTTCATTCGGATCTCTTGATGAGCGTACCATGAGCTCCTGCTTGAGATGATCACCATTGTAATAGTCCTTTCCAGGATTAATGTACCAGCTCCCGAAGCCATCTCCATACACACCAAAGTAGTCCTGGTTTCTGGACCAGGCGGTGAAGTCATACTTGGTGATATAACCACTTCCATCGGGTTTCAACCACGTCTCATCCTGAACCTTGTTCTGGGACAGGTATTCGTCTAGGGGTGGAAGCTCTTCGTCCTTAATATTTGTTCTACCCTTTGTGAATGTCGTATTATCCAGCCGCCAAAGTGTGCGGAACTCACCAAGGGTAGGCAGCGCGTGATTCACAAAGTACTGATAGGCACCCGACAGACTAGAGAAAATGACCCAATGCATATCTCCCTCTGCGGCAGTGAAAGAGACATCGATATAACTTTTACCTTTGTAGGTACCACGTTTGGTGATGGAAGCCGAGGTCCACTCTAAGTTAGACGCTGCGCCATCTGTAACAGGATCAGTTTTGTAGGAAAGAGGAAGAATTGGCTCTTTGAGGAGGTCTTGCACATACTGTAGCTTACGTAGTGACCAGCAGCCTCCCCAACGCAATCCCTTCCCTTGTACATCAGCTCGACTCCGTAGGTCTGCTGCTGAGTGACATTCCAGATGTCATTTCCCAGGATCCATGTTGTGTTGTCGACTTGTGTCAAGAATGGTCCGGTGGCAACCTTGGAAGGGTGCGCACTGATGGCGCTGAATAGCAATGATGCTACGGCAAGAAATAATTGCTTCATTTCAAAGGGACAAAGGTAGGGTCATTCTGGAAATATTGTGTGAACGTGAAAATAATTGGACCCAAACACCCTCTTATATATTTGAAAAATTTCGAGCCAATTTTGTTCGGGCTGATCATGCCGGTTTTGTTTGTGACGACAGCGAAAGTAGCGCCTAGAATTTTGAGCCTAACGCTACGCTAGTAAGCGAAATGAAGCCTGACAAGTCAGTAAACTTCGAAGTTTGATTGTCTCTCAAGGAAATCGGAAGATATTTGGCCGAGTACCCCGCAAATGATGAAGCGAAGATGTGCTTAGCTCGCATCACAAGTATGATGTATCAAATTTAGAACCGAGCCTGTTCAAATCGCCGCCAATATGCCGACTGCCTTTCGAGCAACGTATTGAAAGATTTTCCAATATGATAACATATTCATTATCGTTGGTCATCAACATCTACTGAGTTGCTAGCGAAAACCGTATCATCTCTATCAATCTTGAATAGACAATACACAAGAACCACTAGTAACACAACCTTGCGTAAATTGACCCAAAGAAAGATACTTGGGCGATATTTAAACAGTTGAGATCAGACTGCAGAGAAACATAACTTAATCTTTAAAAGTGAACACGTGTTAGATATTCCGGAGGGTTTAACCCTCGGCAGATCGTGCTGCGAGCCAGCCTCCAATGCATTATTGTAGTCCAACTTCGCCTTTCACGTCGCAATACCTTCATACGCCGTACATACCAATTTAGTGCGTTCATTACTGGCTATGCTAGGAATTAACACAGATGAAGTGTCTGGCGATGCGAGCCAAGGTAAGTGCCTGGTTAAAACGCGGGGATTTGATTTGCTTTCGGACCTAAGCCTAAATAACACTAGCTCAAGTTACTATCAGCCTGGTTAATGCTTCGGGTCATTGTTTCCCGGGACTTCATCACCTCGTGCGGGGAAACTTGGTGGGGACGGACGCAACGGTCCTCTCCATTACGGACCTAGGGAAAAGGCCACCAATCCTGTCCATTTGGTGCTCGGCTGATGAACTGCTTGGACTGCCTGGAATTTGGAAATCTTGAGACCGTATATAAAGGTATGCGATTGGCCTTGGCCTACGAGAGGGAAAGGTTTGGCGATCGTGGCAGGCGCTAGAAACGCTGTGAGGTGGAATCGCGTTTTTCCCTTTATGTATATATACTTAAGGGCTCAGTACAATTCCGTGTGCGCTCATTCGTTCTGTGTATGTTTCCTGTAATATGGGTCCCTTAAGCCTACTGCTGTAGGACAAGTAAGCGCTGATGATGAGGTATTTACCTCAGATTGCTGATTGCGGACAGACCAGACACAAAGAACCACATACAAAACGAGAGATTAATTAATAGGAAGGCGTTTGGGATGATCAGTGTCGAAACATAATGAATGGATCGGTGGATAGTAGCTTATTCACTTAGGATTTCGAAAGGAATAAAGGAATGCGAATAAACGTATTAACTTACTTATATTCGCATTTATATTATTTATATTGTGTATTTTATGTAGAATAATACTATGTCCGGTACGGTGGTTATTGTATTACTAAAATACGACTAGAGGTTGTTTTTATATTGTTATTACTTTATCAGTAATGTTAGACGGTGGAATATCACTTACAGATATATACTGGAATGTGGAACCCGCCTGTATAGCCGTTTTGAAAAGTTTGCTATTTCGTAGTTAAGTAACTCAAGCTGTTTTCCCTATTTATGGGTGCCGATATTGGAAATATTAACACCGGCTACAAAGATCCCTGGAGATTATATATATTTATATAGCCAGTCCTCGATGATCTTCAACAGCTTCTTATCACCAGCCATCTTGTAGTACTTCTATACACCGTACAGGCTGATACCGTGAGTCTATTCATAACTAGCCCATGCTTTATATCAATTACACGGCTATTAGAGAGGTAGAGGAGGAATTTCCCAGTCTTATCTTTAATATTGACAAGGTTGTCAATCAGAAAATCCACCGTAGTGTGGATTTTGGGAGCGGTAAGGACACATCGCAGTCATAGTGAGATATGATCATGGCGGTAATGCTCAAGCGCGATGAAATACTGTAAATTCTTAGGCCAAAGCGTTTTCTTTCACGGCTAGACTCCCGCGGCAAGCTAGGCCAATAAGTAGTCGTGGATGATTTGCGGAAGAACTCAGCGGAAGAACTCAGCGCATCCCCGCGTCGGCCAAGGCGAGCTCGGGGTATCGTAGGCCGAATGTGCATGGGCGTAAGTGCCTATATTGGCTAGTGGATTCCCTCGGGATTGTGCTTCCCGGATTTCCGACCTAGATGTTACGGACCCCAAGGCAGGAGAGGTCGAAACTACTGGAGGCACAGGATGAGGATACTCGCATGAGAGACTGAAGATGGATGGTGACATGAAGATGGATGGTGACATGAAGATGCTATGGAGAGAAGCTATCTACATGGCAGGCACGGTGGGCACTGGCTGACTCAGCAATATGGGGCCTGAGCCCTCAGGCCTTAGTACTCCCCCGCAGGCTGTGGACAGCGTGCACTACAACAAGAAGCAATCTATCGATTACTTGAAAAAGAAGCTATCCCCTATCGAGTTTTAGAGTTTCCCGAATAGGTTTAGCTCCCTAGTTAACTAATAACAAGGCACTAAGGCCATAAAAATGAGGGCAAACTGGCAGCATCTCTACACTCCGGATTTGCGACAAAACAGGCCCAGATTCTATCATCCCCATCCTTTCTACCCCTATTGTCCTATTATCTGTGTTGTATACGTCGTCGGCGATGGTTTAGAGCATCGTCAACGTTGAAATCGCTGTCTGGTATTATATAAGGTAGAGCTTATCGAGGAAGCAGTTAAATGTTGTAGAAGGAAGAGGTTTAGTAAGTCTGTCTGTAGTATTATCTATACTTATAATTAATACTAATTTAACATCACTGTTAAGGATAGCCTCTCTAGTATTAGAATAGATAAGTCGAACTGTCTTTACGAACAGTTTATATTCTATACCTAAAATAATAACTTTAGTATTGTTACTGTTGGTGTTTAATATAATCCTATTATTACTTTTTATAAGATTAAGCTCTAAGACTAGTTTTTGAAGCTATATATCTTTATCTATAATATCTGATAGTTCTTTAAATTTAGTATATATTAATAACTTTGATACTTTACACTACTACTGAGATCTCTATAAATTAGGTTGTAATAGTTACTAAGTTGTCAGGCTAGAGACCTGTGACTAGGTAAGGATATCGGACAGTAGAGATCAGATTAGACAGTTAATATATAGACTGATTCTGGACAAGATCAAGAATCCTAAATATTTGTGGGATCTTAAATATATTAGGGTTCGGGTAGGCCTTGATATATAGGTAGCTTAAAGGGGATTTGAGTGTAGATCGACATCGAACGTCTGGGGTACTGTATACTTTAAATTCTGTAATAATTTATTCTCCCCTTTTATAGATAGTTAGCTCGACTATTAATAAAGGTAAGAATTAGATTAAAGGATTTAAATATAATAGTATTACCTCGGTTAAAGATCTTAAAGCCTATCCTAATTAGATATATTTATGTATAGATATAAATAAAGTAATATACTCTCTTTAATACCTTATAATAAAAGTCTTTCTCTTATAACTCTCTCTATCCTTACTTCTCTTATCCTTATCTCTCTGATTTTCCTTATCTTAATATCTTTTTATTATATTAACTACTACTCTAGTTCCTACTACTGCTTCTTTAGTTTCTGTTACTACTACTAGTCCCTCTAGTAGTACTAGAGGTACTATAAGTTAGGAAAGTTATAGGAAAGATAAAGATTGTACTAGAGATAGAACTAAAAGTAGTAATAGAGATAGAGATAGAGAATCTAGCTCTAGGAGTATTATAAGTACTAATCTTAGTTCTTATTCTCTTTATAATTAAATTCTCTATTCTTTCTTTATATTCTATATAAAGTATATTATAGAAGTAGCTCTTTATACTCCTATAGATACTATTTCTATAATTAAGTATAATTAGGATTATATAAATTCGATTATTTATTTTCTTTATAAGAAGAAGAGTAAGACTTATTTCTAGATATAATATTCTTCTAATTTATATTTAATTTAATACTAATCTACTTTTAGTTATTCTATAGAATCTATAGTAATTCCTATAAACTTTAGTTAATCTTTATCTAGACTTATAAAGTTAAAGCTAATAGTACTACTACTATAGTTTCTAGAGGTACTATATCTATATAGAGTATAGTAAATAAAAAAGTAACTATATTAGAATCTCTCTATCTTCTAGTATTATTTTATAAGATAATTTTAGTTTATTTTTCTATATATAATCTATACTTTAATATAAGAAATACTAATTAGACTATAGCTAATTATATAGAATTTATTACTAAATATTAGAAGTATGAATATTACAAATATTACCGCTGCCTAGGTTATACAAGCCTTAGAGTGCGGGAGCTTATCTAAGTTATGCCAGTGCCCCAGGGGTCACTATGCCAGTGCTCCGGGTGTAACTATACCAGTGCCCCGGGGGTTACTGTGCCAGTGCTCTGGGTGTAACTATGCCAGTGCTCCGGGTGTAACTATACCAGTGCCCCGGTTGTAACCATGCCGGTGCTACTGCTACTATACTAGTGCTTCTAGTACTAAGGCCTAATACTTAATAATACCAAGACTTAGTAATATTGCCTAAGCTAGCTAATATATATATGACCTTCTCCCCCCCTATACACAAATCAGAACAATCATCATCTTCAATCATTCTCAATATCATTCTTAACCACCAATCTTACATAACTACTACCTAATTAGTAGTAGTTGAAGCTATTCCCAACTTTCCCTAAGCCTATTAAGACCTACCAAGTCTTAGAATAAAATTTTATTCTATAGATAAAAATTTCTTAGACTAAAATATAATAGAGTACTATATTCTCTAGTTATCTAATTATAAGAGTATTTTAGCTATTCCAAAATCTAATATATTAGTTTTAAGTTAAATAGATCTTTCTAGATTAAAGTAATAAAGAAAAAGTACTATTAAGAAAGTATTAAGAAAATCTTAAAATACCTTTAATTCTCTATTATTTAGTTTAATATTATTTAGTTTTCTTCTGTCTTTACTTTCTTTAAGAAGTTCTATAAGTAGTAATACAATTAATAAGTATTTTTTAATAAATCTTTAATAGAAGTTATAGAATCTAAGAAAGACCTAAATATCTCTATAAGATATTAACTATTCCTATTCTTAAATAGCTTAAATTTATTCTAGGTCTATTAAGATTCTATTTTAACTAATAATAAAGCTAAGGAATTTAACTTCAAATTTATAGAAGCTATATTTTAATACTTTAATAAATAGTTATACCTTCTATAGTCTTTTAAGTATAAGACTTAGGTATTCTATATATTCTTTATATATCTTTAAAAAGATAAGAATATTATTAAGGTATATAATATAAATAGTATTAAGGAGACTATAGAGTATAGTATAGATATAACTTTAGAATATTGTAAGTATATTAGTAAGATTAAAGAGTATAACTATATATTTAAAATAGCTATATCTTATATAGAAAGCTATCTTCTATTCTTCTTCTTCTTAAATATAAATCTAATAGTATATATCTTATATATTAATCTTACTAAAGAATTTAGTACTAGAAAGATAGTTAAGAATCTCTAAAATAAGAGATAGAGAATACTAGTTTTTAATAAAGATTTTATTTAACTTTTAATAATTAATATAGAGGTATAGATCTCTATTCTTTTTTAGTATAAATAGAATAGAAGTACCTATAGGGTTCTTAGAAAATTAGATTTAACTATTGTAGTAGGGATTTCGATCTCAACATCGGAGTCAGGTGACTGGGGCCTTAGTAACAAGGCTACTATTTAGTTTTGAGGGAATAAGTAGCGTTCGTTCTATAGTATCAATATCAATATATATATTCCCCTTTTCGAAATATTTTACTAAGGTTACTAAGGTTACAGTATCGATATACTACCTAGAAGAGATTCTGTTATTTATTTAATTGTTTCTCTATAGTATTATACTCTATCTACTACTCTCCTATACTCTTTAAGTATAGTAGTTTTGTTCTCTTATAATCGACCTATCTACTTAATAGACAGTTAGTAAGTATTCCTATCTTTTATATAGTATCCCTAGGAAGACTTGATTAATAAAAAGAGTAACTAAAAACAAGAGTAATTCTATTATAAGAAGTAGATACTATATTTAACCCTAAGAGGAAAGGATAGTATTCAAATATATTATAAAGAGTGAAGATTGACTTAATTCTAGATAGAATTAGTGTAATGGTTACTAAGTTGTCAGGCTAGAGACCTGTGACTAGGTAAGGATATCAGACAGTAGAGATTAGATTGGATAGTTGATATACAGACTGATTCTTGACAAGATTAAGAATCCTGAATACTTATAGGATCTTAAATATATTAGGGTTTGGGTGGGCCTTGATATATAGGTGGCTTGAAGGGGATTTGAGTACGGATTAACATCGAACGTCTGGGGTACTGTATACTTCGAATCCTGTGATAATTTATCCTCCTCTTTTATAGATAGTCGGTTTAACTATCGATAAAGGTATAAATTAGATCAAACAATTCAAATATAATAGTATTACCCTCAGTTAAAGACCTTAAAGCCTATCCTAATTAGATATATTTATATACAGATACAAATAAAGTAATATACTCTCTTTAATACCTTATAATAAAAGTTTCCCTCTTATAACTCTCTCTTTTCTTACTTCTCTCATCCTTATCTCTCTGATTATCCTTATCTTAATATCTTTTTATTATATTAACTACTACTCTGGCTCCTACTACTACTCCTTTAGCTCCTACTACTACTTCTTTAGCTTCTACTACTATTAGTCTCTTTAGTAGTACTAGAGGTACTATAAGTTAGGGAAGTTATTAGAAAGGTAAAGATTATACTAGAGACAGAACTAAGGGTAGTAATAGAGATAGAGATAGAGAATCTAGCCCTAAGAGTATTGTAAGTACTAATCTTAGTCTTTATTCTCTTTATAATTGAATCCTCTGTCCTTCCTTTATATTCTATATAAAGTATATTACAGAAATAGCTCTTTATACTTCTATAGATACTATTTCTTTAATTAAGTATAATTAGAATTATATAAATTCAATTACTTATACTCTCTATAAGAAGGAAAGTAAGACTTATTTCTAAGTATAATATTCTTCTGATTTATATTTGATTTAATACTAATCTACTTTAGCTACCCTATAGAATCTATAGTAATTTATATTAACTTTAGTTAATTCTTATCTAGGCTTATAAAGTTAAAATTAGTAGTACTACTACTATAGTTTCTAGAGATACTATATCTATATAGAGTATAATAAGTAAGGAAGTAACTATATTAGGATCTCTCTGTCTTCTAATATTATTTTATAAGATAATCTTAGTTTATCTTTCTATATATAATCTATACTTTAATATAAGGAATACTAATTAGACTATAGCTAATTATATAGAGTTTATTACTAAATATTAGAAGGAATTAAATACTAAGGCTAACTTACCTCTAGTTTACCTTTCTAAGTATTTTAGTAACTTTTTATAACTCTAGATTAGTAATACTAATTATAATCTTTAGTAGAGTACTATTTAAGTCTTCTTCTTAGAGATTACTATAGAATATTAATATAATATAGCTCTAGATAGGATTAGTTTAACTTCTACTATTATAGCTATAGTTACTAATATTAAAGTATTTACAAATTAATACTTACTTCTATAGTAGTCTCTTTTCTTTATCTTATCTATCCTTTTCTTTTATAGCTAAGTATCTTTACTTAACAGAAATTAGATAGAGTAGTTTTCTCTTTCTTTTCTTTATTAATTTAGGTATAGTTTAAAGAAGTTTCGATAACTTTTTATTATTATTAGAAAATAATTTTTTAGATTTACTTCTTTCTAAATAAAGATATTATATTCTTTATATTTTCTAGATACTCTATAAATTTCTATTAATTATATTCTAAGAGCTATTTAGTCTATTTAATATAGTAATATAAAATTCTATTAAATATTCTTTTATTTTAAATCTCTTTAACCTTCTATTTCTCTTTATCTTTAAGTTTAGATATTAGTATTAGTAAGTTATCTTTATTTTAGCTATTTTATAGTTTGAGAAGAGAGATAGAGAAAATATTATATAATCTTAAGTACTTTTCTAGTAGTATAATATAATATATCTATATACTAATTTTTATAAGAATTTAGAAGAGTCTAATTTATTAAGGAGATAATTTCTTTTCTTTAGTTTTAAAGTGGATATTCTTTATTAAAAAAGATATAAGAGTTCTAATATTAAAGTTTTTTAGTTTATAGTTTTAGTTATATAACTTCTGTTATATTTTCTATATAATTTAAAACTTTTTTAAAGTTTTTTCTTATATATTTTAAAGATAAGTTATCTATTCTTTAGTACTTAAAACTTTTTTTTAAGTACTTTCTTTAGAGCTTAGACTTAGAAGTTAGGATTATATTCTAGTAGTATATAGAAGGGGGGTTTTATTAGTAGATATATTAATAGTATTATTGTATATAAATTAAGCTATCTTAAGAAGTTAAGTCTAATTTAATTACTCTCTATTAATGAAATATCTAAGATAATCTTCTAGAACTTAGTTAAGTCTTTCTATCTAGTTATTAGTTTAAGAGGACAACTACCATTTGTGCCGAGGGCGCCGGATCCGGCGCCCCCCTCGATCGGGTTTGGCGCCCGCCCCCATCGCCCCTGTTCGGGTTTAGCGTGGCCCAATACGGTTTGACGCCGCGCTATCCCCAAAGTGGTGTCCCGACCCACTACAACCATGTTGGGTTAAGTGCACCCATATCCGGCTTAGTGGCTACCGCTTGCCCCAATCTGGCATTTGCTGCTCTCCACCGCCTCTCGGCCCCCACCGGCGAGAGTATATAACTCGGTGCGTCGCTCGACGTCCTCGCCCTCGTCGTGCTGCACTTCCCTCTCGCGCAGCATACTCCAGCGACCTCGCCGCACTGAAATGATACCGTATTTCCGGCTCGCACGGCATCCGCCCCTTGTTTCAGCTGAGCGCCACTCGCCCCGAGGACTGCGCCTTCTGCACCAGCTTGCCTACAACCCGATCTATTTGTCTTGAGGTCGTCCTCAATTCCAGCTAGGGCGGCCGGACTGCAATATCGTGCTTGACAGCACATTGGTGTCTTCCTACGTATTGCTGTACTTTGCTATACCTTTACCCTCGTTCGCGTGCCTTTGTCTTGCCGTCATGGGCGCCATCGACAAAGCCTCACTGTTAGGAGACTGGAGATTCGCCATTTTCCCCCAAAGTATCTATGATACGGCGTTCTCTGAGACTATGTTCACCGTACGCTGGTGACTCCACGTATTCTTTTGCCATTGGCTACTCTTTGCCTCCACCTGTCCATCATTCTGCGACGGTGACGCAAAATGAGCGAATGTCTTGGTCGTCTACTGAAGCCTTTGACTTGTTGGATCCCCGATTGGGCCAGTCGAACTGGGATGAGCACCAAATTACACTTAAATAGATACTGGTGCTCGCGCCAAGTAATTCTCGGGGGACGAGCTTTTGGCCCCGGCCCTCTTTTCAGCAAGGCGCAGCAAGGCAGATTGACGCTTTCATTGTCAAACCTCGTCAAATCCGACGATACGACGTTATTGTCCAATGAGAAAAATCCCTCATGGGGTGGTCCCTGTGCATGTGGCTCCCGGTCATTCTTGAGGGGGTTGTGCCGACCGCATTGCCGACAGACAGTACCCTTCTCCGTGGCATGGTCTATGCAATTCAAAAAAAAAACGCCCGGAATGGCGAGACATGAGGAATAGGGGCCGTAGAATGTGCATATAAAGGATCTTGCCAGCGCCTCTGAACAGAAGGAGCATGACCTTCGACACTGGCTTATTTCTCTTCAATTTATCACAATATGCCTCCCATAAGTCTCGACGAAATCGTCCACTATCGTCCGCCTACCGAAAAGAAACAGTTTCAAGGGCCACAGTCCATCAGTTTATACCCTCAGAGTTATTCAAATCCATCATCTGAGGGTCTCATCCTAAGCCGTCCTTTCCCGCCGAATCAAGTCTGGCCGTCGGGCTCTCCTTTATCGGCACATGAACAGTGTCCTCAGATGATTCCTCGCTCACCAGTTGAATCCGTGCCGTCATTACCCCTCACTGAGCCTGCTGGGGAGGTGGCTTTAGATTTGTCGGATGAGAAGGGCATGGATTTTCCGAATGTGACACTAGGGGAAGATACCGACGGCCCAATATCGAACGCTCACTGGTCTCAAAGTGATTTATTGAATGTTTTCGATGGGGCGTCACTTACAGATCTAGGTGACCTTTATGATAACAGTACGTCTCAGAGATCGATTTTCTCTATATCCTATCCCGCCCGGAAAGCATGTTAGACAATTAAAGGTCTAATTCAATGTATTGCAAGCAGGGAGTCAGGATTATAGGCGGTGCCAGGGCACCCATATGGCTCCTTTACAACATCCTGGCGAACAAGACAGTGTTAAAGATCCCACTGTTTCAATCTTGGCATCGCCCGAAGATGATCCTTTACCCGCGGCCGAAGGAAATGAAAGTGAAAACAAAACATTGCCTTCTATATTTGCAGGTCAGTCCTTATTGTCATCTTACTATTGGCTTGTCACCTAATTCTAGTATACAGACTCACCCAAAGTGGAGGACAGGATTTTGCAAGATTCCAGCACCATTGTGTCCGCTACCACTAAGGAGCATCTCAATATAACAACCAACGAACATTCTTTGAGCTCTACGGATGAAAAGAACCCTGATTCTTCATTTGGCCTTCTGTCTGGCGAAGTTTCCCCGTCAACTGGCGATGCCGAAGCTGGGTCAGATGAGTTTAGACAGTCGCCAGTTTTCACGAACAGTGAAGAAATACCCCCCCGGGGAATGCGGTGGCCACTCGATTTTAGAATTCTGCAAGAGTATTCAAGCCGAGGCAAATGAAGCAGTATTTACTGATTCTGAGAACGAGCATTCTCACAAAGAAATCGAAATCCCGTCGACATCATGTGAGCCTAACCAAACCAGCTCGTCAGGGCGTCGTTCCATCTCCATGTCACCTATATCACAGCGTGGTCAAGGTCAGTCAAAATGCAACCGAACCGATACAGATGCAAATTTGCCTTCAGTGTCGGAGCTTCATTCTGTCGTCATCACCAATTCACGTGTCAGAGAGCGAGACATGAGGAAAACCGCACCATTAGCCCCAACATCCCGTCCAAAAAGAAAGCGAGGCCCATCTGCGTCATCACATGACGGCAGCTGCAGCAAAGGCTCTAGTGACGCTGATGATACGGACGACGTCAGCGAAAGCTCTATTCTATCCAAACGATCGAAAAAAGCTGGGCGGGCGGCAGTACAAAGTTCTCTTGCTCATCTACGACAAAACAAAAATACTCGTCACAACCTCCCCTCTCAGCGTTGCGTATCTCGGGCCTCAAAAAATGAGGAGTCCCACCTCCAAATGCCGAGGGATCGGCATCTCATATCTAGTCTATCCGATATAGAGACAATTCCCATTCGAGGTTTCCTGACACGGGAAATACTTCTGTCGAAGGTTGTGTATTCAATTACCTTTGAGGAGCGAACAGAGCACACCTGCCTGCAGGAACCCGATGAGACTCCACCAGATTGTGAACGTAAAGCTCAACGCAGAAAGTTACCTCGGCAGAAAAAGCAGCAGGTTGGAAAATCAATTAGACCAGCTCGAATTCTCTCTAAAGACGAGCTGTCTAGAGACGACGAGCTTTTGATCGAATTGAAGGAAGAGAAAGGATTCAAGTGGAAAAAAATTGGAGAATATTTCCCTAACAGATCAGTCGGCTCACTACAGGTGCGGTATTCTACACGCCTCAAGAGCCGGCGTGGTAGAAGACTTGAGTGCAGTGAAGATCCCAAGAACCAGAGCGCACACGGCAGATCATATCGGGAAGAACCCTGTCAACGCAGTGGATTTTCAGCGACGAATGTTAACGGCCACGCTACCCAAAGGCCGTTGAGCCAGCGATACGGTCCACCTCGGCGCAGACAAGTTGTCGACCGTTACTCCCCAGTTTGAGTTAGAAAAACTCTCGATTGCTTGTGTACCACTTGTCACCCAAGAATATCTTACCACTTAAGCCCGACCTCTGTAGTCTGATGCCGGAGGATTGAAACGTAATTAACAATAGTGCCCTTCGACAGTAAGCTTGAGATTAAAAGAAGAGCATTCTGTTTCATTCGGCTACAAATAATTTATTTACCAAGTGAGTCGGGGGACATCAATTCCAAGAGATGCGCACTACTTTAACTTGTGTACAGTTATGATCTTCGCGCGATTCTTACGGGCGTGTTACTCCAAAGTGGAGCAAGGAGAAACATATAGCCAATCATATGAGACTATACATATAGGGTTCTAGGAGGCACGATGTCTTCTTCTAGGAACCGTAGGCGCTCTAGGAGCAGGCTCGGGCCGGTCCCACCCGCAGGGCCAGCCAATTTCAGTTGGGTGCCCTGTTTTAGCGCCGTCCTGATCATGAAGCTCGTGAGGTGATATAGTATAAATAAATATTCATATCTCTAATCTTCCATTTCCTCCAGTCCTAGGTAAAGAACTCGATGATGGATACCCTTCCTGGTGCGTGACCCCAGGCAAGCCTATTGCCTTTCACTGTTGAGGAATCGGGCCGGTATTCAGGAGGAAGCCAAAGTGCGTATTCACCTGCGAAGTTTACCCACTGGCCTTCAATAAAGAACATATTGTCATCATGTTCATCTGGGCCTGTCGTGTCTGACTGGGGCTGGATCTTGAGGTATCCCAGGTCAGTCTCGAGATACGAACCGTCTTCAGAAAACTTCAGATCAGTTATTATTCTCTTGGACTCCAGTACTTTCTGCAAGGCGCCCGTGAGCGGATTCCACAAGCGGACAGTCAGATCAAAGGATCCAGAGGCTAGTATCCGGTTATCATGTGAAAAAGCGACGGAGCGAACGCCGTCTGAATGGCCCTCGAGAGTCTGCTGCAGAGCGCCTGTAGCTGGATCCCAAAGCCGAACGGTTCTATCAAAAGAGCCAGATGCTAGAAAGCGACCATCACACGAGAAAGCCACTGAGAAAACCAAGTCTGAATGGCCTTCGAGAGTATGCTTTAGAGTGCCCGTTGCCAAGTCCCAAAGTCGAATAGTCTGATCATCGGATCCAGACGCTAGAAGGTGGCCATCGTGCGAAAAGGCAACTGAACGAATCCAGTTTGAATGACCTTCTAGCGTCTGCAGTGGAGCGCCCGAGGCCATATCCCAAAGTCGAACAGTCTGATCATCGGATCCAGATGCTAGCAGGCGGCCATCGTTTGAGAAGGTAACTGAGCGAACGGCGCCTGAGTGACCCTGTAAGGTCTGCTGTAGAGCGGCCGTAGTCGGATCTAAGAGCCGAATTGGCCCCTTATCAGAGCCAGACGCTAGGAAGCGTCCATCATCTGAGAATGCCATTGAGAAAACTAAGCTTGAGCGGCCCTGAGTAGTCTGCTGTAGAGAGCCTGTAGCTAGATCCCAGATGCGGACGCTGTAATCATAGGAGCCGGACGCGATTAGGCGGCCATCGGGCGAGAAATCCACAGAGCGAACTGCTCGGGAATGGCCTTCAAAAGCCTGCCGTAGAGCACCGGTGGACGGGTCCCAGAGCCTGACAGTCCGATCATAGGAGCCGGACGCCAGCAGGCCATCGCATGAAAAGGCCACAGAAGCGACTGCACGCGAATGACCCTCAAGAGTCCGCTCAAGAGCACCCATTGCCAAATCCCATAGTCGAGCTGTGTGGTCATCAGAGCCCGACGCTAGTAAGCAGCCGTCGTGCGAGAAAGCTACCGAGAGAACTCGGTCTGTATGACCCGTGAGAATCTGCTGTACAACCCCCGTGGCCAAATCCCAGAGGCGGACAGTCTGATCATCGGAGCCAGACGCTAGTAGGCTGCCATCGTGTGAGAAAGCCACCGAGCGAACTCGGTCAGTATGACCCGTGAGAATCTGCTGTAAAACTCCCGTGGTCGAATCCCAGAGTCGGACAGTCTGATCATCAGAGCCAGACGCCAGTAGGCTGCTATCGTGTGAGAAAGCCACTGAGCTCACTCGGTCTAGATGGCCATTGAGCTTATGCTGTAGGGCGCCCGCGGCCGGATCCCAGAGTCGGACAGTCTGATCATCGGAGCCAGAGGCTAGTAAGCGGCCGTCATTTGAGAAGACGACTGAGTTTACCGGGCCTACATGGCCCTCGAGAGACAGCAGCATGGAACCCGTAGTTGGATTCCAGAGCTGGATAATCTGGTCATCGGAGCCAGACGCTAGTAGTTTGCCATCATGCGAGAAATTCACCGAAGCAACTGGATGAGAACGACCCTGGAGAGTCTGTAACTCTGGACTCCATGTTTTTTGGGCTTCTGATGTCATACATATCCACAGCGGTTGTTCGGCTTCAAATTTTTTCCGAATTGTTGTCATCTTTGGTGCAAATACTAGACCTGCGCAGTAAATTTGAAGGGGAGCGTCGTCAGCTATCCGTCGAGTCTTAAGGATAAACCTCTTTGCATCATACAAAAATTCCAATAAATTCTTGTGTCCATTCTTGCCGTCAATTAGCACAAGGACAACGAAATACTTGGCAACACTTACTTGCAAAGCTGATTGCAGTAGATTGATGATTCCAACAACTTCAGAAACAAGTTCAAGAAGGCTCATTGCTTCTACCCAGTGAAGGAAATGCTTCTCAAGGAATAACAACGCTTCATTCATTTCAGCAATAGTTACTTTGCTTTCTGTTAGGTGATGTGCCCAATAACGACATGAATATTGCAACTCTGGAGAGATATAGTGATTGATAATCTGGCGACCAATCTCTGAACGTTTTGTGTTGTACTTTATCCCACAAATGTTCTTTCTCAGAGAGCCACATACGTAAAGGCATCTCATGAATAATCTCTGATGCGTCTCCTTCTCATCAACCCAGAATATGGTTCTGCATCGTGTTTCCTGATCAAGGAGGAAGTCTCGAAATGATAAGTGAAACAGGCGTACTGGCTTTGCGGGATCCTCGGGTATATTTAGAACTGAGCGCAGTGAACTCAACCTGCGTTCAGTTTGCCCTTCGGCAACGCCGAGGAGTTGAGAAAGTGAGACTGCCGAGAGTGGACTCTCAAGCACCACAATAGCACCAAGAAGTTCCTGATAGTCCTGAATCAATTTCCTTTCCTGGTTTTTGCTCTGTCCTTTAAGAAGTCGATTCAACACTGGAAGGTACGTCCCGTCGAATTGTGAAGCATCGTTTCGATGTGCAAATATCTCAGTGAGACTGTCAGTTGGGTCCCACTGAGGGTCCTCGAGCATACGGCACGTGGTGGCGGCAAAAATGAATAACGGGCTTGATAAATTCACAAGATATCGAATATTATCAGCTCCAGGCCACCCAGCAGGTAGTGACCGGTCCGCCCTTATCACTGAAAGTCGGTGCCTTAAGAACAAGGATATGTCATGCTCTATCGCCGATTTATCGATCTCATGGAGAACACAAATGTTTTGCCCGTCGCTTGTGGCTCTTGAGAATTCTCGGAGGATCGGCCATTCAGGCCTGCTTGTCAAAAATATTCGTAGACGTATAGTATTAAGTACTCCTAGTTGTGGTAGCAACTGAAGAATGATTCGGATGTCCTCATCCCGTTCACATTCGTCCAATGCGTCAATCACTATCACCAAGGTAGACGTTGGAAGATAGCTTGATTTTAAGCTTAGCAGTGGTTGAAGGAGTAACTTCTCAAACTGCTCTTTTAGCGATTTACCCACAACATCGGGGTCGTCATCAAGTGCTTTCTGGACAAATGGAATTAAATGAGGAAGACTTAGCACTAGCTGTCTTGTGATCGTCGAAAAGAGCTTCATGGCATTTCCACGATCTCCTTCTCCTCTCTTGAAAAAGAAACTTGCACCTAGGAGCTTCGCCTCTTTGAAGGACTTTGCCGTTGTTCGGGAAATCGTTGATTTCCCTGTCCCCGCCATACCATTCAGCCAAAATATGCATTTTCCTTGGGGTACCACCGCCCATTTTTGGATCTGGCAGAGAAGCTCAGTTCTTGTGCCTGGGAGGCATTCATCCTCATGTTGATCGATATATGAGCTGAACTCGGCCCCGCGCGCGATCGGCAGTTTGTTGAGCCACAGATTACGGTCAAGACGGTCTACCCCCTGGGCCAATCCGCTTAAAAGGGAACTGTTCATATGTAAGCCAATTATGTCTAGTGATTTTGATGGAGCAGCCTACGTCTGGTCAACCTGCAGAGATAAAATGAAAGATGATTTGTATCTCTCTAGATCATGAATGGCTTTGTCCACCTCTGTGTGTTTGAGGGGCCATTTTAAAGCTCGTATACCGAGTCTTTTCATCATTCTCCCACCTCTTATTGGATTAATCTTCTCTCTCAAGCCTTCAAGGAGCGACAAACAATCGCTAATATCGTTGACTAGCGAGGAGGAAGTGCCCAGCTTTGCGTCACAAGGTCCTTGGAGAAGTTCGTTCAGCTTCTGGAGAATGCTTTCAAGACCTGCAACTGTTCGCTGCAAGGCGAATATTTGATCTCGTGCATCTTTCGCCTCCTGTAGATAGCTTCCACAAATCTTCACAATACTTCCCGTGAGTTGGATGACCGCGATGACGCTGGCCGCAGATGAAAGACCGTCCATAGCAAGGGAATCAGGAGGAATCTTTGAACGCTTCCGATAATGAAGGCAAGCGGACTGGGATTTGAAGAATCTATATATTTCTTTGACACGTATGAATGGATGAGGGGCTGGAAATAGGGAGAAGGCGGTAGTGATGCATGCTTATAATTGGTGGGAACAATGTCAAGAAGAGGCAGGGTGTGACGGGCGGGGTAGTATGAAGCGCGTATTTACTTAGAAGAACACGACTCCATTCTCCCTGAAGCAATCACAGGTCATCACATAGATAGCTAGTTTTTGAGACGCTGCTGAGCCAGTAATATGCCCAATCATAATGTGTGAACTGCCTGCTCAGCTTTGATGAGCCCCTCGATTAGCCGCAGGCTCTCTTGGCGTCGCATCATGGCGATACGCCTACCCACTTGAAACACAGTTGGGCGCGAACGACTATGGTTTAGATTGAATCGGAAATCTAAACCATTTAAGCCTCGCCGGAACTCCATCTGATTGGTGGTAAGGAGGGAACAATAGCTCGGGACGGTGGCCCCGACCAGTGCTTTGCCCTAAGGAGGGTGGTGCTGATCCCGGCTTCCGGAACAAGCATTTTCCCGAAAACTCGTCACTCCAGCCAGCTACTGGTTTGGTCAACCAAGATCAAAATCTACAGGTACAGTGATGCCCCCTGGACGTGGGTTCCGCAGGATCGCTCTCGACCCAAAGCCCAGCGCTACCAGCAAAATATGTTTAATTGGTTTCGCAATGAATCGAAATCTCTGTGAATATGATAGCTCACTGAGTACTTGACCAAACCCGTGCAAGTTATCGAAAATTGTTGCAGGTGAATTACAGCCCATGATTATGAGCTGTGAACCTAGCGTGGTCTCGCGTCCCTACGATGAAATGGACTGGATTGCAGGAGCTGGTTGGAGTCATTTGGGTGATCAATTTGATGGACCTAGCCAATATAGCAGAGATGTATGGAGCGCATGTTTTCACTAATTCAAGATAGTTTATGACAGTCTCTCTAAGGTTTCCTGACCTTTCTCGTCCAAATTTGGGTACGGTCTCAGATTACACATATCCGTCCAGAATGTCTTAGCGTTTTCGTGTGCCTCGCCATGTGCGTCTAAGCGCTCTCGGAGCAACTTCTTCCATTCCACATCCATGTCTGTAAATCCAAAAGAGGCTGAAACATACTCATACCAAACAGGGAAGAAGGCGGCATATTCCCAATCAAGTATACCGACGACCTTCCCGTCTCGGACCATGATATTTCCCAAATTGAGATCGCAATGAGTAAGCACATAGGGCTCGCACTTCGGTAGGCGCTTTTTCAAGTTCTCCAAAATTTGTTGAGGAAGGTGGCAAAGGCCCAGAGCCAGAGCATCCCAGAGCTCTTGGTCTGAGTGAAACGGCCCACGGGGCTCAAGATCGAAGAATAATAAGCCTGGGTAGCATGGACTTTGATCGACACACTGAATAGAGGTTGACGTTACGGATCGAAGCTGCTTTCTCACGCTCACGACTTGATCCGCGACTTCTATTTTTTGGGTTTCTGATAAAGAAGGCCATGCCTCCTCGAGCGTCTGGCCACTGATGCGTTCGTTCAAAACGAAATAGCGCCCATCTCGATCGACCCAGTCTCGTAAAACCTTCGGGATGGGAATATCGGAATGGTTCGCTAAATATTCCAATGTTTTGACTTCAATTTTTGCTTTGGGACCCTCGTCCGGCCGGTCTTTCAGTATTGCATCCGATCCGATAGACCATACACCCCGTGTGGATGCACCATAGAAGAGTTTGAGGTGGCTGGTATAATGGCACCGTCGTTCTTTCTCAAGTGTCCACCCGCATGCGACACAACTTTTCTCAAGCGATTCACCCATTGTGGATATTTTGTAGGAGGTCAATTTGTTGCAACAGATAAGTTTCGACAGAGGGTTGAAAGCAAAAGTGGAAAAAAAAGGTTTCCAAGCGGAAAGCCCCTTGCGCATATTTCAGGGGGCTGACCGCCATTGAGTGCAGTCAATCACACAACCCTTCTCCTCTTGGGCCTATTAGCTTTTTTACTTTGGGAATAGTAGTTCACTGGATAGAGTTTACACAAGGTTTCAGGTAATCAAATCACACGGGCTCTTTCATGTCAGACTCGCTCGGTCGCCAAAGACCCCCAGACGGTAGGCCATCCAGTTTCCGAAGCAAGCAGCCAGGAGGGCGAGACCTCGATAGAGGCCCGTCTAAGCGCTGCCTGATGGAGCATGCGCAGAAGTAGCGTGTGATAAATCTGCAAGAGGTGCATGGTGTCACATAAGCTCAGTAGTTTCTTTCGTCGCATCACACTCCATATTGAGCCTCATGGATTTTACCCCGCATCCATCTTCTTTAAATTGGTATCATTTGGCAGACGACTTTTCTCCTATTTTTTCAAGATCTTAGCCTGGTAAACCATCACCAAATTATCAAGCCACAGAAAGATATCTTATTTTCCAAGATGAATTGCCCACAGTGCGGATACAACCATATCTCTAAGCCTTTTCCATTCACTTGTCACTGTGGTGCGCAAGTCCCAGGCTCTCAATAATGGCAGGTTTCCTCAATGATATCTCAGAAGAACTAAACTGATCCTGATATAGCCCAACTTCTCATCCTCCACTACCGGGTATTGGGTAGTTTCAATAGGGCGTGGCGGTACTAAAGAGCGCGGGATAGGTCAAATTGGTTTCAGACTTTAACAGCATGGTCTAGTTCTATATGATAAGGTAACCGATATCAAAGGCCTAGCAAAGCCATGACAAGCCATTTGGTGATGCCACTATTATTTCTGATGATACTGAGAGCCTTTCTTCAACAATATTGATCGAATGAAACTGTATTTGCTTAGGTATCTTTGTATTTATGCACTTTTTGGGAAGTGTCGAGTCTACATGTTGCAAGTTCTGTCGGTTGTAACCACACTTGTCGCATTTGCGGGTAAATCTTCGTATTGTAATGCTCCAAAGATATGGTTTCATATCCCACAATTCCTTTGGATTCTATCCTTATTTTATAACCATGGAGAGCGATCGCTCGTGCGAGAGCAACACACTCATGTTGTTTTGTTGAGTTTGAAGAAGGCAGAAAGACACGGCCGTCTTCCTGAGGCCTATAAGGACGATTTGAAGCTATCAAGCACTTGAGTAACTTAATGTAGAAGAATGGTTTAGTTCCAAGGTACGTACCGTCATAATTGAGGTCTGCAGGTTGTAGTGTGCGCAGGCAAGTATCGTAAAGCCTAATGACAAAAGAAACATCCATATTGAGCCAATGGACGCTATCCATAAAGCTCGTTGGTGTCTGGCAGTACCGAGGGATGGATACCGCCAAAACAATTTGAATGTGCTTGCTTCCGTGTTCCATTGTCTCATGCATAGAACCCAGGCTCTAATGAGTTGCGCGTGAACAAAACTGAGCCCAGCAAAAGCGAGAATCATAAGCGAGGCAAATAAAGCTCTGCGATGCTCCTATCATTTTTGGTTAATGAATAATACAAAAACAGCAAGGCGGGTAACTGAACATACCGAAAATGACATGGACAACAATAGAATGGTGACTGTTCCTACGAATAATAAGGCAGACACGATATGAGTTAACCAGTGTTGCAAAGTGGACACACTCAGATACTGATTGAGGTCAGTGTTACTCTTGTTCGGTTTCACTATTCTCACCTCATTTAAAATGAGCAAAAGAAGCACACTGTTAACTTCCATCTGTAGCATTCGTTGTGGAGGATCTGGATTGTGATTAGCAGAAAGTTGCTTCCAGAGAAGTAAGCCACTTGCGCTCTTTTGAATTTGCTTCCAGCAGTGCCAGAAAAATAGAAGCGATCGATCCCAAGAACACGAAACCACCTATCACAGCCTGACTGGAGATGAGTGGTTTCTTGCTCAGCCGTTGCAAGCTCATAGCGTCGATGGACAAGAGCCAGAAAATAAGACTTGCACCGCAGAAAATTGATGCCATTGTCGACGCAATCAGTTGAAATATTAATTCAGGGTTCATTGTTCAACCTTCAATATTTTATTGGGCTCGATCTACAAGGTCGATGCCGCTATTTAAATGAAGAGCCCACGCATTTACTTTACTTTCCCTTAATCTCGCTACCTCCGAAAGGACCGCGTGCATCTGCAGCCCGTCAATTTCTGAGACTGCGGTATTGTGACGAGGACACGTGAAATAAGAAGATGGGGACAATATTTTCTGGCAAGGAACACTAATCCGCTTTCCCCAAATGTCACATCACATAGCCCCACGTTGTCCCACGATCCCATTGGTACACGTCAGCAAATTTAGGCAGCCATAAACTTGGACATTCTCTAAAATCGTAGCCTGTTATTCTTTTGATTCTCCCATTTCCCAACATTGAACCTTCTCAGCCTCGACATCCTTATTACTCATTAGCCATGGCCACTATCGTTAATCAATTAAGCTCCGTCACCAAAGACCTGGATGCCCTGAACTTAGCGATGCGTGACATATCTTTGTCCGAGACCGATCTGCAAACATTGGAAATGGTCGCTGCGAACCTCAAAGACATCCTTGTGGTAATTGAATCAAAAACAGGGCTTCGAAAATACTCATGGACGGAGCAGGCTTGGAAGGATAGTGAGCCTCACAGACTCAAAGCGCAAGCTATTATTGCCGCAGTACTCAGCAAAAAACGATTGCAAAATCCAGCGGTATTCCGTAGGAACATAAAGTTGATCTATTGCGGGTCACCGCAGTCTGAGTTCGATTCCAAGGACACTACATGGAGGAGAGGCGTGGTGCAGAAAAGATGTTCTAGGATTCAACAACTGAGCCCAGATGGAATAATCTCGTGGGCAATTGCTTATCCTCCAACCACATGGGGACCATGCTTTATGTCGAATGAGATTTTTGACTGCCTGATAGAGGATATTGAACCAAGAGATAGGAAGACATGGCCTGATGCAGTATGCCAAACACTTTACAGACTGAGAGATGGGGAAGTTCAGGGGTGCTACGGTCTTCAGCAGCTTGTGCATGGTAAGATGACATTTCGCCGAGGCATTTCCGTAACTAACACTCCGCTAGATCTAGAGTATCCGCAAGATGAGTTCACTGATCATGAAACACCTGTTCAGACCGTCCAAACAGCGCCACGGAATCCCGATAACGAAAATCGAGGTAAGAACATCGCCTGCGTTGCCGAATATTTTTTTGATTATCTGCAGAGATGAAGCATATGTTCACAAACGCCCCAAATACCATGGCGATGCAACTACCGCAACCATTTCGATCAGCAGTTCAAAACAGTGCACTGTGGAAGTGGGAAAGGTCTCGGGGATACGGGACAACTGCTTGCGTGGCTACACTTTTCCCGAAGGACGAAACTCAGGATGTATCGTTCACTATCTGGGTTGGCCACAATGATGGGTATAGGCTGAACGATATATATGGCGTAAAGCATGCACTTTCGTCCTAAACTACCCAGCAGACAGTCTCAACTCCCCTCACATACGTTGTGTAGCCCCGCGGAACTGTGAAATCTTTGTACTCGGCGACATTCTCCTCGAGAGTTTTTCGGTCCTGCGTGTCTTCGTTGAATACTGATATGTATAATCCTTGAAACTTGATGGTTCTGTCATTATCCGGATCCGGAGGAAATCGATGACTAGCAATATTCCGTTCCTCGCGCCCTGCGAGGGCTTCGTCACCTTTCTGAGAAGCGTGTCAGTCAAGAAGAATAAAAATTTGATGATGGGCTTCGCTACCATAGTGCAACTGTAGAATATGAAGCAAACTGGTCACCGTCGTTCAGTTTGAGAACAGTTTTGTGTCTTTGTTCTTGTTCCCGACACAATCTTTCGTCCTGTATTTAAGAGAGCGGGGTATGAAGACCCAGATTGGGCAGCAAGTCAAAGGTGGCCAGCGCAACGCATCGCTGTTCGTGCGCCAATTTTCGTTGCTGGAGTATCCTAGAGGTACCAAATATGAGGTAGCTCTGGCCTGAAAGTAGGATGGGCAGGCTTGAATTGCAGTTCTGATGACGTTCTTGGGAGCAGGTGTTGGGCTTGAGATCCTTGCGTGTCAAGTCAGACGATCTTCGGGAGACCCACGTCAATCGGATTAACTCGGGTGACAGTTAGGCCGAGCTACAATGTCGGAGCAGCTGTGGGCCCAAGTAGCATACACGAATGAGATAGCAAAGAGTCTTGATTGTGAACGTCTCCGTTACCATACGATTTTGTATGGTAGCTCGGACAATCTATCTACCGAATATTACAATCACGTTACTAAATACAACATATGACAAAACAAAGCTCCACATATTCCGACACACCCCCTCAGCGTTCAACGACGCCTAAGGTTTTCCATATCAGCGTGTTGAATGCTGAACCCTTGTTTTCAGGCCAATGAATGGCTTAAATGGGCAGTTGAATAGCCCAAGGTGGCAGCAACTGCCTCATCTATCGATGTACGAACGAATATTCTGCATTCGAAGCATACCGACGAATTTTTCATGGTTCTGTGATGACAGCGCCTTCGTGAGGCCATCGGCTGCCATCTGACCAGTGGGCACCCATTCAATGTGGATGCGTCCTTCTGAAACCTCCTGCCTCAGCCAGTGGCTATGAATGTCAACATGACGAAGCTTGGTGTGCAGTTTGACGTTGGCATTGGAGATCAGATCAACCGTTTGTTGGTTATCGCATTTCAAAATAATGTGATGGCTAGGTCTGAAACCTAGGTTGGTGAGCAAGCGCATGGTATATTGAACAGATCGCGCTGCATCAGAAAGGGCCAGAAGTTCGGCCTCAGTGGTAGACGTTGTTACTGTACGCTGCTTGGAAGCTTTCCAGTCGACAGGACCACCATATATCTGGCAAATATAACCAGATGAGCTTTTCCGATCAGTGTTATCACCATATGAGGCATCACTGGCAAATTCCACTGATTTTAAGCCGCTGCAGGGGCCATATTCAATTGCCAGGTAACGGGTCCAGTACAGATAGACTATCACACGGTCAATAGCATCAATGTGCTGTGGCCCTGGATTAGTGAGAAACTGGGCCAATTTGGCAGTAGCTCTGGCAGCATCAGGTCTGGTGATTGTGGTGGCATATTGAGCTGAGCCTAGTTTGGTGGAAAATTCCTCGATCCTGGCCTTATCTGGTAGGCCATCATGAAGCTTCAACTCTTGCCCAGGTGCCAGTGGTGTGGTCACCCTTGAACGATGGTTAAGATGGTATCGGATAGCTATCTTTTCAATATAGGCATCTTGGCATAACCAGAGCTTCCTGTGCTCTCGGTCTCGAATGATACGTATGCCTAGGAACCAGCGAGCATCACCATGGTCGGTGAGCTCCCAGTTAGCATGGAGGTAACGCTCCAGCTGTTCGGCTTGATGCCGTTGGGATGGATCACTAGCAATAATGATATCATCCACATAGAAGAAGACAATAATGTCTTTTCCAACGAACACGCAGGGGTCCTCAGGCAGCGCAGTTAGTCCTATCTTTCCTAGGACACCTGAGGCCTCCTGCTGCCATAGCTTCGGGGATATTCGAAGTCCATATAACGCCTTTTCGAGCTTCCAGCATAGGCCGGGTGGCGAGTTTGAACCATCCGGAAGCTTGGTATACACTGTTTTTGGTAATGTGCTGTTGAGGAATGCATTCACAGCATCCAATTGCCTAACATCCCAGTTGAATGCGGCAACGAGGCCAAAAATTATGCGTGCAGTTCGAGCGGCTAGGGTAGCGGCTCTCTTTTCATCTGATGTTACCCTCTCAAGATCACCGCGTACGCATAGACGAGCTTTGAACTTCCGGAGATTGCCATCTTGATCAAACTTATAGTCAAAGACCCATTTCAATGGCAACACCTGGACAGAACAGTCATTCGGTTCTTTGACCTCTTGGAATGTTCCCTTGGTACGCAGGCTATCGGTCTCACGGGCTGCGGCAGTTAGGAAGGCCTCGCAATGAGGATGACGGAGCATGTCCTTCCAATTCTGCGGCGGTGGTGGTAAGTCATCACGATGTTGGTGGTGTTTTTGTTCGGCATTGAGGCCGGTGGCAAATGCGGCCAATAGCTCCTGAGGCTCTTCTGCATGGTCCTCATGGATAGGAGCAGCGAAATAAGCACAGTCGTCCCGGTGGGTTGATCTCCGCTCACGACGACCTTCTAATATATTCGACTCTTGCACAGTGGAATCGATATTTCTGGGCGCCACAAGTGGTGGCTCAGGCGGCTGATCTGGTGGGGCCTGTGTGAGTTCTTGGTTCAATTGAGCTTCACTGTCCGATAGTGGCTCTGGTGTAAAAGAATCGAAATTCTGCGGAGACTGCTCAGGCAGTTGATCAACGCTTTGATAACTCTCCACCCCCTCAGTCTCTGCAGCAGGGTTTCCGGTCGGAAAACGATCATGTGACGGTGTAGATAGTAACGACGGCAATTCATCGTCAGGGAATACTCCTGGTAATGTATGCTCAGAGTGATCATCCGGTTGCTGGGGCATCCATTCCACAGATGGTGGGGTCAATTCCTGGATTGGTTCCGCACGATCATCCGGTTGCTGCAGACCCTTAGGCTCAGGTGTCCGATATGTCGTCTGAATTGGCGCATAGAATTGACGTTGCTCGGCTATAAAAGGATCAAATGAATGGGTAGGCGGTGCTGGTTGGCCAGGCTGTGGCATCACTGTGCTAGCCGTTCCAGGGCCAGTCACATGATCCATCCAGTTATCTGTCAACCCTCGTTCTTTCAATATTACATGATCAACCTCACCCTTCGTCATAGCATCTGCTGCAGGAATGGGTAATGGCTCCTCCTTCCAATATTCAATATTTGGATGCCAGCGTCGCGATTCATCGAAAACTGCATCTCGCACACGAATGATATCGTTCTTCCGAGGTCTCCATATTCGCCAGACATTCGATGCTTCATATCCGACTAAGAAGCCGATTTCAGCGCGCGGACGGAGCTTATTTCGTTGAGGAATTCGGTCCAGACGAAAATAGGTAAGACTACCATATATTCTGAGACCAGAGAGATCTGATTTCTTAACTCCATCAGCATCCAGTAAAGCGCGAGCTTCATCCCAAGGCACAATCCATTGGGATTTATCCTTCAAATAGGTCGGTGTGCGATTCAATATCCATGCAGCTGCCATGACCATCTCGGGCCACAGAGCTTCTGGCAATTTGCCCTCAATTCGCAGCTTTCTGGCTTTCAAGGTGATCACACCCCCTGAGCGCTCACCTGGTCCATTCATTTCCGCATGGTGTGGTATGGTGTGGGTGATAATGAAGCCTTCTTGTTTTAGCTCTTTTTCCACATCCTCCCTCACAGCCTGCTCGTTATCCGCATGAACTGCTATAATAGGCAATTTCAGGACCTTCGTTGCAAATGCAAGGAAATGCCTAATGGCCACGACCGCGTCATTTTTGAATTGGTGGGGATACACCCAATGGAAACGAATTCCAGACACATAGAAGTGTGTGAAATATTGCATCTTATTGTATGCAATTGGCATGACCACAATGTCATAGAAAATTTGACCGTATCGGCCGAATTGACGACCCCAGGGACGACGTGAAATTTGTCGTGGTGCCTGAGATAGTCGGCAGATCTCGCAGTGAGACTGATCTCCATGATCAGGAGTTGTGGAACCATCTATCTGGATTCCATCCACAAGCTCAGCAGCTTTCTTGACTGTGATTGGCTGAATATGACCTAGCCTACGATGCCACACATCAAATGATGCTTTCGAGCTTCTTGATGAAGACGATTTCCGCGCCGCCATCGCGTACTGCGTCTCGCATCGTTCTTTCCTAGCGGTAGGACTGACGGATAGTCATGCTGTGGCATCACTGGCCGGTTGGTCAAATAGCCATAGACCAGCTCCACGATCATAGGTTACTTTGGCAAAAGCACTGCTATTAGCACTGCGCATGCATCCACCGTTCTCATCCCATCGGCAACCTCTAGCCTTCGCTTGACTATATGAAACCAGGTTGACATGAAAATCAGGGGAATATTTGACGTTATAGAGTCGGACGACACTTGGTCCACCAGTGATAGGGTCAACACAGAGCATTCTGACAGTTCCAATACCTTCAACTCGTGTGAAGCTATCGCCAGTTCGCATAGCCGCCTTCCTCACAGTATATTGATCAAATAGGCTGCGATTATTGCAAACATGAATACCAGCTCCGGTGTCCAATATCCATCGATCCCTAAGGTTCATTTTGGCTGTAGTGTTCATGGCCAGGTTATCCTCCTCGGGATATTCGTCATTCGGCAACGTTAATGCAGCAATTGGTGCTGATTTTTCGGCAGAATAATTGCCAGAACCGGTTAGTCCATTGCCATTTCCAGCCGTTTTGGCTATCTCTTTGTCAATGAATCTCTTCCAGTTGACGTGCTCTTTTAATAGACGTTCCACACGTGCCATTTTATCCTGATCCGGTGGTTGCCAGCCCGCAGTACGAAGCTTCGGGTTCACATAGGCGCATTCCCATGGTTTATGAGATCGATCCATACACATACAATATCGTTCTGCAAGAGGAATGTCTTTCAACGTTCGCTTCTTCCGGTTCGGTGCACTGGCAGCGGCACTAGGCGTGGCCTCCTCATGGTCATGGAGTGTGGAGAAGGCATTATTTGGTCTACTTTGTGAGACCTGAATACTTAGAGCAGCACTAAGTGTAGCTGGGACTATCGGTGGTGATGGTGCCAATGCATTGCCATAGTGCATACGATAGTGGTCAAGGAATTGAGACACCAATTGACCATTATCCAGCTTCTTCTTCTCATGAACAACCAATTGATATTGGCCAGTATGCCAATTCGGTACGAGATGCCTTACTGCCACTAGGAAGTCCTCATTGGCTTCCGGACTGCGGCCTGCTGCTAGCATGCGATCTCTCATTTGCTCCCATCGGCGTGCCCATGCTCGAATATCCTCACCCTTAGCTGGTGGCACTTGAGAGTATCTAGACCATCGCTCACGATATGTCTCGTTTGTTGTGTTTGCATTCGAGAATCGATCTCTGAGAAACCTCAGTCGCTCATACAGAGTGCTAACACTATATAGTCGTTCAGCCACAGTGGCATCGACTGACTGCATAATCATACGTCGGATAGCAGCTAGTGCTTTACTCTGCCGTTCCCATTCAGGGAATTCCATCTTGTATATTTCAATAGCCTCTGTACGTTCCGCCTTCGTCAGATTTCCCCAATCTGGTCGTTCAGGCCGTACAATCGGTTCAGGCCGTTCTTCATCGTCGGCTTCGGGGTCTAGGAGGTCCCATATACCATCGGTTTCGGCCTGTTCTTGGATATAACGAATCCATCGGAGCCAATCGGCATCCGATCTCAGTTTAACACTCTGAGGAGCGGAGACTATGGTTGCTTCCATCCCAACTAAGTCGTATCGAACGATCGTGGTCGAATAGGGGTACACAGCGGTTCGGACAGCTTCAGGGGTAAAACGACACTCGGAGGTCAACAGTGGTTGAATTGAGTGCTGGGAATAGCTTCAATATTGATTAAATAGATATTTCTTCCAGGCGAACCGGGCTCATAACTGTCGGAGCAGCTGTGGGCCCAAGTAGCATACACGAATGAGATAGCAAAGAGTCTTGATTGTGAACGTCTCCGTTACCATACGATTTTGTATGGTAGCTCGGACAATCTATCTACCGAATATTACAATCACGTTACTAAATACAACATATGACAAAACAAAGCTCCACATATTCCGACATACAAAGCCATTACATAATTTTCGAACTCAAGTGGTAGACTACTAAGTTGGATACTCACCACCTTAATAAGGGTCAAAAAAGATCAGCTCCTAACACTAGGCTCGATTATGTATCTTCAGTTCCAAAGGCGACGCCACCAACTGAATGATTCCTGAATCTATCCAATTGGGGGTGGCACCTACTTCATATGCCATGCACAATGAAGCACACTCCCATGCAGCTAAACACCGAATACGTGAGGGGAAGCAACATCTTACTCGGGCGGCGACTATATCAAGCATATAAGGACCCGCGATTTTCCACGTCCTTGAGTATTCGATAACAAGTCATCTTCTTTTCATTATCCTCACAGCCACGAATATCATATACGCAATGAACACAATTAGCGGAGGTGGTTCCTACCCGAGCCCTTCTCACACGTCTCTTATAGATGTCCTCTTTCCCGGTTTCAGTATGGCCTCTGCCTCCGCACAGCAACTTCTTGCTGGTAACCTGGACAGCTACACTCGACTGTTTTGTAGCTTGGGACTTTTTGTCCTCTTCGCCCGCTATGCAGTGCGCTATGTTTGGGATATAGTGAGAAGTTACTTCAGTTCGTATGCCTCCTGTTATGATAGAATGAGTCTGACATTCTGAAGCCTCAACAATCTATGTCTCGTACTACGACGAAGCATACGATATGCTAGTTGATTGGATAGCTGACCAACCATTTGTTCACAATGCCCATTCGTTGATCGCTCGGGTGAGATCCACGCAACGGACAAGTAATCTCTATTCAACAAAGAAAAAGCCTGTGACTTTTTCTCCTTGGGATGGATCATTTCTCTTCTGGTATAAGGGACATTTGCTCATTCTTCACTGCCAAGTCAAAGAGCACCGAGAGGATCTTCGTATCTCCTCCATTGGTCTTAATGCCAACATTCTGAAAAGTCTGATCGAAGAGTGCCGAGAAAAGTATCTCAAGGGCACCCAGAAAAAAGTCTCTGTGTTTGAACACCGCGAAGGGGAGTGGAAGAAAGCCAAATTGAGACCAGTTCGGCCTATTTCCACGGTAATTATGAACACCGAGCTGAAGAATGAAATATTAAGGGATGTGGACGAGTTCCTCGACCAAGATATGCAAGGCTGGTACGCAGAACGAGGCATTCCCTATAAACGAGGCTATCTTCTTTTCGGACCACCCGGTACTGGAAAATCCAGCTTCAGTCTATCACTCGCAGGGAAGCATGAATTGGATATTTATACGCTTCAATTGTCGAACATTTCAGACAGTACTTTAACGAGGCTTTTTTCGGAGCTCCCCCCACACTGTGTTGTCCTCTTAGAGGACGTGGATACCGCTGGGGTAGGGCGCAGAGACAGCGTCGACGCAGACCAAGAGAACGAATCAAAGTCGGCAGTCACCCTGTCAGGGCTTTTGAATGTGCTTGATGGTGTCTCATCACAAGAGGGCCGGATACTCATCATGACCACGAATCATATCGAACATCTGGACGAAGCACTGATTCGGCCTGGCCGTTCAGACAAGAAGATTCATTTCAAACTCGCCGATCAAAACATTTCTATTCAGCTCTTCCGCACGGTCTTCAAGCAGTTGCCGAACCAAAAGCAATGCAACGAGGAATATGATGATGAGACCATCGAAGCGTTCGCTCGTGATTTTGCCAGCAAAGTACCGGATCAAGTATTCAGCCCAGCAGAAGTGCTATCATTTCTTTTGGAATGCAAGAAGTCGCCTTCTGACGCAGTTTCTTGTGTAGAAAGCTGGGTGGCGAAAGCAAAGTATTGAAGGGGAGGGAGGAAACAGGGGCCGGGGAGAACTGAATCTCAGGGGGGAGATTGGTCAAACAAGCCGTACTGAGTGAGGAACTGTATGTTTGATGGCGCCAATGAATCAGTCTGTCTACAGTAATAGCATAGATTGCAAACATGAGCGGGTCGGGTCATTCCGCTGTCAAGATTCTCAACGGCCCAGAATCTACATAGCGATGATTTCCCGTTAGTACACGACAGCCTTAGGCATTAGAATTCACTGACAGTCTGCAATCTCTTATAATAATTTTGAAATGGTATAGCATTCCGGGAAGTTCTCAAGTTCGAGAGTCCAGCTCGCATGTGGTGTCAAAGTATATGAGAAGGATCACACTTCGCCTCGGAATATATAGATGAGAATTGAAATTTGGGTATCGTTCATCATATCGCTAATTGACCAGGTAGAACAATAGACTCCCTTTCCACGAAACCCGAAGACCTATTGCATCTTCTGCCTCCACTCGACATAGTGGTTATTTTGCGGCCCCTGGTCGCTGCTTAGCAGGTCGGCATCTCAAGAACAAAAAGCGAAGGTCAATGATCAATGCACGCCCGAGCGGTTGACTCGAAAGAACGTTGTCTCGCCTGAGGTTTTCCTGTATTACCCTGAGAGGTTTGATTCCTTATTCGAAGCGTGAATCTGTCGGCGAAATCATTGAACCAGTTCCATCACCGCTGAACTTTCACTTACCCAGCCCATTACGAGCATTTGTTCAACGTCATGAAAGAAAGATGTTCGCTATCAGTCAATCGTATACAGGTGGGGCACAGCAGATATTTGACCCTTGCACGGGATATGATCTGCGCTTTGCGGGATGACTTCTTTTTTTCACAATCCCGAAGAAACTCCTTTACCGATGACCGTGTAACCAAATCTTGTGCATAACATGTTTCTTCGGCCCGTAATCGTAAGGTGAAATATAAAGCGACTCAGATGAGGAGTAATCATGGGCCGCGGGGTGTCATGTGCAGATAGCAGTGGAGTTCGACAATGGTACTTGCCCGGATTTTCTCATCTTTGCGAGATGGTCATGCCGTGCATTTCCAGACGTTGGTTCAAGTGCGCGAGAGCGCTTCAACCGTTCCAGGTCTTCCAAGTCAATGACAATCAAACGGCTACCTATGTCATCCCACAACATATTGCGCCACTCACTGTCGCAGTGGATCACTCCATGCGAACGGAACACAGCCAAGGCTTTCTCTCGCTCCTGGTGAAAGAAAATCGTGTTCTCATCATTGATGGCGTGCTGGAGTCTCCTTCCCGACCAGCTGAGAATCATCATCTGCTCCATTAGCTCGCCATGATACCAATATGAAACTCGTGGCGTAAATGTCCCAAGACAGACAGGAATATTTTGACCCTGCATATTCCTGAGGTAGCGATAATTATCTGCTTCTACTCGAAGGCGATGCTGCTTTTCCATTGTCGTTGCTTTAATCATGACAGTGTATCCGCGCGAAAGAAGAGTAGCTTTGATAAGATATCCAGTCCGACCACAGACATGGAGCTGTTCGAAACCGAGGTATCGATCTCGGGCAAGTTGGCGATGAAGCTGGCGTGTGAACTCTTGTGGTCCTATGGTGTGTCTCTGACCACCGTGGAGTTTCCAGTTGGGGCATGTCTTATCCAGAGGGCCTCGGTTGAGTATGCCATGGATGCAGGCAATGGTGCAGTATGGCCGTGTGGAATGCCCGTCTTTTTTAGAAGTCTGTTTGTTGTCCCGGCCAGCTCGTGTCTTTTCGCTTCCCTTGCTTGATTGGCTTTTACTGCCTCGGTCGCGACTCGATCGGCTGCGCGATGCTGCTGCTGCGGTTGGCGAATGTGATTCCTCTTCACTGCCGCTGCCTTCAGTCGACGAGTGTTTCGGTGTAGATACGCCTGGTTGACAACGAGTGCGTGAACGTGTGTTGTGTATTTTCCGATCTCGTTTCCAGTGCGAGGGTCGATAATTAGAGGCCCGCGGGTCTTTGCGAAGAGTTTCGGGGATTTTCCTCAACACGTCCAAATATTCGACTTCCCAGGTTGTCAGCTTGTTGTGTGCCGCATCGTGCCATTCTTGAGAAGGAGCATCGGCGATCAGTGCTTGAAGGGTGAACGCAAGAACCTGGCCGATGGCGGTTCGGTGGAGGCGTAACTCATCGTCCGCCTGTACATCCTGATTCGGAATACACAAGAAATATTGAACAATGGTGGGATCATCCTTCGGTATGTGAAGGAAAACAAAAGCCTCTCCCGTGCAAATGTACCCGTGTCGAACTCCACTATCGATCATGTATGAAAATATCTGAGTGACCACGGCGGCAATAAGGCGGGTGGCATAGAATTCAAATGTATCGCCCTCCTGGTCAATGACATCCCCGGCTAGATCCATCTGGTGTAGACCCGCCACTAATTCGGGTATTGTCACTTTATGTGGCGCTTTGAACTCCACCGCGTGCACCGGTATTTGTCGTTCATCGGCCACTATATGCACGCAGAATTGGTCGGCACGTCGATTGCGTCTTCGCGCAGTGCCATCCCTCTTCTGTCTCTGCGCCGCTCCTCTCGCTCTTCCCCTGCCTCTTCCATGCCTGGTGTTCGCCGGCCTTTGGGGTGTCTGGGTATCCTGAAGACTCATTTGCCCCAGGCTGTTCTCTAGCAAATTTTCCGATGGGTTTGCGCGATCATAGAAAGTAACTCGGCCTTGAATCCCAAACTCATGGCAAAGGGCTTCATCGTCTCGCAAAGTATTAATAACCTTTTCGACAAAGTTATCGACAGTGTCTCGCTCAAAATTCCGAAGCGACGTTTCTGAATAGATGGGGTTGTTCTGGATATTCGTGGCGACGTAATCTATCTGGGTATCGGAAGGGAATAGTGGGCGTGAAGGAAAGGCAGCGGTGCGTTCGAATTTGCTCCAGACTTTCTCCTGGAGCTGGGGGAAGTCAAGCCAAGGGACTATGCGCTTGGGGTAAAGTCGGTTCACTGGGTCGGTCGCGTTGCCCTGAGTCGTGAGGGTCGCATCCGTCTCGACTCGGATCGCTTGGGACAGAGATTCATGGCAGCGATCGAGGAGGCGGAACAGGCTGTTGGGTTGGAGTCGTCGTTCTGCTTCGCCCTGGAGACGCTCTGCCTCTTCTCGCGCCTGTTTTTCCTCCTCCAGCTGACGTCGTAGCTCTGCAATAGTTTCTTCCATCGCTTGTTGATATTAGTATTCAGCAGATAAAATGACGCAAATCGAAGTCGACATCATTTGGGTTCGCTGTCGCAGAGGAGAGGCCCGCCAGGGCGGAATGCTCCAGTGTTTACCAGCTTACTCACCGCCTTGGTACGAGTCAAATCATGCCTCAGGCATAAAATGTGCCAAGCCGTTCGGCCTTTTTGATGTTGACATTCTGAGTCCTTTTGTTTCTAGAATCTGGAATCTGAGTCGAACCGATGGTTTTGGATGATCTAACCTGGCCTCCTGGCTAGAAAGTGGATAAATTGAGTCTTGATTCATATTCTCAGCAAGCACAGTCACTGTGGTGAGGCCATTATCTCAATTACATCACGCGAGAGACCCCGTTTTTTGTTCTTCAGTACAAACAGCCGCCTGCAGCGAAGGATTTATTGTATGACTCGCTGAGTAAGACATTCAACGAAGCTAGTAGTCAGCGACTCTTCTTCTGATGTAGAGAAAGAATAGGCTTGCCTTTCTCATTCTTCGTCTCTTCTGCAGAACACGCCTCTGGTTATCCTAAGCTTTGGTGATTAGACGACACGCAATCACTCGCCAATAAACCCTCTAAAATTAAAGAGACGTAACTTCCCTGTCCGAGCACTTGGATTTCTCGTCAGAAATAGGCTTTTTGAGCAGGTAAATTAGCTGCCTTCACCGGCCTACGAAGGTCATTTGCTGGAGAACGCCAGGAGAAACGACATCTGACGGAATAGTTATAGATTAAGGCTTTGCTTCATGACTATGGGTTCTAGTCAAATCGCCAGCCTCGAGCAGGTATCGATGGATCGATGGGAAAGTGAGTGGGTAGATTCAAGCATCCCGCAGAAAGAAAGATGCGGTCGATGGGGTAATCACTGCCAATAAAATGTGGTGGTTTAAAGCATTTCGTAATAGACAAATATCAACCTCAAATTTTTGACCTACTTAGCTTCTCACCATATACCTCATGTATTTAATATTTTGTTTCACCGTTGACAAACAATGAGTCTAAACTAAACTCTTGTGAGGCATCTCAAATACAACAGATGCCTCATCTATTGGCATGACGACTTCAACGGTCTGTGTCGCCGAAGCATCTGTGTTCCAACTGGTAGCGTTTGAGTTGATCTACGTTGGTAGGGAACATGCGCTATCCACTAGAATATTATTGTTTAACTGGACGTACATAATGGTTAACCGCAAAGTCACTATGTTCAATAGTAAAGCTCTTGTGTGTACATATTCTTGAGGGTTTATGGTCCTGGATCTCCACAGAGCCCCACTGATCGCCCACTGACCATCTTCCAGTAAGGCTGAGGAATCGGCAAGGGGAGATATATTTTCCTTTGGTCCGCCCTGGCCCCAGAACTCGGGATGGAGCGGAGCGCAGGTAAGAAAAATTTCTTGCCAGAGAGATGGGGGTGCGAGACTAGAGTCTGGATTGCTCTTTCAACACGTCCGTTTCCCCTGTTCGTTGGAAATCACAATGAGCGCTCTTTCCAGACCCTGTTCATTCAATCCAACCCATATTTGAGTGCTATCAGTTACTTGAGAATCAACGGTAGTCGTGAAAGCATTCTCATGAACAAATGTGATGGTGATGAAGAGAAGCCGCATGAAATTTGCAAATTTAGTTGGCTATGTAGACGTGAGTGCCGCAACTTTGGTCTAACCGTAACTTTTACAACGGAGGCCTCGGAGCCTCAACGAAAATTCTGGAGCTTTTTTAGATACTAAACATGATAGGGAAAAGGCCAAAACCTGGAGGTTGTACAGTCACCTATTCGTGGGCGACCGCCTATTCGCGAGCGACGCCCTTTTCGTGGGCGACTCCCTCTTCGTGGGCGAATCCCCTATTCGCGGACGACCGCTTATTCGTGGACGGCCGCTCTCAAATAACGATTGTGTGACTGATGATCTAGCGTAGCTCACAGATGAGGGCCTGGAAGTAGATCGTAGGATCCAAGAAGGCCCTTGAGCTCCTAGCCACTCTTATGACAGCTCTGGGATCGTATTCTCAGCCACGAGCTTTTTTCCCCTGGAAACTGAGATCGCTCTAGGAGCAGGCAAACCTGGGAGCTCTCCGCCTTTTTGTCAGGGCTCAATATGCGGCATACACGATAAGCGGAGGACATGGACCCTCATAGCGTATCTCGGTTCCTCTGAACGTGAGGGAAGTTACTGTTTGCTACGTCCTATATTTGTGCTCCAGAACATCACAGATAGCAAATTTACCAGGCGGAAATCATTGAAGCACATAATATTTTGCATATCTATTTTTGGGCTAGGTCTAATTTGATCAGGATCAAAGATTGGGGCGCCGAGGAGATTCTAGCCAGCATAAATTTCAACCAAAGGAAAGTTACCATCCTTTATCATAATCGCTGAATGGAGAAGCAATTTGGGTCTTCTCAACATCTATGACCATAATTCAAGTCGCAATGATTGCAGCCATGCAGCTTCCGAGACAAATGGCATCAAAAGAGTGTCAATCCAAATGGGCCAGTCATCATCCCATCTTAGAGCACAAACAGCCATGCAATATTCCCAATATACTGGATACCATCCAGACTTCTCCCAATCGATTAACACAACCCGTGTTCTTTCATCATCTTGCTGAAGCTTCTCCCGAATAATGATATTCTTTCTTTGTAAATCGCCGTGGGTGAAAGTCGCTTTGTGGCCTTTGAAAATGAGTGGAAGGCATTTTCGAAGATATTCCACTCTGTAGTGTGGACCTCCATTATAGGAGTACTTCCGCAACATCGCTTCGTTGAGGCTTTCTTCAGAATCGAACGGTCCATTTACTAACGGGTCTGGTTCTTCTGTCCAGAATATCCCGTCCAGAAGCTTTCTTTTGCCGAAACTTCCAAAGTAGTTTGGAGATGGAAGCTGGCGCATTTCATTGAATTGTATTCGAAGATCGCTCAAAATATTTTGTTTCTCGGTTTGCGTAAGCCGTGGCCAGGCCGCAAGAAGGGTTTCGCCGATGATGCGCTCCATAATGATAAAGCTTTTGCCAGTCTTGGTATCCGAGTAAAGAGCGAAGACTCGTGGAACACAGATATTTGTATTTTCCCGGACAAACAACATGTTCTCTCCTTCAGCGAGGTCGACTCCTTGCCCAAATTTCACAACAAAATGCTGGCCTACCCCGACAACTCTTCGCCCTCCATATTCCAAGGATATGTCTGGAGCATTTTCGATTTCGGAATTGGTTGGTAGAGGGCAGGGCAAATCAGCTGCGTAAAACGGAATGCTAAATGATTCCTTCATTCTCACCTAAGATCAGTCAGTAGACAGGCTGAAGAGCTGAGAAGAAAAATTGAAAGCAGGGCGCGCCGGCGGCCACTCCTATTTATCAGCCAGTGATGCAAACATCATCGATTTGTTGGTTGTTTGTTTGTTTGCTTTAATCACGTGATAAAATGATCCGATGACTTAAACTCGGACGGGATTTGGTTCCTTACCTTTATTAGCTCTTACAATCGAAGGAGTTCCTTCTTGAAAATTGGACGACTAGGCTCCATATAGCGCAAACCAAATAAACTTCAGACTATGAAATACAGACTAAGATAGGGAGAATGCGAAATGACGAAGGGGTCATTCATTTAAGCGACTTATTCACTAAACAATCGAGCACTAAGAAAATGGTCTCTGATTGTATTCACTGGTTTGTATCAAGCTTGTAGAGATAGCCAAACACTGACTTCCACTCATTTCTTCAGGATGCCTGCATTGACCAGGGCTTGTATGGCTTCTTGGGTCCATTCCTGACAGCGGCGAAGAGGCTCTTTTGGGTAGAGCCTCCGAGGTCCCTCGAACTGCTTTTTAGGTGGGGGTATGCTTTCGCAAGTTGGCTTGATGCGGGCGAAATCGGCTGCGGTAACATTTCCAATAAGCTCTTTGCTTTGATAGGTTGCTGAATCTTCTGGCTTTTTGGCAGGCTTGTCCTCGTGCTTCATCCCATTCTGTATATCTCCAGTGACCTGAAATACATGACCAGATTGGTCATGGTTCTTTTTCGACAAAAATGGCGTGATGGTCCCGTGGAAGACCGGCGTAAGAAACCCGATAGACGTTGAACGACATGACCTAATATTTGAATCAGCAGGAGGATAGGAGTAGTCTCTATAGGAGAGGAGCATACTCTGTGGAAAGCCGAGAGAAAGATGTAGTCTTGATAATGAATTATTCAACTTGGAGTGGTTGTATATCCAGCCTCCACTGCCGATTATTTATATCCTTGTCGGGATGCGCAAGCGGAATACCGTTACTACTATTGTCTCTTACTTTCAAGTATCAACCTATCGAGTTGAACTGCACACTACGCGCTATCAAAAGTGAAACGGACGTGCACGAACACCACTCGCGCGCGGCTCCACAACAGGATCTAACGGCGAATCGTTAGGTGCACCACTTCGTTAGTGTAGAGCGGGATGTAGGAATTTCCAATTTTCGCGCGCGGCTAGTCCTGAAGATAATGAATAGTCATTAATCAGGTAGTAAGAGCCTTTTCCTCAAGCAATAGCCACCAGATCCCTCAATGGTTCATTCACATGGGAAAACTCCTGATTTGTAGGGTGACTACCTAATATCAGTGTATTCTACAAGCGGTGAGCGCATGGCGCTGCACGTTTTGCCTGATGTAGCCTTGTGCAAGCGGCTGAAGGCCAAAAAGTCAGTCCCACCTTGCCCTGACCTCCAATTGGCCGAGTATATTCCCCATGCGCGTTACGCTCACGACTTGCGGGGTCCCGACCGCAATTAATTATTTGTCATGATGGATCTGAAGGATTGGGGCGGTTTCATGACCAGATTCCTTGTGGCTACTTTTCTTGGTATGTACAGTTAGATCGACCTTGACCAAAAGTGGCCGGGTCGCGGCCATGTGAGGTTGCGTACAAGCACGACATAGAAATTTCGCTACAGATATCTAGCAAAGGCTATGAAGATAGATGCTGCTGAGGGTTGGCGAAAGATCTTCATGGTATTCATGCTTCATTTCGCAGGGAGTACATAAACGTATGTATTTGCCCCATCAGGATTTTTTGCCGTCTAGAGGTTCTTTTCAGTCCTCTGAACCGGCGTTGGGTAATAGGCACCCTAACGAAGTAAGTATATGTACTGCTTATGAACAAAGCTTCTCGGTACATACCAGATGAGGACCAAGAAAGGACCAAAATCCCGATGTATCCGCAAAGAAAATGAATACCTTCCCTGACTCTCGAATCCGGATGCCTAGGCATACATCTGCGCCGCATTTGTTGCTGTATTCGTGCGACTTTTTTTCTAGTGATATCTTGCGTCGATCTCTTTTCTGTCGTAGTGACTTAGCCACGCTGTAGGCCTTAGACTGTCCAGCTGAGCTTCTGGCCATTGTGACTGTGTGGTGTGAAGTATTATAGGCAAGTGGTACCACTGCGTCAAGGCAAAGTATTTGTATCATGAACGATAGGTGTGTCTTCTCAGGAGAAAATAACGTAAAGGCATAAAGCGCTTTTAAAATGCTGCTTTTGCCAAAGCCACGATTCTCGGGACCGCCATGGTTTTTAATCGCTAGGCGTGCCTTATGCTCTACATCGATGCTCTGAGCCTTAGAATTCACGTAGGTACCCTAGAGGAGGATAGCAGTTGTGGGTGGGTTAGAAGGTGAGCCGAGGTGAGAACGAGACTGCACGAATTGATCTGCTTCGACATGGCCCTCGCTGAGTCAACCTGCTGTTCCATTTTCGGCAGCTACTCGTTCCTCCTGTCGACAGTAAAAGGTGTCGCACATCATGGGGAGACACATTGAGGAGCCCGCAAAGGAAATAACACGGACCCTTTCGTGCAACATTTCTTCACACCTCCCTGGTGCTGGTTTAGCCCAATCTAGATCGCTATGGCAAAAGGAGTGCTGTACATTGTTCCTCGGAATGCTATCATTAGCCCCTAGGAACCACGATCTAGGAGCCACGATATATCTCCTCGGGCACTTTGTACCCGGGAAACATAAACGCTGCGTAGACTTCTTCATGCTTCATCGTATCTTCCTTCACCCCCAGATGTATGATGTCGCTTAGCTCTTGACGAGACCACACAAAGGTTTCCAGCAGGTTACGGTCATTCATCGAAAGCGATTTGATGGAAAAGATGCCGATTCCAAACACATTCCATCTTGAGGAAGGACGGAGCTCCTATGGTGACGTACACCATCTACTTACTGATCGGCTGTGTTCGCTCCCGCAGTCCCTCTCCTCTGTCCTTCCTTTTCCCCTCGAAGTTTTGGCTGGCGACTAGTTTTCCCGTGCGGAATATTTCTTATTAAAATTAATGAACAGATAGGTCGATATGCCGCCTCAAAGGGATAGCCGACTCCGGCCCTATCTAGATATTTCTCAAACCCGGCACCGTGGTAAGCTATGGAAGTTGTTCGAAGAATTAGATGGTTAATCATGCTCTACCATGCAGGAGTCTGCCGCCGAGAAGACTGGATTGAGATCGCCCTCGCGAGTATAGGATACGAATTTAGTATGCTCCAGCTTGAGAGGAATAACTTAGCTGGCATGCTGCAGCTCTATGAACGAGACAAGGCCCACTTGGAAGACTGCATTCAACATATGGAGGAGACGGCAAAACAGCGGAACGATATGCTGGCTAATAAGATTAAGGATCTGGAGGCCAAACTCGCTTTGAATGTGAAGGAGAAAACTATCTAGAAAAACATAGTATCCATGTACTACATTAAAATACCTTCTTTGCAGTCTGACCGTCGCGAGCCTAGACGTATTCATGTAGAAAGTCAGCATGGTAGAGATAATGATCCGCGTAGCCTCATTGGAGCCGCAGGTATTGAGCCACTGACAAAGTAAATTCTTGTTTGTGGAGAATGCGGAGTCTCCGCTAATTGTTCCACTAGTTATTTACGTAGTTAAGTAGCCACTTGACTAAAAGTAGTTAGCGTTTATCTTTACTCTCAGTCTCTATGTCAGCACTTCCAATTTCATTTCTCCTTTATTGTCTCCCAAGGCGGGTTTTTATGCCAGGGAGAGTGTAAGGTATCAAGTGGTGGACGACGCACCCATGTTGATAAAACGATTGCTCCTTACTCTGTATCCCGTACTTGAAAAGATACCACGGTACAATGAAAAAGCAGAAGAGCACGATCACTGTTGACTCGAGTTCTCCGGGTTAGTCCGATAGCACGGGCATAGCGGAGGTAGTCTTAGGTTAAACATTTTTTGGCAGAGAATTGGGGGCATGCGAGGGTATAGGGGAATGCACGGACCTACCAAAACGGTGGAGAAAACGTTTGCCAGATGGCCAATCCCTTTTATTCCTCTAATTTTGCGCAATTGTCGTTGAAGAATCGGTGACAGTCACCACCTGTTAACGATTTTGCTTACGTTGATTATTAGTTGAACCCCCAAAACATGTCTGTTTTTGTTGCCATTTAGCAGCGCTGCACCCGCAATTCGTGCATTGAGTAATTCGTGCATATCAAAGCAGAAGGTGAACTCTCCATAGGATAGGTTGTAAGAGTGAAACCCTTTTGCGTAGCGACATCATACTCTGGGGCGAAGGAGTTGTCTCCCAGGAGCGATGAAGGATGGAGAAGTCTATGCAGCATTTAGGTCTCCTAGGGCCTAGTGATAGCATTCCGAGGAGCCCACGCTGCGATCCTAGGAACAATGTACAGCACTCCTAGGACCAGTTTGTCCCTAGGAACTAATGCGACGGGCCCTGGGAACGACAGTTAACGGCCCCTAGGAGTCGCGTTGTTCCCGGTGGAGCGACACGGAATTGTGATTTCTGCCGGCCCCTCTCACAAGGACATACCGCCTGTATCTTAGCCGAAGAAAGTCTGCATAGCGCCTAATAAGAGTTCTGGGAAGCTACATCAGACTATAGTAGAATTCATCATAGTACATGGCTTATTTTCACTAAGAATGTTCTAGCATGTCTGTTTGCTAATCCGACCTCAATACACAACCCAAATTCGAAATTTATGAGCAAGGTCAATGAGTGTACTGTAGCAAACAAAATGTACTTCTGCTCGGCTCCACTCCCCTCCATCGCATTATGAACCGCCAGAAGCCAGGGCGGTGGTATACTCTAAATGCGGCGATGACCTGCGAAATGTTTGATTATATCACTTTGAGGTGACGGCCATTTCTTTGTTGGCCCTATCCGAATCTTGAATCGTTATAAAGCTTGGTCTGGGGCAATAGGCGCACTTGAAACAATCAGCTACTTTTTCTGCGGAGGACGTAGCTTGTAACATACCAATTGTGAGGCAATGAAAGCCCAAAACCCCGAATCATCTGCTGTCAAAATGTGTACTTGACCCGTCTCTCGCAAACGAATGCCTACGCATACATCTGCATCGCACATCTTGCTGTATTCGAACGCCTTTTTCATCAGAGTTGTTTTGCGACGGCATTTTTTTGTCCCTTCGATCTCCTGGGGCTCATAGAGGGGAGGGACTTAACAGCGGACATTGCGAACTGTAGCCTTGTCTTTTAGTGACTATGGGTCGCAATACGTCTTGATAGAATCGAGATGGATGTCGTTCTTATAAAAATTGATACAGTGCCGTCCGTTATTGCCTTCCGTGACGGATGTATATGAGATGCCTTTTGCAACCCTAATCACATGATAATCGATCCTATTTTGGCTAGCTAAAATACTTGTAACAATGTTCCGATCTCGAACGGTATAATACAAAATGCGTATAAAACTGGGTAGGCTGTATATTCGTGTTTAATTACAGCTCCAAAAAATAGCCCCTCAAAAAATAGTTCCCTCAAAAAATAATTCCCGCAAAAAGAGCTCCCTCCCCTTTCCCTCGAGTTCCCCTCCTCCCCTCTCAGCATGTCATCCCATCCTCCCAATCCATCACAATATGGCTCGAAATATCGGTGCCTGGCAGCATGACCTTATTATTCACCTGTTATGCAGTAAAAAGAGACTCACCACATCCCAAATGGCCAAGGTAGCGAAATGCAGCGAGCGTTCTAACATCCGAAAGAGCATGGGGTTATTGGCAGTGCTAGGTCTCCCCCAATCTCTCCCGGCCGCCCATCGAGTATCACAAAGTGATGGTAGATGCCCTGTTCGACCACCTCGCAGAAAAACCCGGTCTCTTGTTGAGGGGATGGCTATCTTCCTATTCGACGAGTTTAACGTGGTACCTTCGATATCCAGCATCAAACGAGCTCTATACCGGGCTGGGTGGAAGAAGAAGAAAGCACAGCAGAGAGCAAGCGAACGAAATCCTCAGTTACGAGATTTCTACCAGCGCAAACTGTCAAACTTCCGTTCGTTTCATCTAGTTTTTGTTGATGGGTCTGGATGCGATAAATGGGTGGGTTATAGGCGGACGGATTGGTCTTCACTAGGCGTGACACCAATCCAGGTATCCAAATTCCATCGGTTGGTAAGCCTAAAGCTGTAAGTGGTTAGCCAGGAATGCCTAGCATATCATGTGATTAGGGTTTGAAATAATATGTCTCCCGATATAGAAGGCAATAACGCCAGGTACTGTATAATTACGAATGATTGAGATGATTCTCAGATGAGTAGAGATGGCACCCGAGAGTTGCTCCCGGGCTCATAACCTGTTGTAGTTCAGAGGTACGAATTGGGTGGTTATTCGGAGCGAAACATTAGGCTCTATATATACAACGAGAAGAACAAGTTGATTTCCAATTGACTTGATTCTTCATATAGATATTTGGGATTAAATCCGGTGGTTCGGCTTGGTTCCTGATCTGCACCAGCCTCATGTCACAACATACCAGACATCGTCTCGCGAGCCAAGGTAGTACGAGCTATACTGGACTTCGCCGAGGCGTCACAGGGGTTTGCATTCGTGCCTCATAAGGACAGCCTAACAATGGGAGCGGCAATGGGCCACGGTAGGCCGTGACGAGGCTATAAATTAATGTCAGGTAGTGGACCACTCTACCTGTACGTATATGGATATATATAGTTGTCGTATCCTGCATTTCGTTCTCGAAGTTGGGTCCCAGATCCCTGCATAGGAAATGACACAAGGTAGCGTCTGTGTAAGGTAGTATCAAGGCACCCGTTAGGTCTATAAGAGGTCATATCTGCCCCTGGATAGAAATGGGGTATCACACTTGTACCTCACTTCAGAGTTCCAACTCGCGAGGGGACAGGGTAAATGATTTCACACAAATATACACATACACCCTGTGTTTATAAGATTCTACGCGAGAATAATCATCTTGTGTATACGGGTAGCCATAGACTACAAATTGTGAATGTGAATGCGAACGTTGTAAAGCCATACGGAACATATATTCGTGCCAAATCTAGAAAAGTTCTTCCTACAGCATCGCCCCTGCATCCGCTGTCATGCTATTCAGGCGATAGGTGCCCGCTCATCAACCTTGAGTCAACCTGATAGCTATATTCCGAAATTTGCTGGAGAGGAGATGGTGCTGGAGCCCATGCGGTTGGCAGGGCCTGCTGCATATAGAAGACAGGTCTAATTTTCGGGTTTGAAGGCATGCCTCCTGTAACTGTACGACTTTCTTGAGGTGACACAGCCTGTACCATGCTGATAGGATACATTGCGGGGGTAGGACTATAAGAGCCGTTAGTCCTGCTCCTTGAGGGGCTTAGTGCTAGTTCGTCGTGGGTAAGGTATATCATCTGGCTACTGCCATCAAAAGATGATTTGTGCTCGCTCTTGGCATCTTTGTCTTCTTTTTTTTGGACCCCGAGTGCCGCCGTGGGAGTGGGATGAATGCGGGAATCCGGTTCATTTTGATAGCTAGCTTCAGATAAAAGAGCAAGGGTCACTTGGACAGGAGTATTTGTGTCTAGGTCAGGCCCTGTTAGTAAATACTCAACTTGAACGCGTATTTCCTACTTATTTTCCCATCGAGATAGCTTTCCTCCATCCTGCGTACAAAATGTATTTCGTCAAGGATTTGGAGTCGATTTGTGGGAGTAATGTGGCGCCGCACGTCCTGGCAAGCATCGCGTAGCTTCTCTGCGGTAACCCCATGGCTATGTTTGAGCTCACAGAGAATATGAACGAGGAGATTGAGACGGTCTAGGCTTTTGGTAATATCCAACTAAGAATTAGGTGCCAGAAATGTTACGTACCTCGTTTGAGGAGGTGATCGGGCTCTCGGTGTAACACCTCCCTAGGCCACCAGCCCGGCTTAGTCTGCTCCGGGCCGACGTTTTGCCATGCGCCAGAAATGATTTTGCGTCCGTTGTATGGGTAATGAACTTTCTTTCGGGGTTCCACGAGCTCAATGCACGACTTGGCGATCGTTCGACAATTCAACTGCTGGAAGTTCTCGAAGGCTTTCAGATAGTATCGTCGAAGTTGGTCACGGTTGCCGACACGGAGTACAGATTGTCCTGAAGGAGTGGACGGCAAAGATGAGGATTTTGGCCGAGGGGGGTACCGTACTCGTTCGCTTCGTACTGCCCCGTTTCCGCTGGCTACGGTGGGACTGCCACTCGCATGGTATTAAGTCGGCGGGCGTGGGCTGGCGACTATCAATCCATTGGGATGTATTGGCGGACACTGGCCATGCCGAACTAGGTGCCTTGTTGATGTCTTCACGACAGAGTAAGATTCCCGGAGCGCTTTAACAGCCTTATTTGAATATCACTGACTTACCGGCATTGTATGGTACCATCGCTTGGTGGGCCGTCGTCGCAATTTTCATGAAGCGGTTGGTCACGTCAGGCGTGAATATCGTGCTGCCATAGCTAGCAATTGAGGGCGAAGCCTCGACTTGGACTTCACCATTGTGATCGAGATAGATGCTCGCATAGTGTAAGTATGGACATTCGAAACCTGAAACCTGTCCTCGAATCAATGAACCATAGCTGAGATATACCTAATTTCCCTAATCTCTCTATTTTCAGAAGCTGTAATCTGGAGGATTGGAGGAAGGATTACCGTATTAGGTGTGCGCAGCCCTAACATGTTGAGATGCCTGCCACTCAATGTATTTCTCAACTCTCAGATGCAGTTGGTGTACCTTGATGAGGTAGTTGAGCAAGCGAAAAGTACAGAGATGGAGGTTTTGCTCAAAGCTCTGGCTGGTGAGGGGTTAAGTCAAATCAGACATGCAAGGCCATCTGAGTGGTAGGGACTTCTTTTCCGAGAAGACAGGGGGGCAGCGCCACTTACGTATCGGCTGCAGTCCTGGAACCAACGCTCACGAAGCATGGACCAAAGTCCGTGGATAAAGTGTCAGGATGAGGGATTGAGGTACTGGCTAGTATGAAGATTTCCAATAGAGTCAGATAATTGATTGAAGGTTGATGAGAGCGACTGAACGCCCTCAAGAGTCTGTATCATGCCGATGCGGTGTGTTACGACACCATAACTCCTAGTCTATACCGAATACCACACGAATACTAGGGGAATTATCAGGGGAATTATCAGGGGAATTATTAGGGGAATTATTAGGGGAATTGGCGGATGATGAACATCCTATCCCAAAAGGGGTTTAGTGGATTTTAACCACTCCTTCAGTTCGATATAAAGGCTTGAAGACTGCGAGCAGCATCTCTTTTTCAGCATCGTAGAGAACAGCGGAAACTAGATATAGTCCGGACATTTATTGCCGGTAGTAATCCGTTTTGCTGATTTGCAAAACAGCCCCGCTCCGCATCCTAGTGATCATAAATATACTCTGATTAACTCTTTCCCGGCCCAACTGCTAAACTTTTGGCGTAGATCATATATTGCGGTATCAATTGAGGGGCACCTCAAAATTCACCTGGTATGGTACTGAACATGTAACATTGTTGTGTAGTATTATATGAAACGTACGTACAACAGTCCTCGATCCTATCGAGCCAACATATGGAAGTCGTTTGTAGTACAGTATACCAAAGCGATGTTTGTGAAACACCCGGCACTCAACGCTCCACATTTTGGTCTGGCAGTTGATAATCAACCAAATTAAATGCCTCGCCGTAGTCTCGCCCAACTTAACTGAAATGTTTAATGCAATTATTCATTTCTACAACGCAGTTAGCAGAGGATACCAGAGGCTGGTGATAAAGCTTCGAAACCATCTGCAGCCTAACAACACAGGCGGACGAGAATGAAGCATATCGCGGCAATTATCGTACGCATCTACCCCAAATGTTGACAAGTTTATACAGATGGCGGTTGCGCATTGTAGGTCTTGATGACGTGTCAAAGAGCACCCAACAAACGTGCTGCTGAGCTCTGTAATTTGCTTCTGCATGACGCGCACAGCGAAAATTTACTCACCGCCCCTGCCTTCCCCGCCCCTCAGGGGGGGCTGACTGTTTACCCCGGAGTTAGTATCCGTGCTCAATAACTTTTCTCCGGATGGAGGTTGGAGATCCACGGCCACTATTAACCATGTTCCCCCCCTTATATTTCTAACTTCTCAAGATGTCTGCCCGCAAAGAAGAGATGGCAACCAAACTCCCCATCCCACGCCTGCAACACCAAAGACGTGACAGTGGCAGGCGACGTACGAGTCGCGCTTGCGACTCTTGCAGAGAACGCAAAACCAAATGCGATGGCAACAAGCCCGTCTGCTCTCAGTGTCGTTCCATAAGCCGAACCAACTGTCTCTATTCAGAGGCAAAATTCGTCCGACGACAAAAAGAACTCGAATCGGCGCGAAGAAAGGTCGAGCGCTACGAGGAACTGCTTCGTAGTATTTCCACAGATCTCGAAGGGCCTATCGCAAACCGCGTCACAAATGCTCTCAAGGTGCGTTCAGCATCCAAGATTATATCTTGCTAATGTTATCAGCAAATTAATGAAATGTAACAGGACCTGCCTACCAGAAACCCAGCCCGCCAAAGGAAAACGTCTAGTGCCTCTTCCACATCGCCAGGTTCCCTAGAGGGGAATGAAGCCGTTACCGAAGATCTAAATCGAGATGAAAAAAGTCGAGCGACTGGGTATATCGGAAAAACGTCCGAAATTGTGTGGATGCAGCGCTTGGAGTCTGAGGCTATGAGTCAAGATACCGACAACTTTCTGTCCGAGACAGAAGCCACACAGGCTTCTGTCCGGCGATTCGGTCGCATATGTCAATTATCATCTTGATCATATGAGTCTACCCGATTTAGAAGAGACGAATGCTTTCGTCCTACCCCCGAAAAGGCTAGTAGATCGATTATTTCAAGTCTATCTGCAGAACGTACAAACTTCCTTGCCGTTCATTCGACCGCAGCTAGTTCGTGAACAATATAATCGCTGTTACGCGACCACTCAAAACCCCGGCAGGAAATGGTTGACCATCTTCAATCTTATTCTCGCCATTGGTTCCGTCTTTTCTCGGCTATCGCGGCAGGACATACAGCCTAATGGCGATGAGAACCTATTTTTTTCGCGAGCTATATCGCTCAACGTTCCGAAAAGTATTCTTCATAATCACGATGATTTGCAACAAGTACAAGCCGAAGCGTTGATGTCATTCTACCTGCTGATTGTCTCGCAGGTAAATAGGTATGTCTATGTCAGAGCAAGTCTTAAAAAGCTGCTCGTCCAGCTGGTGTTTCCCCTAGTTAGTTAAGTTTGTTAATTATCTCCTAGGTCATGGAAGATGATCGGCATTGCTGCACGGTCCGGCATCAATTTTGGCCTGAATCTCCAGAAAAAGGATGCTGGACTCGACTTGAAGTCAGATGAAGCCCGAAATCAGCTATGGTGGTCAATTTTCCGATTAGAACATCTTCTGTCTGTCATGACTGGGAGAGTTTCTTGCCTGGGGGATTCTTCTAGCTCTGCGCCTCCGCCACTAGCCTTTGAAAATCTGGCTCATCCAGGGCAAGTTACCCATGAGCCAGCCAGCTCGCCATCAACTCCGATCAGTACCATAAAATGGTCTCTACACCTTGATCGAGAGCAGATAGAATCTCAAAGTACTTTGTTGAAGACTTTTTCGCCGAGTCCATCTCTTTACTTTTTCTATGCGGTAGATCTATCCCTGGTCGCTCATGCTATCTGTAATGGAATATATGCATACAACAGCCCTCGGATAAGGTGGAGCCAGATCGAAAGTCGCATTGCTCTCTACGGCAAGAAGATGGATGATTGGTTGTTGAGCTTACACCCTTCCTTCTGCTTTGAAGACATCCACAGTGATCAATCACAAGGGAGCAAATCAGCCTTTCAGGTTTCTCTAGCCTTGAATTATCATAGTGCCCGGATCATACTCAATCGACCCTGCCTTAAACGCCGCAGAAGTGGAAGCAAGAGTAGCACGGAGCGTACTCGTTCACGGCACAATAATATTTCTGCCGTAGCCTGTCTCCAAGCTTCCCTGAGTATTATGAGACTGCTGCCAGACCGGACAGATCTCGCTTGGTGCTATAAACTCCTACAGTGGTGGGATTTCCTACACGTTCTCATCCAGGCTACTGTGATCCTACTTCTCGATTTGACAATTAGCCCGGCGGCAACGAGGCCAGAGGAGGCTCCAGTGCTTACTGTGTCAACTACAGACGTTTTGAACGGAGCGAAAAAGGGGCTTTTATGGTTGTATTGCTTAGGAAGCACATCGGAGGCAGCTCGACGGTCTTTCAGGTTTTGCAATGCCTGCCTTTGCCGTATAGCCACAACTCAAGACCTCGATTTGAGCGGCATTCCATTACCGGGTACATCTTCCTCGGCTTCTGGGAGTTCTCAAGATGGAAAGGAGACGGTACCTCACCAAGAAATGGTAGGTGACCCTGAGTCTCCTCGTTCATCACAAGGTGAAAGAAGCGACGACCTGCAATTTCAGGATCTAAAGGATGTGCAACCTATGGCTAGCCTACAAGATCCTTTCGCGTCTGATGTCGATATGTCGGATTTCATTTCGTTTCCGGCCGACGAAGAGGTCGAAGACATGTTGCTAGCCATGATGGGATTTAATGCATAGATTTATCTCGCTTTAACAAGTAAAGGAATTTATAGAGTTCTTTTACAATTTATCGGATTGTGTTGGAATGGTTGAGTGTATTCCGAAAGCGCTGGGATATCTTTGTTCCATGATTCGGACAACGAGGCTCTGATTTTTAGTTCTAGGGTGTATGTGACAAATGCCCTCCTGAGAGATGGCTTCATAATGCCTACATACTGATCAAGCCAAGTAAATACCACTTGTGTGTGATACGCCTGCTACCACTGCGGCGTCTGCGAAACCATGTTGATGTAAGAACTAAGCATCCTGTTATTGCTGTCCACTAATACATATACTTGCTAGCATATCCGAGCTATACACACCTCTCCAAGGAAATGTGCGTTTAACAATTTGGCTTTTGGATTAGATATGCTTCATTAGTTGCCTTCGTTAAGGTTTCTCCTTTTTAATTAGGTTTCCCTTGGCTATCATGCGTGCAAAGGCTTTCTGCATCACGCTTCTACAGCTATTGTATCAGAACTCCAAACTGCCTTGCTTGAGTACCAGAAAACCGGACATCACTAATCCAAATGGCCACGATACATAGCTTCTGGGATAGACAGTTCTTTTAGCGTTCCTGATCTAGTCAACATATTCTTCATGATCACGGGCATATTTTGGATTTATTCCGCTACTTTCGTTGCGGTAAGACTTCAAGCTTACCGGAAAATTGCGCATCATGTACCTACCTATCATAAGTGATTTTCTATACAATATGAACTTGAGCCATTAAGGATCAAATGAAACACACGCTAGGCCTTAACTCAAAGAGAGACCATGTTGCTAGACCGTCTTTCGTAAAATAGGATAACAGAAAATGATAGCTATTGATTCTACCCGATAACGCCAGGTATCTCTCCAGAGGTCTATTCAAGTGTAGCCGGACGGTGCATAACTGTAGCTCATTCAATGACGTCGCACAAAAAGCGACGAGCAGTTCCAATTTGAATTCCTCGCTAGACGAAGAAGCCAGCATCAGGGTGGTCGAGGATTAATCCAAGACTTAGGCGATTTTCCAGAGTTACCTGACATATTTTTCAAAAATCGGCTTTTTAATCTTTCGTCATTGGTGTGTGATATCAGCCAATTGCAGTATTCCCCCACAGCTTGCTCTCAAAATCCAGGAATCACAAGATTTTCAGGGGAAACTTGGTTGGAAGGTAACAAAGCGGCCGTCGAATAATGCGCAGCTGGTGCTGGGAGAACATTGATGCTAACCGGAAGATATGACAATCCAGTGGTTACATCGCTACCCTTTTTATGTTTCTTTTTTATCTGACTTTCTAAAATGAGTATGTGCGGATGACGGGTCGCCTAAAGCAGAGCTAGAATAACAGTGGAAATCATCGCGGAAATCTTACTGACGGGCCCCGGTCATTAGATTTACCTAAATTGGCATCAAGAACACCAGGCTCTCAGCTGTGTAACTATTGCGAAAAGCGAAGAGAAGTGAAGAGAAGTTGAGGACAGATTGCAGAACCCAAGTTTGCTCTATCTGCATCGAAGATTCCAGTCTGCCCAGCCCCTCAATTCTAGACTCGTGTAACTTTCATACAGGTATCAAGCAAAGGCTCGGTATTGTTACGATATAATTACAGAGCGGTATCTTTATACAGTAATATTATTCAGCTTACCTGATCATGTGATTAGGGTTAGAAAGAGCATCTCATATACATCCGTCATGGAAGGCAATAACGGACGGCACTGTATCTCAATTATGGAATGCATGAAGTAATAGTATTGCTGAAAATAAAAGGTAGGAAATTGGTTTTTGTACATGCTCTTTTCATCATTAAAAGAAAGACGACAGTGATCATTTGCAGGCACCAATTAGGTGCGGCAACGGTGAAAGTTACAGCATATTTGCAAATCCTGCTCAAATATGCCACGATATTTGGTCAGGAATCAACGTAAAGATTATATATTTGCGGGTTGTCAAATTTAAGCGTTGAATCTCAACACAAGAGGCTGTGTATTGCGCACCTAACTCGCTCTAGGATCAGCAATTACCCCCGAAAGCAAGCACGTTCATGTTATTAACCCACTACTGCATGAATACGTTTTTATCTGCTGTGTTCAGAAACGAAGTATGATGTGAACTGTTGAGGTACGTGCAAAACCACCTCAATAATGAGACCGCGATGAATCTGCGACCGCTGTGAAGTGATCCTTTTTTGCGCTCGTTAAGACCTGTCATGAATGTTCAAGAGCAGGTGTAAAATATAAAAAAAAACATAGCTGCGGGCCTTGGCGAGCTGCTGTTGAACGACATATTATTTTCGTACTCATTTTTAGCCAAAGTACTCGCCCACCCCTTCTTGAGTTGATGGCGTCTCGTCCAACGTGGAAACGGTAGAATGTGGAGCTTCTTCGGAATAAAGTCCACCCGGTGTCAACAGCTTGTCAACATCGGTGAAAGTAAACACCTCACTAATGCTCATGTTTCACCGCAGCACTTTTCTGAGTGATTTTTCTTTTGCTACAGTAAGTTAGGTGTATTTGACAGCGCTCGAATTAGCGCGATCAGTCGCCAAAGCCAGACAAAAGGAGTAAGCCGGTCTGGGCCTATCTGTTGGCCATATTTCAGGTGCGCAGGGCATAGGTAGCGGCATTCGGATGAGCTTTTCTGGCGATTAAGGCCGGTGTACTAAGTAAGCTTCTGACGCCATACACATACACTCTTTCGGGAATTCCTCGGCCCGGTGCGTAATCGCCGATGCGGCCCCATGGCCTGCGGCCTGCGCATTGCAGGAAGATCACGTGACAAGATGGCGTGAATGAAGTATTTGGAATAAAAAACTTTAATTGTTATATCACATTCTGTTTCTGAAAATGTCAAGACCCCGCGATTATCCGCGCCTGGGCTTAGCTGGTTATCTTGTAAGAAACCTGCTGAGCTAGTGTGAGACTGTAATTTCTATAATAAGACCCGGCTAAATCATGGGATCGCCCCGGTACGTACCATACGAGGCGAGAACACCATCGATCTGCGATGGCTCGCATCGGCACGAGGGGAAGAAAAAGAGCTAAATTCTGCATGGATCCAGGCCGATTGACTCTGACGGTCATTCCCGGTCCAGCTGTGGCTGGCGGGGGAAATTGGTCAGGCGATAGCGTCGCTTTTCACAGGAGAGTCGACCCTTGTCCCGCGTCCTTCCCCGCCCCTTGCCGGGGTCCGGCGCTCACTCGCAAGCTTTTGCGTTCACCTGCAAGGCCCATTCCATCTACCCCGCACATCATCATAGCTTCGAATTCCGCTTTCATGCATCATTCGGAGGTTTGAACCCTGGTCCTCGAGTGATGAGATTGAACCAGGGCTTGGTCTAGACCTTGCATAGAACTTCCAAAGCTGTGTCTGGAATCTTCGCTTCTGTTTCCTTTCTTACCCCTCGCCAACCCATGGGGGCCACGTTCCAATCCCTGTCATACGCTGGACTGGGCGCGAGAGATCGTTAGGGTTGGACATTATGGACATCATATACTGTATCAAGCCGCTTCTGGTAGCTCTTGCTGACTACTCTCTTAGGAATGAAATTCAGGACGTAAATTGATACGTTTATCCTCTCGTCTGATCCATTACTGACAAGCCTTGTCCTTTGTGGCCTCCGGCGCAATGGTTGAAACGTCCGATTTAGGTCTTTTTAGCGATTCCGAAACATTGCGGCGTACCCTACCAGCGCGTTTTCGCCACCCAACATTTAAGTCCCTGCTCTCATTCGCGCACGAGACGAACATTCAATCTATTGCCGTCCGCTTGTGGTATAGTGCTAAGAGTCGGAGAAGATGATCAACATGTGGCGTTCTCCGTAAAGTCTCGAATACAGACTTTTCTCAAAGTACGAGCATTCGGGGTCAATTGAAATCCCGAAACGAGACATTGGCACTGTCCTGGAGCACTGAAAATTAGTCGTTAATCTAAGTAAGTACCAGAGTTATGTAACAAGACTCTATCCGCAGATAATTAGATAGACGATCCGACTTTCTTTTATATAGAGGCTTCGCTTGCTAGTACTGTGCTGCACTGAACTTAATCCATAACTATTCAATTCCGATTCTGCATTTTCTGTCAAGCACTACATCACTTGTCTTAAATTGGAATAGTAAGCACTCTAGTTCTCTGGGCGAACTTTCCTAATAGAAAATATAAGTGAGAGTCTGAAACCTTTTAGGCACTCTGGATTTACCTTTTTTAGTAATATATAATCTAGATTTCGTATTATTTATTTTTATTTTCAAGTATTAGAATTGCAAAAAAGACGTTTTGATTAAGTAGAACTTGGGCCTGAACCTTGGCTCGCTCTAGACCTGAAAATGGCGAAACCAACGTTGAACGGCTAATTCACTAAGAGAAAGTATACGCTGATCAGGAATGGAAATCAGTGAGTGTTGCTGAGTCATTAGGAGAAATAATACGCCAATCAGGAGTTGAAATTAATGTCGTGATAAATAGTGCAGCTGAGATCTGAAAATTATGAGATCAGTGTTGAACGACTGACTCGCTAGGAGAATTACTGCGCCAGTCAGGAGTGGGAATCAGTGTTGGTGATGAGCTGTGCAGATGTGGGTACCGGGCGACTCAGACATGAAAATCGCCCCGGCTCGCGCCACTACTTTCCTGATCCGACCTAACCGCAGCATCGGCATGATGGGCCGTGACCGGGCTTCGCAGCTAATTAGCAAGCAGCCTTGTGCTTTTGCGCTTGTTTTGTTTCCCGATGAAAGCACCACGTGTAGCCTCTCGGTCATCGACGGCGAGATCCGACCGTTGGGCTTTACTTCCGTCGTAAGACCTAGCATGATCTACAACGCCCTATATACTCTATAATCTTGGATTAAGAGGATACCAGCAGTGAACCTCTGGTAAAAAGTAGACAAAATCGTTACTTGGTTCTTGCACCTAAGTTGGCTGCACGGGGAAGTATTATTCAATCAGTATTTTTATGCTTTCTTATTCGCTAGTTACCAAATTTGTCTCCGCCGCCTTGCCGACTTTTGCTACGGGTCAGCTGACCCATAGTGCTTTCTTCTCCAGCCAATGACTTCCTACTCCCATAACAACTACTCTCTTCCCATCTACGTGCAGCATATACAATACTGTAACCCCCATCCCGGTGACATGAAATGCCCTATGTGGTGAAACGCCCGCCAGGTACCTGCACATGAGAGCAACATCACTCATGATCCACATGTTGCTTCCTGTCTGAAAACAATGGAAGCAACAGTTTTTGACCTTTTGTATCACGGTTCTCTTGAAGCAAAGGAAATGATTTGTTCAGGTGCTAAATTACAGGAAGTCATGTACTACTAAGAAATCCGCTGTCAACTACTTTGACGCCAAGATCTGCCAACCAAGGCTTCAGAGATGAGTAGGAAAAACAGTATTGTATGATATGACCTTCCTAGTCGCGGTCGTTATTTTTCATGCCATCAGAATGATGTGAGCTACGACAATGTTAATCTGAGTGAAATTCTTGGCAGCGGGGAGGTACAAAAATTCCCAATTTGGGTTAGGGGAATACACGGAAAGATAACGATGTTTGTAACTAAGGGTATGAAAATTACAACCGTCGCTCAACATGACAGCCGCCCTACAGCCCCGTCTGTAAGTATTACGGATTGTTACCTTTCTATTCCTGGACCAAGGATCAGGTGACTACCATGACCGTCCATGAGAAAACATTGTGCGTGGCAAGACATTGTGCGTGGCTAGACATTGTGCGTGGCTAGACATTGTGCGTGGCAGGATTAAGATTGCGACATTCACATATTATCTTGGCTGTTGACTGTAAGCACTCAGTTGTAATCCTCAGCTATGAATCCAAAGATCAGGACGCGCCCAGACTGGCAGCCAAGCACCAAGACCAACCCAGACTGGCCTACAGCCGAACATCTTGGGCGATACATGGGAGGCAGCCATAGCCAGTTTTGTGAACACCGTGTGATCCAGGACCGATCGGAACTGATACGGTATCCTAAGTGCTCAGGGGGTTGCGACTGTTGAGTGGCCGGCAGTGACTGGGATTCTGAAGGGAGAAGCTCTTTCGAAGTGGTAGGGGCAGGTGTCAGCGAGTCGCGAAGGGCGACAATTCCAATGTCAGTGTGAAGAGAAGAGCCGGTGGCGTCGAAAGAAAGATTGCTCACAGGATATTTCATACCGTGGGTCTGCAGGCAGGCACCGGTATGCGCATCCCAGATCTTGATCGTGCTGTCGCCCGACCCGGACGCAACGCGGCTGCTGTCGTGGGAGAACACCACTGAGTAGACTGTCTCATCATGGCCCTCCAGCGTCTGCAGGCAGGCGCCGGTATGCGCATCCCAGATCTTGATCGTGCTGTCGCCTGACCCGGACGCAACGCGGCTGCTGTCGTGGGAGAACACCACTGAGTAGACTGTCTCATCATGGCCCTCCAGCGTCTGCAGGCAGGCGCCGGTATGCGCATCCCAGATCTTGATCGTTCTGTCGCTCGACCCAGACGCGACGCGGCTGCTGTCGTGGGAGTACACCACTGAGTTGACTGCCCCATCATGGCCCTCCAGCGTCTGCAGACAGGCGCCGGTCTGCGTATCCCAGATCTTGATCGTCCAGTCCCAAGACCCGGACGCGACGTAGCTGCTGTCGTGGGAGAACACCACTGATTTGACCAAGCCGTCATGGCCCTCCAGCGTCTGCAGGCAGGCGCCGGTATGCGCATCCCAGATCTTGATTGTCTTGTCCCTCGACCCGGACGCGACGCGGCTGCTGTCGTGGGAGAACATCACTGAGTAGACTGTCTCATCATGGCCCTCCAGTGTCTGCAGGCAGGCGCCGGTATGCGCATCCCAGATCTTGATCGTGCTGTCGCTCGACCCAGACGCGACGCGGCTGCTGTCGTGGGAGAACACCACTGAGTAGACTGTCTCATCATGGCCCTCCAGCGTCTGCAGGCAGGCGCCGGTATGCGCATCCCAGATCTTGATCGTGCTGTCGCCTGACCCGGACGCAACGCGGCTGCTGTCGTGGGAGAACACCACTGAGTAGACTGCCCCATCATGGCCCTCCAGCGTCTGCAGGCAGGCGCCGGTCTGCGCATCCCAGATCTTGATTGTCTTGTCGTCCGACCCGGACGCGACGCGGCTGCTGTCGTCGGAGAACACCACTGAGTGGACCCAGCCTGTCCCATCATAGCCCTCCAGCGTCTGCAGGCAGGCGCCGGTATGCGCATCCCAGATCTTGATCGTGCTGTCACCCGACCCGGATGCGACGCAGCTGCTGTCGTGGGAGAACACCACTGAGTTGACTGCCCCATCATGGCCCTCCAGCGTCTGCAGGCAGGCGCCGGTCTGCGCATCCCAGATCTTGATCGTCCAGTCCCAAGACCCGGACGCGACGCGGCTGCTGTCGTGGGAGAACACCACTGATCTGACCAAGCCGTCATGGCCCTCCAGCGTCTGCAGGCAGGCGCCGGTATGCGTATCCCAGATCTTGATTGTCTTGTCGTCCGACCCGGACGCGACGCGGCTGCTGTCGTGGGAGAACACCACTGAGTGGACCCAGCCATCATGGCTCTCCAGCGTCTGCAGGCAGGCGCCGGTATGCGCATCCCAGTCATCTCCCATCGCCGGCGCCATCGCGATATTCTTGGGCCTCTCGTGCCGGAACAGCTGCTGGATCGTACTCCGCGGTGGGCTGAATACCAGGGCCGAAACGTACGCCTGGAGGGGGCTGTTCTCGATTGCTGCTCGGTGGTACAAGATGAACCGGTACGCATCCTGGACCAGACCACTCATTCTGGATACTCCTGGTCTTCCCTTTAGCGGTATTAGAACTGTATGAAGCGCAATAAATGACCACATACCCGTAGCAGACTACCAAGTTTCTCTATCGACAGGACTCCACTAGTTACGCTTCGAAGGAGACTCAGTGCCTCGAGCCAGCAGAGACATCGGGTTCGGAGGAATGTGTCGACGGGGCCAGCGTCCTGAAGTTCTTCGTATGATCCAGATTGTTCGAGATGGTCCACCCAGTAGACACATGAATAACGCGCTGCTGCGAGTGGATCTGGCTCAGGCTGCTTGACCTCGGTGATATGAGTACCGAGGGCGCCGAGGCAGTATGCATCACGCTTCGATAACGTCTTGTTCATGATCTGCAGTGATTGCGTGAATATACGGTAGTGGGCCGCCGCATGGCCGGAGGGAAGTATGCTCAACACGGTTTTTTCGATCAGATAGTCCTTCGCGGACTGATGCACAAAGTAGATTGTCTTGTCGCGAACCGTGAGGAAAGAGCCGCTCTTCTTGACGATCTTCTCCATATTCTTGGCGTTGCCGGCGATCACTTCGGGAAGTCCGGACACAGCTCCCAGCTCCAGCAGCTGAAGCGGCCGGTAGGCTAGGGTGGTCGCCGAGAGAACCAGCTGACAGTACTCTCGGCTTCGAGGCTCCAGTTGTTCGATCTGGTCGATAATCCGCGCATACAGATCATCCAGCCCAGTTGGTACATCATCGACCACCTGCCTCACATCCCAGCTATCGGCATCCTGGAGCTCCTGAGCGACGAGAGCCACCCAGAGGAACGTTCCCTCGGCTTTCTCGTGGAGGACTTGTCGAACATATTCCCGGTCCGGGTTGTCCCGGAGAGATTCGGTGTTCGATATTCGGTCGGAAATATAAGCACTGATCGCCCCGGACACGAGATCTGCGTTCTCCTGCAGTTCCAGACTCAGTATTGATTGCGAGTCCACCAGCCGTGTGCGCTGTTCGACATGGTTTCGGCTGGAAATGATCCATTTGACGTGCGGGAGATCTTTCGTCTCTTGGAGAATCAATTTCAAGAGCTTGTCTTGGTCCTGCACGCATTCGTCGAGAGCGTCAACCAGGATGTATGTCTTGTCTAGGCTCAAATCGCGCAAAATATCCAAGAACATATTGCACAATGCAGCCCACGCTTCCGCATCCCCAAATCGCTGCTCCCCGGTGCCCTTGAATTGTTTCCGTACATAGGATAGAAGCGTCGGCTGCGTGTCCACAAGCATATAGATCAACCCACGCAGGGCAGCATGAGCGTTACTCAGCTTGGGGACGGTGGCTTGGCAGAAAAAGAACGATATGAGGGTCTTCGCTTGGTGATCCGCCAGTTTCGTGGTAGCGCGGAGCTCGTCGATGATGCCACAGAGCAGCATCGTCTTGCCTTTGCCAGGGTCGCCCTTGATCCAAAGGACCTGGCTATCGTCGTTGTCGCGCCAACATTGAAACTTAGGATGGCGGAGGATCCATTGGTAGGACTCCTTGAGGGCGGCCCCCCCTTGTCTGGTGGATGGTCGTCTTGATGTTACGTGGGTCGGTCTCGGCGAGGTAGTCGAGGCAGCGATCCCTGCTTTGTCTATCTTGGTCTTGGGCTACCCACGTCAGATTTGGGACTTTCGAGGCGCCGGTTTGGATTCAGACGTACCTTCGACATACATGTTGAACGTCCTTGGATGGTAACATGTCAGTTTTGCCTCTAGATGTCGATTAATGCTCAATTCGTGCTTACGAGTCTTTAATATTCCCTTGAGCCTGGAAATTTCCCCGATCGTTATCAAAACGTTGACTCTCCATTCTGGAGACCGAATCAAACAATGATTAATCGACCGGCCCTACAACAAGATGAGCGTTTCCGCCAACCGCGCTGCGACGAGGCGGAGCCAGCAGACAATTTCGGGAGGAGAAAAAGATATCGAGCCGTCGCTGAGACCGATTCAAGAACTCTTCCCTTCTGCCGTGCATTTCATTCAAAGGCGGGGTCATCAAGCTGAAAGCCATGCAGATATTGGCCCGTTGCTTGGAAGTCGCTCACTACTGCCGCCCGCCCGTGCCTTCGGGCAATCGGATTGGAAGCAGCAGGCGCTTATGCAGCGTGATGTATCGCAACGCATCGCATCACATCTCACTAGCATGTTATTCCTCGCTGTTGCAGATCACTCGGTCCTATAGGGCAGCTCTCTGAGTGGGGGTGGCAATGCCCCTTTCTCTGACGAGCGCGTCGCATGGAACATCTTCCAGCCGCAAGTAATGCATCGCTCCTGCACTGCTGGCGCTCCGGCTTCTACTTGGTCACACATAGCTGGACCTCTTCAAATGCGGGTCTTTGTTGAGTTTGTCTCTTTTTTCTCGCCCACAGGAACCCGTCCGCGGGTTTGCGCCTTCATGTCCCTATGCGTGGGTTTTTGACTCGTCCTGGGTTGCCCAAAATATTCAAAAATGATGCTAATCTAATCGCGGACAAAGCTGATAGTCACCTAGTCATTCATAGAACATGAATTGAGGCTGTATCTTGGGCATCTGATAGGGTAACCTCAAGCTCCCAGGTATCAAAGTCCTCATTACCTGGGAGCTTGTATCTTCCCTACTCGCCGTAGTGCAATGGCCTTAACCAGGCGCTGTAATTCAGACTAACCTTGCTTGGCCTAGCTGAAGGCTAGCCTCTTCGGGATTAATGCCACGTGAGAAATTAACTTACGTGATCCCACATCCAGGGTGGAACGAAAAACTTTCTGTTCCTCGGGGGATCGCGTAGACCCTGAACTCCACGTGACCATTGACTCACACCAAGGCAGAATGCGGGGTTCTACCAAAGTTAACCGTTTAACTTGAACCTGGTGAGAACTGCCAAACGGTAGAAGATTGCAGGCTCGATAGTGTAGTTCAAATGTGGTTGAACGTCAAAAATTGAACTCTTTTTCACAACAAAACCGCCCTATCAACTTTGCTCAGCATTGTTTACTTCTGCTTAGCCCACCGTGTTCAAATGTTTTTGGTGTTCAACGGTCAAAAAACTCGCTGTGTGACTAAGTTAAGTTACTCTGGCGTTTACCGGGCTGTCGTTGAAAGAATAAAGTATTGAGTTTAAAATTCATATTTCTTATTTTTTATGATAATTGAACAGTACATGTACGAACAGATGCACTTACGAAAAAAAATATGCTCAAATCGAATGGTTCAACTCCTCTTTGGCAGCTCAACGGTCGATTTGAGCTAATTAATTTGGTGAAATGAAATTACATTGCCAAAAGCCCCGCAAAGATCAAGCATGACTGTTACACCCGCAGCAATAATTTGATGCTGGCAAAAACGTCAACAGTTATCACGTCGTCTTTCAGCATATTTTCGACCGCGTTGACATTGCGGCGAAGCTTTGCATAGACATTCAATGGCTTTTGGTATCCTCAGAATTGTAGTGGAATCATTTGGTCTGGCTGGTGGAATTTGATTTCAAAAAATCTCAAATCCAAGTGCAACCAATAAAGAATATATAACGCGTCTTGGAATTCACAACATGCTATTCACCTATAGTATTCTACAGTGTTCAAACCCATTCACCCTTCACGGCTGGTTTTTTTTACAAGTAGAATATGCTAGTCAAAAAATGGACTAAAAAGGACCGCAATGTCTCCAGCCCATCAACCTCTGGCGCGTACATCCTACGCAATTCGGTCGAGATCGACCGGGATCACCGCGTCCACCTTGTGGCGGCGGGCCAATGACAAGCCTTCTCTCGCCGACAAAGCCGCCAATCAGCAGTATCTCACCCCGCGAGAGGAACAGGCCCTCGCTGAATATGTATTGCGGCTGGCAGACAACGGCTATCCTCTTCCGGTTAAGTTTCTCAGATCACTCGCCCTGATTATCGTGCGCCAACGGTCTTCCGTTTTTCAGACTACAGTCCCAAGCCTCAAGATCCCACCTCCGGGAAAGAGCTGGCCGCAGGGCTTCTATCGACGACATCCACAGTTAAAAGCGCGACGGTTGCGAGCGATCGATTGGAAGCGAGATGACCGGCAGATTGAAGACAAAGTTCGACACTGGTTTGCCATTATTGGCCGAGAGCTGGCCGATCCGGCCATTCTCCCGGAGAATGTGTATAATATGGACGAGACAGGAGTGCTTCTCAGCGTTCTGAACTCCCTCAAAGTGCTCGTCGGCAGGGATGATTTGAGAAAGCATCGAGGGACCACGGTGAAGCGCACGCTAGTCACGGCGATTGAATGCATTTCCGCCGATGGCCGGTCCCTGCACCCTCTCATCATCTGGCCGGCGGCCACCCATCGTAGTTCCTGGACCACTCACGCTACCCCCGGATGGCATTATGCCTGCTCCAAAACAGGCTATACAAACACAGAAATCAGTTTGTACTGGATGAAGCATGTGTTCGATCCACAGACGCGAGACCGAGCCGGCGGTCGGCCACGACTGTTGATCTGCGATGGTTTCGGCACCCATGAGTCTCTGGAAGTCTTGAAGTTCTGCTTTGCTAACCGCATCATTCTATGTCGTCTCCCTTCTCATACGTCGCACAAACTGCAGCCGTGCGATGTGGGTGTCTTCAGTCTTCTGAAGACGGCATACCGGGCACAGGTTGAGCAGGCATGTCGGGCGGGGGTAAATACCATCGGCAAGCCACACTTCACTTATCTTTATGATCGCGCCCGCGCAGAAGCATTTACACTCCGCAATATACGATCTACCTGGTCTAGAAGCGGTCTCTTTCCATTCGACCCGTCTCGCGTCCTCAAAGATGTCCAAGTGTCGCGGCCCGAGGTACAGGCCACCCCTGTGGAGCATCCGACCGTGCCCTTCAATCTCCATCACACTCCGAACACCTCTGATCATTTCGCCTTGCTTTGCAGAGAGGTGGAGCAAAACACCTCTGATCTAGACACTGGATGCAAACAACGTCTTCAAACATTAACCCACGCGGCCGAAAAGGTCTTCGCCGAGCGCGCCTTATTGCTGGAGGAGAACCGGATCCTATTTGAGCAGAACAATGAAAAGTCTTCTCGACAATCCAGCGGCCAAACAGTCATCGGACATGCTAAAGTGATGAGCTACGACGATATCGTTGAGGCGCAAAAGAAACGTGATCTGGCGGTGGCGAAACCAGGCTCTACCCAGAAAAGGAGGTCGAAAGCCAGGGACAAACTGCCTTCAAAAATGGAGGAAAAGTGCAGGGCTGAGCAGGAAATTCGAACATGGGATATGAATGACTATTGTTCGGTCTTAGATTTATAGAGTCATCTGACAGTTTAGAACAATCTAAACTTGCTGTTTCTCTATCTATTGACCATGCAGAAGTGCCTCGATATTTTATCGGCCAGCGACTTGATTTTATATATTTCTTCCTCCACTTGCCACAATCTCCTGATGAGGCCTCAAATATAAGCGTACATACTAGTTGTAGATACACAGGGCTCTTGTGATTCTTCATAGGTCGTTCCACAAAACTTAGCTTTACGTCTTCGATATTAGGCTGTATATGAAGATATCTTCGCTAAGGCCGGTCGGCCAGCGTGGCGTTCCCGGCCTCCCTTGAACCTGGGCTATCATGTATTGGCTACCAAACCGCTGACTAATTTGGGTGAGACGTTTTCATCATATAACGTTACTTAAGACTGGGGTTCGAATGCCAATCGGCCGGTACCTTTCCTCTCCGCACTTGATGAATCACATTGGGTACGGCCAAAGCTTATTGACCGCCTTGACGACATTTGAAGAGAGGCAATACTACCGATAATTCTAGTCACCTGCCAGCAGCTATACACCTTTCCCCTAAAATTTTTACTTACATAGTAGCCAGCATGAATTTTTCTGTATGGTAATGATTTGACCATGAGGACTGTCGAGGCGCTTTCAGCTTAGCCCTATGCCTATTTCCAGTCCAGCAAGACTAAGGTTAGGCCTAAGTGGAGATAAGGTTTCTAGTATTAATTAAAGAAAGAAAGCAATCCGTAGGCGTAAACGTCGGATTGTCTTCAATCCATATCTGCAACCCATAGACTAGTCGGAGCTGCGGCCAACTGGTCAACGTAACGTTATCTTTTCTAGCTTGCATCAGATCCGACCGTCATTACATAGTGACCTTGCTGATCTTGACCTATTTTCTGGACTTGAGACTGCGTGGTGTTGAAGGTCATGTTTTCATTCTGCTTGTATTAATAACAAGATTGAAGACAGGAGAGTGAGATCGACCTCCACTTACACTTTGGTCCAATATATCCTTGACAGCCGTGTTCATCACTAGATCCCGCTCCGATGCAGAGCGTAATTCCTTCATGACTTTGAGAAGCTTATCCATTTCCTCCTTGCCCGCCTCTTCTTCATCGCTCGCAGACGGAGCGTAAATTTGGTATAGTGCATCAATGTGGTCGTTGATATCCTTGACCAGCTTCTCGAGATGCTTTTCATCGTAAACAGCGAACTTGAGGAGTCGAGGGACTGACATATTGTTTCTGCGCTCATGGACGATTTTCTGCATTGTCTCGTGAAGGTAATGTTGCATAGCGCTCCACTTAAAGCCATTCTGGCCGAACGGCTTGATTTCGTTCGCTTTCACTTCTGGGTCATCTTCAGACTTTCCCTTGCGTTCGCGGTGACAGATTTTCCTGGATTCCTCGAAGAGAGTCACTAAGATCTGAAATGTCCGAATAGCCTGATTCTCTTGTTCCTCATCGAGCCGGAACGAGCCCGAGCTTTTTAGCGACTCCTCGTCTTCAATATCTGAGCCTGTCAGACCGACAGCCCCGCCCCAGCGTGTTAGTCTCAGCTGCGCGCTGCCAAGCTTCACGATCAGGGACTGTAGTCGCGGGGCCGCCTTTCTGGCAACGTAGATGTAGTCAAACCAGGCAATGGTCGTGGTAAAAAGACCGGCCAGCCCAGATGCCGTACCAATAACTTCAGCGCCCGTCATCTCGGTAGAGGTGCGCGTGTCAGTGTGTGGATGTATAAACTGGTTGATGATGACAGGATTAGGGGCGCTCGAAATAGATTTTTGCGTATAATGCTTGGGGCAATATAGCCTTCCTTGTGCCAAAGAGATCCATCTGGGGTACTTGTCATCTATAAATACTAGATTGTTGTAGGCGCCGAGGTTGCCGGAGTGCCGGAGCTTGCGGCTGAAACGCGGTCTGTGCTATCCCCGCCAGAAAAAGGTCAATCTCACGTCGAGAAGCTGCCCTATGGGAGAGAACGATCTGCAACTGTGGGGACGCAACGTGGCAATACGATGCAGCGCAGTGCCATCTGTCACCCTGCATGAGCGCTGTCCCCCACCTGGTTGCCCGAAGGTAGGGTTGGGCGCAGTGATTGGTGGGCATCGTGCAGGCAACGTCCTGATGTCTGCATGGCTTGCCTCTGGAGCAGCTACAATTTCGGAGCAAGTGAGAGATCCAATGCCCCGTACCATGCAAGACTGCTGGAGTCAGCCCCGCCATCTGCAGTGACTTTTAGCTTGACGGACCCCCTTTTTAGTCAAGTACAAGGCAGGAAGAATCAGTCCTCTAATCGGCCTTATGATGAGTATTTTAATTCTGTCACTCATCGAATTTCTCTGCTGGTAGTGACGCACTACAGTGTGACTGCTAGGTACGCTCAACTCACTTTACAGCGGACCTGGCCAGAGTTAGATGACTTGTTATGTCGATAAGGAGACAACAGTGGGATAACAATGGGGGGAATGTCCAGTTCCAGGGGACCGCAACGAATCCGTACGCCAATATTGATGATTGTATGACTTTGAAGAATATTACTGACACAGCGCCATTGAAGCACCTTTATTCAAAATATCGGGGGTACGTCTGAACATCAAGTTTTCCTCCTGGTGGTACTCTGTCTGATATGAAAACTCGCAAGACCAAGACAGACAAAGCAGGGATCGCTGCCTCGAATACTTCGCAGTGACGGATCCGCGCGACGTCAAGACAAACATCCACCAGACAAGGGGGGGCGGCACTCAAAGAGTCCTATGAATGGATCCTCCGCCATCCTCAGTTCCTGTGTTGGCGACACAGTAACGACAGCCAGGTTCTTTGGGTCAAGGGGGATCCTGGTAAAGGCAAGACGATGCTACTCTGTGGCATCATCGATGAGCTTTGTCCGACCACGAAACTGGCAGATCCTCGAGCTAAAAGCCTCCTATCGTTTTTTTTCTGCCAAGCTACAGTCCCGAAGCTCAGTAATGCCTATGCTGTCCTGCGCGGACTGATCTATATACTCGTGGACACGCAACCGTCTTTGCTATCCCATGTGCAGAAAAGATTTAAGGCTACCGGGGAACCGGGATTCCGAGAAGCGGGAGCATGGACTGTATTGTGCAATATGTTCTTGGATATCCTGCGTGAGTCGAGTCTGGAAACGATCTATGTTGTGGTTGACGCTCTTGACGAATGCGTGCAGGACCAAGACAAGCTCTTGCAATTCATCCTCAAGGAGACGAAAGACTTCCCGCGCGTCAAATGGATTATTTCTAGCCGGAACCACGTTCAGCAGCGTGAAATACTAGTGGAGTCGCAACTCATACTATGCCTAGAACTACAAGATAACGCAGAGTACGTGTCTAGGGCCATCGAGGCCTACATTTGCGACCGGATGTCGACGCTTGAATCCTTACAAGACAACCCAGACCGGGAATATGTTCGACAGGCCCTTGAGAAGAAAGCCGAAGGAACGTTTCTCTGGGTGGCTCTTGTCGTCCAGGAACTCCAGGACGTTGATAGCTGGGATGTGAGGCAGGTGGTTGATGATGTACCAAAAGGATTAGATGATTTGTATGCACGGATGATAAACCATATCAACAAACTCGTAGCGCAAAGCAGGGAATACTGTCAACTGGTCCTCTCAGCTGCCACCCTGGCCTATCGGCCGCTTCAGTTACTAGAGCTAGGGGTGGTGTCTGAACTTCCAGACAAGATCGCCGGAAACGCCAAGAATATCGAGACGATCGTGAAGAGAAGTGGTTCTTTCCTCACAGTTCGCCACAAGACGGTTTATTTTGTGCATCAGTCTGCCAGGGACTTTCTGATCGAAAAGGGCGGGCAGAGCATCTTCTCGGCTGGCCCTGCGGTTGCCCATCGCCGAATGTTCACTCTATCACTGCAGACCATGAACATGGTATTACGGCGCGATATGTACAGCCTCGGGGCCCTAGGTACCCCTATCAACCAGGCCAAGCAGCTCGAGCCAGATCCGCTGATTGCAGTGGGCTACTCATGTGTCTACTGGGTGGACCATCTAGAACAAGCTGGATCACACGATGAGCTACAGGACGATGGCAGTGTCGACACATTCCTCCGAACCCGATATCTCTACTGGCTCGAGGCGCTGAGTCTTTTTCGAAGCGTGACAGATGGAGTCCTGTCGATACAAAAGCTTAGGCGGCTGCTATGGGTATTTGTTCGTCTCTTGCAATGCATACCTTTCTAACATGGCCATAGAAGGGATCAGGAGGACCCCGACTAAGCGATCTGGTCCAAGACGCGTACCGCTTTATTTTATATCACCGAGCAGCAATCGAGAACAGTCCCCTCATGGAACTGGGATGAGCTGGACGGCATGCTTGAGCCAGCTCGTTGGGACCAACGGTTAGTTCGTTTTCGGCTACTCTTTGCTGAAGTAGGACTTAGTGGCATAGACGGCGACATAGTGGGCAAGAAGTGTATATCGTCAGTTAGTATGGCCAGTTGCTGATTTTCTTTGGTAGTGCCGAATATGCGCCCTGTGATGAATATTTGAGTTTGGGTCGCCAATAAAGGAAGTTTTGCCCATCGTGGACCATTTTTAAAGTATGCAGTGATTGGAAATGTGTGTTGGTTTCGGGTGGAACTATTATACACCGTCACTTGTAGGCAGTAGTGAAGTAGTGTTGAACCGTTGTTGAGTTCCCCAGCGTGTTTATTAATCTCGCCTAGGAAGGTTACGGTTGGCTGTGCAGCCTCAGGGCAGTGCATAAAGTATGAATCAGAGTTTTCATGATCCCCGGGATGTCTAGAGCAATTCAGCTTGTAATTTAGAAACTACTGAGTATTACATACCGGTCGACAGTGTGAGCATGGAGAAGGATGTGGAATCCTTCATCTTGTGTGGTGGCTGTCAGGAAAGAGCCCCAGGCATAAATAAAGGTATTTTCGTGATATATATCAGACCGTCCCAGGTCGGAGAAGAAACGGACCATAGTTGGTATGTCTTGTTGCTCTACATCGTCCGACTGAGCGTCTTTGTGGGGAATATTGAGTGAAATGCGAAGCTGTAAAGCTAGTCCCTTTCCAGGTCGTGCTGGATCTTGTTCAACCTGTTCAATGAAGTCACGAATGTGTAAAATCGCAGGAAAGGTTTTAGTTAATGGCATATAGAAGACTGTAGTGGAAATAAAGCAGAGGCGAATAGAGGTTAGGTCGTTAATATTATGGATAGTAGAAGGAAAGATGACGAATTTTGAAGTTGTTGTAATATGGAGAAAATGTACTGGGGCTATTCATAAGTCAAGTCATCGGAGATCTCATCCAAGGTGGTTATACAAATATGAGATTTCGTAAATGTTGCAGATGGCCGGGGCGAAGGACTAAATAGACGTATATTAGTGGTTGTCCGGGGCCGGTTCTGGTCATGAAAGGAGGCGACAGGGTTGCATTTGTGTAATATTCGGATTTATGGAAGTATCATGATTAGTTGAAAGAAAGCTAATGGAACGAATATGTTTGGTTACTGGATATTATGCTAGTTTTGTCAAGTTTGTGGTGTTCTACTTGAGTTGTTTTTTTTTAGAAACGTGTTATGAATGGATATTTAACTAACTTCGACCGCTAATGCTATAGGAGAGAAGCGCTGTAAGACCTCTCGAAACACGATATTTTCTGTTGTATCTGACCCCTCCGCGTGTAAGATCGATAGTTTTGCTACATCGGTCACCCTTGAGAGTGCAACGTACAGCTGCCCATGGGAAAAGGCTGGCACGCGAAGGTCTACACCTACCTGTTTCAACGACTGCCCCTGGCTCTTATTAATTGTCATAGCAAAACAGAGACGGATTGGGAACTGCACGCGGCGGAGGGTGAAGGATAGTTGGCCATCAGTCGTCTCTAACGGGATACGGGGGATCGTGTGTTCTACCCCTTTGCGGTCGCCAGCGATGATTCGGGCGGTGATATTCCAGTGATATATACCCGTGATGATGAGGCGGGTTCCATTGCAGAGGCCGTCTTCTTGGCGGAGGTTCCGGATCAGCATAATCGGGGCTCCGACTCTCAATGCTAGTTTCGACGGCGGCAGGCCTGGCATATTGATAGAATTTAAATACTCCAGTGGTTGTTCTGTAAGGGTTGGTTGATACCTGCCAGGACGATCCTGGGCACGGTCGGCGGACCAATAAGTCCTCAAATCGCCTGTCATGCGGCTGATTAGCCGGTCGTTGAAGACCGCCACCGCGTCGTTACGGATAGTGACAATAGACCGCTCAGCAAAGAACTCCAGGTTCTCGGTGGCTGCCGATAGCGCTGCAGTGGGATATATAGCATCACAGAGCTCCTCTACCGTATCGGATCGGGGGATGTACTGGGGCAGGATAATAGTACCCTGTAAGTCCTCCCGGTAGGACATTGTGGATAGATATTGCCCGTAGCCTGTATTATCGCCTGTTGGCGGAAGGCGCATATTTCGATGTAGCTGTAGGACTGTCAGTTGTGGCCAAATTGAAGATCGTTGTAAGCACGCAGCTACTGTCCTGGTTCGGCTAGATGGGACTACTATCGGTAAGGTCTGCGCAAAATCACCCCCCATCAGGACTGGAAGACCACCAAATAGACGGTCATCGTCACGGGCGTCTTTTAGGAGACGATCCACCAATTCCACTGCATACCGGTCCTGCATTGGGACCTCATCCCAGATGATCAGAGCCGTTGTCCGTAGGCGTTGAAATTTTGCAGATCTTGGCCTTAAAGTCGAGGTCGAGTCCTCATGTAATTCAAGCGGGATACCGAAATGACTGTGGGCCGTGCTGCCATCCGGTAGTAGGGTTGCGGCAATGCCGGACGAAGCAACACAGGCCACATCGAAGCCTAAGCGCCGCAGCTCAGCATAGATCGTACGGTAGAGGAATGTCTTGCCAGTACCGGCAGGGCCTTGTAGATACCACGCAGCAGGCCGACCGCCAAGCACAGTGGATACCACGGCGGAAAAGATGGTCTGTTGATTATCGTTGAGCTGATCCCGCAACTCTGCGGCCGTGGTGGCTAGGCGATCTAATGGCATGTTATGCAGACCGTCACGGGATGATTGCTGGAAGGCAGACCAATCAGCTTCCGGGGATGGCATGTAATAATCCGCTAATGTCTTACTTTGCGCTGCTAGCAGTCGGCCGATCAGAAATAGGCCAAAGTCAAGGTACTGTTCTCTGATAGAAGTGGCAGGTAGCTCTCTGCCGGCTTCCGTGTAGGATTCCAACTGACGGGGCAGGTCATCGCATAGGTGCACTTGGAACTCGTCCCAGAGTGCCGGTGGGTCCATAACATCACCATGCACGACAGCAACACAGAACTCATTTCTTAGAGATTTTCCAGATGCGAAGGTCACAGCCTCCGTGAATGTGGCCCGCCAGTGGTTGTCATCCTCTAGCAGCCCAAGCTTCTTGCAGGCGTTCCGGAATGTCCGCTCTGGTGATCCAAGGCGTACGGTCCTTAGGTCCTCAAAGCTTACAGCATTATGCCGGACCGTTAATAGCAGCCGCAGGTAGAAGCGCTCGCCGTCACGGGGATTCACATGGTACATCCTACCGATAACAGTCCCATTTTTCCGTGGCTGCCAGGCCCTCTGGGACCGGTCCCAGACACAGTGCCGCAGCATATCCTGATATAGATACGTCGGGCGGCCCTCCCGGCGGGCAACAGTATTGTAGTCAAAGTAGGCCATCAATGGACTGCGCGTGTTATCCATCCGGCGCCGAATATCATCAACTTCAGCACCGGTCGGAAAGCGGACTGGCTGCTGACCTGGGAGATGGACTGGGAGCGCCTGCACAGGTGGGAATTCCTCATGCACTCGGTATCCCAGCAGACGCCAGATCGCCTCCGACGGTCCAATATACCGGCCCTCAAGATACTCTGTAATCTCGTCGGTAAGAGTCAGCCGGACTGTAGCCCGGTCTGGGCCTTTGTAGGCGTATTTAGTGATATACTTAACGACCTCGACACCGCGACAGAGCTCAACGTTGATGTGGCAGTTATAGCGGATCGTGAGGTATGGGTTATATGGCACAACCCGGCTATTATCCACAGTGACCTCACGGCCCTTCACATGTTTGGTAAATGCCATATCAGGGATATCACGCCGGCGATACTGGGGGTATCCATGCTCGTTTGGGATCGTCTCAGAGGTGAGTGGCTTAGGGAAGCGCTTACTACAGGTTCGTTCGCCCGTTGCAGTGTCGCTCGAGGTACAGGGGGCCTGTAAGCCCTCGCCACACATGTGGACCATATAGTCACGGACAATCTTACTGAGTTCCGGATCCACCACTGGATCCGGTAGCTCAGCACAGACCACCTCATCTATCATTGAAGGGTTGTGGAACTGGTCGCTATTTTCCAGGAAGAGTAGTAAATGGCAGTGAGGGAGGGAGCGCTTTTGATACTCAATTGTCCAAAACCGGCCAGTGGAAGGGCCAAAGATACCTTTCCTGCAGAGTTGTAGGAGAAGATCCTTTTTTTTAAGATCGAATACACGGCTGACCAAATCCGGGCGATCCATGGCTGTTTGGCCAGGGAATAGCTCCCGTGTAATCTCATCCCAAGTTGGATTGGCCGTCATGGTGATAAACAGCGTTGGCGGTCCTAACTTACGGATCAAAGCGATTGCATCTTGACATATCTTCTTCATGAACCGTGGGCTGCCTATGTGCGATGAGGGTAATATCACGCGCTGACCGACCGGTGCGGTTATCATAGCCTCTGTGCCCTCAGTGGCGGTATCAGCAACAGCCTCCGCTAGGTGATCTGCAAGGCCTTGATAGGTATCTGCCCGGATATCGTCCTGATGACCACTAAACCAACGGAGTCGGGATTGCTCAATTGTAGCATACGCATCGACCCAATACTGATGACCTAGGCGACAGGCGTGATGGATTGGATTGAAGTCATCAGGCCGAGTAAACACGCGAAAAGCGTGATACTGACGGGCTGTTATACAGTTTGAGAAAGACGCCGCTAGGTCATCCTCCGGGTCAGGATCGATATCCAATATATTATGTAGGACACCCGGTGGATCCACATCACCGTCGTCATGTCCAAGGTCGTCTACTTCATCCTGGGTGGCATTGTCCTGATCACGGAAAGTCAAACGGAGGCCCCAGGACCACCCAGTATCCCCATGAGGGAAAAGTAACACATAATGCAGAGGTAGATACGCCGCATGGCTTGGATCCACCCTACGAAGGGCCGCTCGGCCCGTATCCGGGGCCCGTAAAGTCAAAACCATATCCCGGTACGTTCGCTGACCGAAGTCTGGTGGTGCGTCTGGGATAAACGCCGCTACCTCCGTCCGTGTAGGCAAGTTATACGTGCGTGGATCAGCTTTCTCCTGGAGGATGATACGCAGATCGGGGGATAGTATCACATCTATAGGGGTCTGGCTTCGGGCAGCCTCGATTAGCTGCTCCCGGGCAGTTCGGTAGATCCCGATGAACGGGTTACAGCGGTTTAGCTCATCTGTGAGCCGCGCTAGGATTGCGGCGGAAAGCGCACTGCGATTTCCATTCGCATTTTCGGCACCTGACCGCTGTTGACCTCGGGCTGGCTTCATGGTGCAACGGATCTGGATAGTGGCCTCTTGGTCCTCTAATAGCCATAGCTGGGCAAACGCGGGAGATACGCCCTCCCGGGGCTCTAATGGCCCATATATATGAAATAGCTCCCCAGCTACCAAAAAGGGTTTGTACGCTCCTTCGACGCGCTGATCTGGAGTATAGGAGATAGAGGTAAACGCGAAAGCCGAGTTATATTGCCGGATTCGATCTCGGAATTCTTTTGCGCGAGTATCATCACCTGTTAAGAGCCAGCGCAGATAAGGCGGTGGTGGCTGGATTCGAGTTAATTGAACAGCCCCTTGTTTGCAGCAGCGAGACAACGAAGGATTGGCCTGAGATGAGTGAATGTCTCTTTCAGCAAGCCAGTAAAAAGCCTTGCAAAAACGGCAGGTGTATTCCATACGGCCAAGATCATGTCTCTGTATAGTGCCGGGGCGGTATTGGGAGCGAAAACCAACCGGCACTATTATAGCGGGTCGGCAACCCGGGCATAATTTAAATGGCTGGCGTCGGCGTGCCAAGTCGATGAACTGCGCTAGAGGGAGCAGATCACCACACCGTGAACAGGATTGCATACCGGTGCGGCCTGGTGGGAGGACTCGATTCATCGGCGGTCTGCATGTGACGCAATTGGTGAAGGGCTCGGGACGGCGCGACCGATCGACGAATACCGATAATGGGTATATACCGTCGCACGAAGTGCACTGGCGAGTCGGGGCCTCCTCCGGTATCATATCATTGTTAGCAGCAAGAACGCTACCCGCAGGTATAGTCGCAAAAGTAGGGGTGGATATCGAGTCTATAAGGCCTTGGGCCGGGGTATCCAGATAGATCGGTACCCCCGGAGTAACACGTTGCCTCTCCTGTTGCGGATAGTATATTTTTTTTTAGTATATTTCAAATATCGGACGTTATAGAAAACACACGCGGCAATTAAAGCATGTCTTGAAACGCCTGCCAGCGGAAGATAGAAACTTAGAACGCGGATGATGGCGCATGCATCTACTACAGCGGAGCGAAAGATCGTCTGTATCGCCGGCAGTAGCATACGTAGGAGTCTCGCACTCTGGCGGCTGTGGACGGCGGCATCTGCGGCAGGTTCTAAGTTCGATATTCCTTTCGTTGATGAACGTGGTCAACGGTCGAATGTTATGGCACCGGCTACAGCACTTGGTTGACGGACGCGAGTTGGAATCTGCGGCAGACATCAGATGGGTTGTGAGTAGCCGTAGATGTTGGGATGGAGCAACGTGTGAGGAAAGCCGGCAGCAGACCAAAATCAACATCTCAACAAAGGCACAGCACGCGATGTTCCCCGTAGATCCGTCGATGTAAAGCAAGAAGGGCTATTGGCCCAGATGGGCAAGATGGAAATAGGCTAAACCGAAATGGGTATGCAGCTTTTCACTGGACCAATGACAAAGCGTCAAATAGCGTCCACTGCCGAATAGGAGGGCCAGGAATGGGCCAAGAGCGGGGCGCGCTAAACCGGAAAAAGGCCGACCTTGGTCGACTATCCTTATAGTAGAGTAGAATAGAGTAGAAAGTAGAAAGTAGAAAGTAGAAAGTAGAATGTACAAGTAGAGTGATCCACTTCCTGACAGTATCTTAGAGCCTCGTCACGGCCTATTGTGGCCCATTGCCGTCCCCATTGTTAGGCTGTCCCTATGACGCACGACTGCGAAACCTCTGTGACGCCTCGGCGAAGTCCAGTACAGCCCGTACTGTCTTGGCCCGCGAGACGGTGTCTGGTTTACCTTTCTCACCTTCATTTGAGCCTCCCAGCAGACTCGATACACTACAGAAATGTACGAAGTTGTCCTTCCGGTACTGTGCAGTATTGGCCCGAACCCATCGCAAAGCCGACGCCCAAAGCTGGACTTGCACCCAGGCGGGGGGTTAACTTCGCTGTTCTTTTCTGTCGCTTTGCATGTAAGGGTATGTACTTGTGTAGTATTATTATGGTCTTCATCGGTGGATGGCTTCAGGCTGACCTTAGCCCCCATCTCCAATAGCTGGCTGATTGCTCCCGTGATTCTAATGATAAGAGCTTGTCCGCCTTGAAGATGGGGTTTCGCAAGCGAAAGCAGGACAGCAGGTTTGTTCGCAACGATCTTGACCTGTATTTCCCACGGTGGCATCTCAGATACGAGGGATACAGCCTCTTACACTACCCCCACCTGTGCATAGTGAGCATTGAGCGTGTCGTCACTACCAGCTGCCCCGTTTGACGAGACGATGTCGACTTGATTAACGCGCACACCCAGCCCTGTTCCGACCAGACTACTGCGGACACTGACGCTGGTGAACAACCAGAAACGGGCATGGCCGGCCTCGTGCAACTCGTGCATTTCGGATCCGACGATGGCGATCAACTTCCCGAGAGACCGTTGCCACAGATCTAGAGGGAAAGGTCGAATGACCTCCATGTCAGACAAACATTGTGGTCCGTACTTTGTAGGATTTGAACGGTGATGGGTAACTGCCATCCTGCATTGCCGCCGCCGCTTGACAGGACTAGAAGGTGTGATCCTTTAATCAGGTGTGGCAACCGATCCAATGTTTTAAGACGCGTGCTCGGAAGCGTAGGACAGTTAGTTCAATCCCCGCTTCTGCCTCAGCGATGGCGAGAGCTGTGTTTCGGAACACGCCTATGATCGCCTGGGACTCGGCTCGTTGGATGGCTTCGAACCGCCGTCCGATTCCCGCCGCAATAATGGAATCCTGCCGTATGTGGCACCACACAGATGCTGCATAACCAATCTTCGAAGCGACCGTGGAGGTGAAGAGCTGGCGAGATACCGAAGGAGGTAACCCGCGCAGTCGTCTTAGTGCAGGTACGGCTTTCATTCCTTTATTCGCAGCCTTTCCGATGTATGATTTGAACCCTGATCCCTGATCGAGTATCACGCCGAGAATCTTGATTTCAGGCACCGGGGCAACAGTCGCTCCATTCACGTGTAACGGGACTGCGGGAAGTTGGCGTTGCCGCGGGTTTCTTGTGAAGTGGATGAACGATGTCTTCTCTTTTTCGAAAGCCGCGCCAGACTGCGCTGCCCATTCTAACGCTCATTGGATGGCCTTCCGCTGCAGGACGGTTGTATTCGCCTCAGCAGACGAGCCTACCGTCCATCGTGTATAATCGTCGACGAAAATGACAGCTCCTTTTCTTCTAGTGATGGAGATGCTTGTACGTACACACATATTTGTATGCGCCCGACACGACTAAGGCTCTTAGCTAAGTTAAAATGATACATTCTAACCATGCCTCACAATACCAATTCTCCACCGATACTGACATCCACGGCAGAATCAACAGAACTCACCAACTTTGCCGACGAAAAATTCAACTATTGGGGTAGCTAGAAATAACTGGAGTGCATTTTTACAGTTATGAACTCGTAAAAGTAGATTAACGTGAAATATAAAGTCAAAACCATACGTAGTGGGCTGGTTCAAGGTCACGATTGTAGGTATAGAAAAGACCAGACTAGAATGTCGGTGTGAGAGAGATCGTATAAATCCGAGACAGTTTAGGCCAGGACTGGAGAAGCATACCTAGAAATGAAACCTGTATACCGGGCTAACCTCGTTTGCCCTCGCAGGGTACCCTGACTTCCACGAAGCTGTTTCCATAGTTTCATACAAATAACATCGTGTTTTTATTCAATTTTCTATATTATGGTGGTAAGGTGGGAGGCTTTTATTTGTTTCGCACTCAGAGTAGTGCTATGTAAAACTTATTAGGCGGTGTATGCATTTATGTCAGAATTGAAGGCCTGCAGCCGTTCTCCTGTCAATTATCGAACATTCTGTGGCGCACCTGTTCTCGCTGCAGAAATAGTGGACCCTCGGCAACGCCACCATGTGATAGAATAAATGGAGCCTAGAGGAGTGAATACCCAGGGGCCAATCGGTAGTCATCAAACGCATCACCATTTGCGTACAAGTTCGGCGAGCGGATAAAGCGCTCAATGATTGGTTCTCTATCCAGGTCTATCCTGCACGGCTTGGCTCTTGTTATCCGTTGGGTCGATATGATACCCCTTAAAAGAGAACCAAAACTAGTTTCCGACTCACGACCTCTTGTCCATAATAAGCGACGCTTGTCATTTTGGTGGTCCAGGCTGAGCGCAATCCGTTGGACGTCCCCTGCGGTGGTTCGTGGAAATTGCCGCTTTGGCTAGCCTCCTGAGAAGAAGTCACTCACCATGTTTCAAATTGCACAAAAGCAAACGCAACGAGAGTACTCGCTGGACATACTCTCGTATTTTCGTGACGTTATCAGAGCAGTGTAAATATTATGTAAACGACACACGCGCAGTACTTCTACCGAATTTTTCCATCTAGCTTAGAGAGTCGGACAAGATTAATAAGTGCCATGTAATAACCCTCACCGAAACGAAACGATATAGATCACCGACAGAGCCGAAAATTGTCCAACAACCCAAAGATTAGGCTGTTGACGTCCAACCGAACAGGGTTTCGGCCCGTCCCTTTACCGTGCATTCCGCACCAGACCCACCGCAGCCACACTCCATTCGCAGCCCTTTCTTGCTGGACTGCTTTGAAACCAAACCGGAAACAGACACTACCCATCACGCTAGGAGTACCAGAATAGTCGCATGCTCTGCAATGTTTGCCGGCCTAGCGTTGGCAGTCACCGTGCTTGAAATCGCCCCAGTATGCAATTCATGAGTCATACCTATCACCACGATCACCACGCCCCTAGCTTTCGTGAAACCCCCCTAATGTATTACGTGTCTAAATTTAGCCCAGATTCACACGGGTGAAGGGGTAGCCGTTAACTAGTATTAGACTATTCCCCTTACGCGTCCACATTGTCACCTGCGGGGATGCATGGCAGGCCGGTGAGGCACATATTATCTCATCGCTTTTTGTTTGCTTCGAATCATCTAACAATACATCGTTTACCAGGGTTATCAGCTATCAATGTTAATTGGAGGAAGTTGAGGGCGTAGCCGAACTTTGATAATTACCCCTAATTATTTCTCTATCCCGGGTATTTTGAGCGTTGCAATGGTAAACATGGATTTGTCGTCTCTCGTTATCTATTCTTTTATTTACTGGCGAACAGTTGATAGAGAATTCATCAGTTTCATATGTCCACTCCGAATACCGTTTACAGGCAACTGGAGAATGACCAATTTTTTAGTTGGATGCTTTCAATGATCGACATGCAATCGAGCTAAACTACAGGGTTTGCCCAGTTGTCTTCACCAAGATTTTATGCCTGAAATATGTGTAAGATATTTTTCACTTGGTATTCAAATTCCGTTTCAGATTTGGGATAATCAGAGACATCAACCTCTTTTCCATTATAAATTCAGGCTACTTCTCCTTGTTCCGTTTCCATTTTCTATTCAGCTCTAAACTCTATCCTCAGGCGGCAACCCAAGCACGAACCTATTCCAGTTCTTTTTGTTCTCAGGATCCCACCTCGCTATATGGCTAGTGCACAACAAACGGCCAAACGGTCCTCGCCCAAGCTACCTGCTGAGGCTCATGGCAGCATTAGCACAGATTTAAGGGATGAGAGTACCGACTGTGAGGGATTAGAAAGTCACCAATGAAAGATACCTTTTTTCTGAACAAGAAATCTTTTAGTGACAGAAAATTTCCTACGAAAGATTAAAGACCCAATAATGGTCGCTCTGGTAAAGGAGTAGTAAGTCTGTCTATGATAGATCGAGACCTACAAATAGGCTAACTAAATATTCCTCAGCATGGATGCGCGATTGAGGTGCGTTTTGCTATTTCCTTGGAATGATCACCAATTCAATTAGGCTCGCCTTTCTTCATCGTCGGAACTATTATTGTCTGGTTTACTAATTACACACAGAATGGGCAAAGCCAGAGACAGATTACTGGCATTTCAGGAGCTTGCACGGGGTATTGGGATCGAAGAGCCACTCCAGGACAATATTCTTTCTCTAGTGGAGAAGCTGGATAAATCGGAACGTCAGACAGGCCGCGGATGAAGATGAGCGGATTCCGCGGGCTTTGAAAGACCGTCAAGGATACCATTCTTCTTCAAGTCGAGCTAGCTTAAAGGGCTTCCAGGAAGACAACCATTAAAACATCATAATTCCAAGATTACCCGTGATAGCTTTCAAATTAGAGGACGGAGTTGAATGAACGATGAAGAAACTCGTCCTGGAAGGTGTAGTGGTACTGACTACTTTCTCAGCTCATCCAAAACTAACAAGTATATGGAAATAACCATCCAACGTATTGTAGAGAGGGACTACTTTTGGAGAAGGAATTCTAGAACAGGCAGCAGTGCCCAAGGTCAGATATTTTAGGACTGAGGTGTTGCATTTTGTAAAGTTTAGCATGTTAGCTTGCTGTGCCACTGTATTCTGATAGCGCAGAATTGGGTATATTGATATCTCTCCAGATCGAACGTGGTTCTGACAGTCTGAGTGTTCGTGGCTGAGATGTCGTGGGCGAGGTCCAAAGCTAAATCCTGTATTATTGTATGCGGTATCTTGTATATCTTGGCCAAGTTATATAAATCGTGAGCAGCTAAAATCCCACAAGATAGAATGCTTCTGGATGAAAATGAACCAAGAAATCTTCCTACCGCACTCATGAAGGCAGCAAATTCCATGAATTATCATAGTTTACGCTACTCACCGCGGAGGATCGTCTAATCTACCCCCTCTCGGCAACGTACCCGATATAAATGCATTATCTGTCGGGATTGTTGCCTGTTGCTTTATCTTCCTCGAATCTTAGCCGACAATGAGTTTTGGATCAGAGTGGACAGATTCTAATTATCCGTATTCCTCTTATCATAACTTTCTCCGCTAGTATGGGTACTTGCTCAGGGTAATTACGCGATGTTCTCAAACAAAAGCTAAAAGGATTTAGATAGGTCCCTTGAGCGGATCCAAAAATAACGCAAGAAGCCGTGCTATTATTTAACTTGCATTTGCATCATATCCCCAGTCCAATCCGAGTATGATTTTCTTTCCTGGAACATTCTTTTTTTTCTCGTAACAGGCAGAGCCGACTCTCCGAGTCAGCCTAGGACACAAGGTTTGACCTGTTTTGCTCTTTATTGCTCACAGTTGAGGAAGCTACCGATATTCCCTCCACATCCTGGTGAGCTATATCATCTAGCGCCTACGACAGCGATTGCAGGTTGAAATATACTCCGGTAAGAGGCGATTGCAGAATTCGCATTACGTCTTTGTGCTGCCGTAGACCCTCAACTATGCCTTGAAACGCATTTTGACGGTCGGCAACCTTGTCATTTGGCGGTAATTCCTTGTTGATTGCCTGGCTTACCATAGCTCTGAGCCGTTATTACTAACTACATAGATTGCAGCTCCCTCTTTCGACTCACACATATAAATCAATCGCAGCAATGTACACTGCCGCTTATGCTCGCCCCTTGAAT